GCGATTTGTTCAAATCCTATTATTATCAAATTATTAGGATTTGGACAAAATGCAAGTGAAATTATTCCCCAATTTCACGAGTATACCATTTGATTACCTATTAATATCATGGGTGATGAATTATGTTAGTAACACATCATAGTACTGCTAAAGAGGCTCACTTGAACGGTCACAACACAGGATAATGTCCAGACTACAAAGTTAGTATAGAAATGTTGCTGTTGTTAGTTAGTATAGTAATGCAAGTCTTCATAATGGACCACAGGTAGGAGTGAAAGGTTTGAGCAGCTGTTTACTGGTACTACTGTTACTGACAACACTTGCATACAGTACAGCTGTTGTATTACATTTAAGCATCAGTTTGGTTCTCTCCCAGTTCTCAACACTTAACTTCAGTAGCAGAACTGGCTTTAGGAGAATTTCATCATTTGCTTGCATGCTAGAGTTATAGTAACCACTGCATTGAAAAAGGTCAAACTGTCTAGTGGCTACCCAGGAAAATTGACAAATTTCGGGGAAAAAAAAGAAAAGCAGAGGGATAATCTGTACAGCACATAAACATTGTTGTGCCACTGGAACACTATTACTTTGCCAAATAAACCAAAAAGTAAGTGAGCAAAACAAGAATGATTAAAAGTTTGTTACAGGCATAATATCATTGCACAACCATTATGTGCATTTTATCAGAGAATAAAAAGTACCCATATAATACTCACTTAAAAGCGTAACTTTGCCTTTCTCCTCCATATTGTAGAAACTGGCTGATATTCTGGGACTTTCACCATGGATTATAGCAAATTTGCTGCCGCCAGGCTCCCATGAAAAAGCAGTAACAGCTTCTGTAAGTGGGAGAGTGACAAACACAACAAAAAGTTATTTCAGCAGCTGGCACACTATCAGCATTAGTTTAACAATTTTGAACTGAGTTGTCCAGCAGGAGATCACTAATCTTAACCATGGCCTGGTTGGTCAAAAGACAATTAGTGGTAATCCAGTTACCATGACAACCCATATGTCCTTTTTGCAGTTAACCAAGGATAAGAGCTAACTGGCTTTCAAACATTAAACATTTCCCACATCTAATAATAACTGTAAGAATTGTATTTTATGCAGTGCTTAATACTAACGTAATGTAGGTCTTAATACATAATTATATTAGGCTCTATTTATAGTTATAGTAATGTTATTTTGATTCATTAGATTCTTTCTATTGTTATTTAGTTTCATTATAATTTTTTTGTTATGTCTCTGTAAGACAAATGTAGAGAATATATTATATTTTAGGTCTCATTGCATATATTAGGTTTTATTTATAGTTATGTTAATACATTAGTCTCTATATATTGATATTTCTTTTAATTTTTTTAAAGTTATGTCTCCACGATTAGTTTCAGCACTTGTGCTAAGCTAGGAGCTTGAGACTTTAATAAAGTTGTTATTATTATTATTATTATTATTAACCAACTTGTCTTAGGATCCTAAAGATTTGTATTCATGTTAAAAGAACAGACAACAAATGAGTGTGAGATGAGTCACTTACAAGTCAAAAATTACCCTTAAATAATATAATATAATGTAGTCAACTTTTACGACAGTATCAGCACTTATTAAACAGCTGACACTGAAGACCATGTTAACATTTCTCTCCCTTCCCAAAACCAGAACACCATCACTACAACTGATCAAGTAAAGTGGTGCTGATGAGGAGGGGAAGATGGGGGTGTGGCTGAGAAATGAGAGGGGACAAATGCCAAATGCCCACGATTACTTTACACAGGTTAAGTGAGCTACCTGATACGAAAATAACAACTAATAACATATTTGAGGTTGAGAACGTGGGAGTGTTTAAAGTACTATTATGTAAGTAACTATTCTTTTGTGCGAATTGCAAAATTTTTGTACATTGCTACTGCTACTTAAATTATAATGAGCAATGAGTGGCCTAAAAAGTTCTGAGATGTATGAAAGGGTAAGACCATTAATTAACCTTAACCAACTTGTAAATCAGAGAAAGTGCTATAGTAGAATGCCAATGCATTAGCAAGCCCATGCCAGCAAGGCTAATTCACTCTCTTTAAGTACAATGTATTCCCTGAATTCAATTAAGTCCTTGTTGAACTTTGCCTGAAATTGTTTCGTACAGATCACTCTCTTCAATAAAGCAACTACTAGCAACTACTGTAATAATAATGATGATAATAATAATAATATTTAATATTGTATTGTTCAGGTTTCACATAGAAATGCTGACCTGCACACCCTGTATTAACCCAACATTTTCACGAAATGATATTGTTTTATTAATAACTATCTCAGAATAAATAACTTTGAAGGATCCAACAATGCATGCATTAAAATCTGAATTTACCAACCTTTCATTTCTACAACATCCACTGGAATCTGCCTCTCACGCACACGGAACAATTCAAGGTTGTAGTACAGACCCTGCAAGCATGATTCAAGGGTATATTACAAGTACAATAAATATTCTAGGTGAAACTACTCCAGGTTGCAGGCTCATTTGTATGTGAGGGCAAATTTACTGTGATCCTAGTCTGAAAAGAACTTTCCTAACTTTCCTGGTACAACTTCAGACAAACAAATTTCAAGGACTTTTCAAGGATTTTTCAAGGACAAATTGCAGTTTTTAAGGACTAAGATTTATTCAGAATTTAAAAACCAGCATTCTTTAATCCCCTTTTGAACACCTCATGCATGGCTAAAACACATCATGGAGTCATTTGCAGTTTTTACTTCTTCAGCCACAGTTGATCATGTTATTTTTTACTTTCTGTGACAACACTCTGCAAAATGACTTGCAATATTTTATTGCACCTTAGGTGCAGAAAGAATTTGAAATAAAAAAAAACAGAAGTAAAATATTGTTCATGCACAAAAATGCTTTTATGTTACCCGTGAGTTTTTCGGGTTCTTACACCAAGGATGAGCCAAAATTTCCTCAGCAAAAAAAAAACAACTAATTTTACAGAAAACTGTGTCAGGTACAGACAAGGTAGTGAATTTCAAGGACTTTTCAAGACCTTATAAAGAAATCAAGTACTTTTCAAGACAACTACTAAAATTCAAGACCTTTTCAAGATTGTCTGAACCACGCTAAAGACAAAATAAACATAGCAGAAATCAGTTTACTCTCTCCTAGTTCTCAGCACTTTTAATGTCAGCAGCAGAACTGGCAAAAGGAGAGTTTCATCACTTACTGCCAGTTTTATGGATTTTCTTTTATAATTATGTTACTGATTAAAGCTCTATAAGGTATTTCATGGACTTCGATAACCAGCACTAGAGTGATTAGGGGACCAGCGTTTAATAATTAATTTCACTTGTTTTTTGTCAACAAATAAGCAACATTGTAGAGCTGGTCACAAGAACAATGCGGGAGTACAAAAATTTAATATAATATTATTTCCCCGTAGAGTTTCACCAGCTGCAGTATCTTGCTGTAATTTCCACACGGGTGGCAAAATGTCACTGTTTGTCAGAAACTAGTCTCTTACCTTTTTGCTTTTGGTGTACCTGTCCACTTTCACAGCAAGGTAATCTCCTTTTTGATGCCAGAACACTTTACACTGATAACATAAGCAAAACACAGAAAGACACAACATAAAAATCTACTTCACACATAAGTTAACCGTTCTAAGGCTGGCAAAAATATTTTTTTCTTTTAGAAAGGATGCATTTCTGACCAGGTCACCATAAGTACTAATCTTAACTGCAAATGTCATAAATAACAATAACAAAAACAATAATGATAATAACAATAATGTCAAAAAAATAATAATAATGAATATAAAATAAGAGAATTTTACCTCAGAGACATTAAATAGATTTTTAACTCTGATTTCTTTCCTACTAGGAATCTCCATGAGTGTTACGCGGGCTGGAGTGTCTTTATTCTCAGGAACCCAAAAAGCTATCATGTCATCAGATGGTGACCAGGCAAAATCCCTGGTAAAAACAAAGCAATAAACATGAACACCTAAGCTAACCTTGAATCATTCCTTTAGTCATCAGCCATTAAATCTGGTACAATTTTCAAAAGCCTTCAGGCAAAACCAAAGACCATGACGATAAACAGTAATTAGAGTCACAATCCAAATCAAAGGCCTATCCAAGTGTGTATTTCAAAAGTTGATTACAAGAAACCACTTAATGAAATTAATACAACTATTCCAGATGAGAGGGAATTTTTGTTTGGCTGAAAGATAATGTGAAGCTTTTTGCTGTTGTTGTTTTTGTTCTTCATTCTCTGTCAATTCCTGTCTTCTTGCAAACTCAACTATTATGATGACTATTCAGTCTAATATCAAAGCTGTAGATCTTAGATAAATAAATATCCACCCTTAACTACCAAACTGATTGAGGTGTAATACTCACCTAACATCTTGGATCTTTAAACTTTTCTTTTCCAAGAGACCAAAAGACTACAAAAAAATAATTAAGTAAGTAAAAAAATCTTTTAAGAGAAAAGAATTTTAAGTGAAATAATCCTAGACTGTTCACAGTCCTCTATTTTTCCGTAAGATCGTTGAGATTGAGCGCTTTGCGTTACAGGCTGCCATCTTTGGCATAAGTGTCAAAACTACTTAGGGGTGGGGGGTGGTTTGGGAGGAAGCGAGAAAAATAGAGGGACTGTAATAACATCACTGCAGCTCGTGTTCAGGAGGTGTAACAGGAATTTCGCGCCTTTTACCATTCATTAATTAACAAACTCTGTAGGCTATGAAAAACACGCAAGACACGTTTAGCATCGATTTTGCATGTTTACAATTAATACAGTATCTCCTTTCAAAGCAGTGAGTTTATACAGTTTCTATGCCATTCCTCCAAATCACATTGGCAAACATTCACAGGTGAAACATTTTCATAATCGAAGTGCTAAGCATGCTCGCTTCACCACTGATTAAAATAATTAAACCTCCCGATAAAAAGCCAGGCATTTCTGACAGGTCATCTTTTTTGGGTCAGCGTAGTGTTGAGTTACAACATTCCCCTTGCTGGGCTGCTTCAAAAGCATGCTGGCTTATGTGATTCATCCACAAAATACCAAAAATCCTTTGTGTTTGCTCAAGATGTGCCTTATAGCAGTATTATGAAATCGTACGTTTTACAGAAACAACGACTTGTCAATGACTTGTCAGTGTCGGCAACTTAAACTAAACCCATTGTCAACTCAAATTAACATCTATTGTCTGATGACCAATCAAACTCCTGCATTGCTGGTACAATGCGCTCCGTGAGCACAAGCTGCAGTGATTTTATTACAGTCCCTCTATTTTTCTTGCCTCCCTTCCCCTAGAGCTATAATCCCTGACGCCCGCCCCCTTGGTACATATACATTTGAAAATCATGATGGCCACCATTAACAATAAGACGGGCTATACAGTATCTCGACAATCTCACAGAAAAATAGGGGACTGTGAACAGTCTAAATAATCCAAATAGCCTATAAAATGTTAGTTTTAATAATGCCCCTTTCCTTTTTCCCTCGGCTTATTAGCATATTTTTTTTGCTAGAGGTCTAACCAACCTCATCAAACCCGAGATTAAATAAAGCGTCATTCTTCATTCCTCCACAGAATCAAATGGGGCAGAGAGAAACCAAAGTCAGCCAATAATAAGTAAAAACTAGTTAAATTAATGACAAACCAGCAACTTACTGGGGTTTCATATATACTAATGCTGTCCTCTCCTAGGCGTCCAAAGTAATTGCCCTTGGCACTCCACCTATGAAAACAAAATAATATTTTTGTTGTGACGATCATTATCATTATTAAATGTACTACTTTTTAACACATAAGTTATTCACTTACTACTGTATTATTATTTATTATATAAACACCAATGAAATACCAGGTGAGCTTTCGCGCAAAAACTTGGTATCTTCACATGTGACAATAACATGTTACCTTCACACCTGAAAATATCACCGTTGCTATGGCTTCATGGTGCCTTTCACACCAAAAAACTATTAGAGTGAAATGGTTTTGTATTTCATTGGTGTTTATATAATAAATAGAACATTACATGGCCGCTTGGAGATACGAAATTTCTCTTCTCGTGTTGAAAAAATATTTCACTCGCTCATCTGTGAAATATTTTTCAACACTCGAAGAGAAAGTTTGTATCTCCGCACCACCATGTAATATCCTCTATGACTACCCTTCTGTATAATAAAACATTAAAATGAGGAATTGATATGCATGTTTGTCACTGTTCTAAATGACTAATGGTCAATATCATTATTACCGGTAAAAATGTTTTCAGTGCTTAATGAGGCAACTTCAGAAAAAAAGAGCTTTGCTTATTTTCAAGTGTACATGTTGGTTTTTCTTCTCAACTCAATTCACTGGAATACTGGATAGTAAGACTTGAAAAGACAATTGGAGAGAAGAAAAAGACAGTTCTCCACAGTAAAGAGTAAAATGCCCTTAGAATGCATAAACCTGGCATCATACTACTTTGTGCGTGACATTTGCCCCCCTACAAAGAAAGATGTACCCTAAAGAGCCTTAAAAATTCAACAGAATAACTTACTTGAACACTGGCCACTGAGACTGGTCTCCACATAAAAATCCTCTTTTCTTATTCCCTGTTCTTATATCCCATATAACAATGGCCTAAAGAGAATATTAAAAAACTCTCATTAATTACATGTATTAATATTATTAAAAAGATTTACAAAGTAAAGTGATAACAACACAACATGCTGATTTTCATATCCATGATCTTTGCAGCTGATAGAGCATTAAACAGTTGAAAGAAAGACTAGAACAAGACAAATGCAAATGACAAATTAATATGATCTAAGAGTGACATCAAGAAAATAAAACTAGGCAATACCTGAGGATCATCAGGAGTGTCAGTTAATGGACTGAATGTTACTAAATACCTGAAGAATTAAACAAATGTCACAAAAACTTGTTGCATTAATTTTGTCAACAACAAATTAGGGGCAGCACTGGGAATTTTAAAGTGGGTGAGGTATAATTGAGTAGAGAATGATATAATGGGCTGCTATGCCAAATGTGACTTTCTTGTGGGGTTGCGGGGCATGGATGCTCTGAGATGTGCAATCTGCAACTGTTATAAACTAAATTAGGAACTGTTATGATAACTTTAAGAAAAACCATTACTGGATTTCTACTGATACAAGTACAGATTTTCTTGAAAGCATCAAGTCCTAAATGTTGGTCATAATTATTATGGCTACAAGCCTATATTATCCTACCCTATCCTATCCTATTAACATGGCAATTCCCAAATTTCAGTATTTTCCATATTTCCACTGTGGAAACCCTTTTCAATGATATACACTTATATGGCACCTTTCTCTTAGCGATCCAAAGCCCTTTACAATCAGTAAATACTTAGAAAACAATTAATTCAAATACAACATAACAGGATTTTAAAATCCCAACTGGCAGGAGGCAACCAGTTGGCTATTTACAAGTGTGGCAGAGGATTTGAACTTGGGACAATTGAGAACAAATCCAGCAAGTGGCCAGTGCGGTACTCGAACCCCTCGACTGCCGGATTGTGAGTCCGACGCGCTGACCACTCGGCCACGCTGCCTCCCCTTCAAAATGCACTCCAAAAGCACAATTTTAGTGTGGAAAGCAGGCCAAACTAAAAATTTTTGTGGTTGGGAGCCTAAAGGTTTGAGTAATAAAATAATGGTGAAATCAAGAAATGTTATTATTACACCTTGTGTTAACATATTGTTGTTCTCTTTGCATAACATACTCACCTTTCACAAGGAGAAAAGTCTATAAGCTGAACTCCAGTGTGACTGAATCTCATGATCCTCTTAAATTCCTCTCCTCCCCAAAGAGCTATACCTTGGTAATGAAAAGTGGCTAAATATGAACCTTTAGGTGACCAGCGTACATAGGTTTCTGTCCAGTTCTACATGAATCCAAAATAAATACAAAAATAATTTCAACAAATTTCTTATAACAAGGAAAACAGCAGATTTACCAAAAAATTATTATTAAAGGGTTTAGAGGCAGCATCTTTTTCCCCTCATGCAGGGTTTAATCTAGTAAGAAGGAATCCTCTGGAGTACCAGTATTTAATTTCTGATGCAGCTTATTTGCCTGTGTTTAGGTTATTATAAGTCATGTACATAAAACAACTGGCAAATTACATGTAACAGGTAATAGGTGCACCTTTTTCCCTACCAAGACATTGATCACATTAAAGTTGTAAAATATCTTGAAAACATGTGAATTTCCTTAAAATGTGTGTGTGCATGAGCCTAAAGAATAAATAAGAATTCCAGCTATGAGGTGAGGTGGTTATGTTCATTGAGCAAAAGTTTAACCTCTTTCTGACTCAGCTAGGATTTGCCCCCCCCCCCCAAAAAAAAACAACTAAATTTGAGGTGTCACTTATCTGCTAGTGTCTATAGTACATTGTTTAGTCTTTGTGACAATTCTTAGCAGTAATCAGTTTGCTCTCTCCTAGTTCACAGCATTGTTTATATCAGCAGCAGAACTGGCAAAAGGAGAGTTTCATCACTTACTGCCAGGATGAAGCTTAGTTTGTTTTGCAGTATCTTTAGGTATTTGCAGTTGCAGAATGTGTTTAAATTTTCTTACAGCTCAAAGAAAATGTGATGGGGAACCTTCAAATATTGCTATAAGCCATAAGAGTTGGCACAATACACTGCAGCCTTAACCAATCTGCAAGTCATTAGCTTACTCAGTCTTTATGGTTCTCTACACCACACAAGCTGAGGTAAATTTAACAAAACTATAAAAAGTGTAATTTACAAGTGTAGCTATTGCTTTTAGACCCTAAGAAAAGCTACACTTGTAAATAACACTTGTAACAGTTTATTAAATTGAACCCTGATTCTGCTACAGCACGGTGAAATCAAACTCACCATTCTTTCCCTAGAAAGTATAGGTTCTTGAGGTGTGTTCCACATGATTCCAACTTTATCTCCTCCCCCATGGATAACAACATACTGATCATTACAATCTGGATCCAGAAGCCAAGATCTTAGGTTTGCCTGATAACATAAGAAAAAAAAGCATTACCAGGTAAAAATAAAAGACACGGTAGAACACAACAGTGATGGCTGAAAAATCATCAGTTATAAAGGGAATTTTTGTTCTTTCAAATTCATTGTGATCATTTCAATACCCTTGATTTGTTAAAAAAGGCAAATTCTCCAAGAATCAAAGCTAAGAATGAAAAAGAAAAATTTGTCATTGTATGTTTATGTTGCCCAGAAGACCTCACACAAAGAAGTTTCACATTGAAGTTGTGCTGTAATAGAAACTGAAGGTACCAAAAAGCTGAATGTACATGCAAAGTTGTTGTTTTGCCTAATAACCTATAGCTTTTTTGAATTCCCAGAGGTCTTGCCAAGATGGTTTTTTAAGCTTCTTAGTACATCTATATGTTGTGATTCAATTTTATCTTTGGTTTAAATTTTATTTTCTTTCGTTTTTGGGTATGGTACTGTATGATAATGATTTTGAAACAAAAGAAAATAAAATTGAAACCAAGGATAAATTTGAACCACAACATATATACAGATAGTATCTTCATTTCAAGGAAAATTAAGTTGTAAACAAGAAAACAAGGTTTTACCACTGTTTCACATAGTGACTTTATTTTATTTCTTAGCAGCAAAAGTGCAACATGATGATTAGCTTGTATGGAGGTTGGCATCTCATGTTAACATCAGAAATAAGGACTGTAGTAACTGCAGTTTACCTGCTCGACATAGGGTTGTTTGGTAGGTGGTTCCCAGTCTTTCGTTAGACTCACTAATCTACAGGGTAAACACTTTCATTAGCATAACTCTTTACATGTTAAAGTAATAATCTTATAATTTTATCCAACAAGAGACACTGTGTTTCATACAAAATACAATTAACAGAAAAAGAAAAGAATAAAATTTTTAAAATTTCATTTCATTTTCCTTTGTTTTTGAGTATGAAGTTTTGGCACTGGATTTCAATCAAAGGAAAATGAAATGAAAACCAGGAATAGGGTTGACCCACAACATACAGCTGTATACATAAGGGTTGCAAACAGTAGCACTGCTACTTTGCGTACTTGTATTTTCTACCTTATGTCTTGTGCAAAAGCTCTTCTTTAAGTAGGATAAACACAGATTTTCAGATTAATGTAAGAGCTGACCAACAATCTATTCAATGCAATCCGGTAAGGCTTACTTGTCAAAATCTTCAAAATGATTTACAGCAAAGATGTGATGCTTGTCTAATTTGTATCCATTGGCAGTTTTCACTGCTTGAGCTGCATCATTAGCATTGGAGAATTCCAAGAAAATGAATCTGAAAAGAGATATTAGCCATATAATATCAAAGGTGACGAATTACTCCTTAATTTTGGTGCAAAATTTCAGCATTAATTTGTAATTTCACATGTGAAATTAAAAAATTGCCATGGCAATCTTCCATACGTCTCAGTGTCAAGATAGCGACAAAATTTTAAAATGCCGTGAATGAAGATGTCAGGGCACAAAAAGACGCTTTAGAAAACCTGAACACACAAAAGAGCACATCAAGAAGGATTCTAACAAGTATTTTGCCGAAAAAGTGTGAAAAATTCTGAACTTTATAAGCCAAATTTAAGGTCTAAACATTTGAGAGAGTGGAGTTCTCGATCGATACGATCCAGGATAAACATGTCAAAAATCCAAGATTGCTAACGTAATTCGTCAACCATGATATTAAAAGGTAATCAAATGGTATACTCTTAAGGCTCGGGAAATTATTAGGATTTGGACAAAACGCAAGTGAAATTATTCCCTAATTTCACTCGTCACCATTTGATTACACATGCTTATAAAATATAATTAATATGGTACGTGCATTTCAGAGTTTAATTACCGCTTTTATAACCAAAGTCAGTTTTGGAGACATGTAACGCAGATTGAACTCAACTTGTATTTTCCTGATCAACCAGTGACTACATTTGCTGACAATCAGCTAAGTTAGCCTCAAGCACCTGAACATATCGCCGTGAATGAAAGTTGGGACAAAATGGACAGCCAGGCAATCAGGTTGGCTGAGGTTGCCCTGACGTTGATGATGACTATTTGTTCTCACAATTATATTCCAACATTTATTGTTTTATGCCATCATTTGGGAAACCAAATCAAATTTTGTGTATTCTATACAAAACTTTGATCATGACTCGCCTTTTCTGCCCCAATTTGCTACATACATGCAATGTACTTGCAATGTATTTGATTCACCAGGGCTCGAAATTAAAAAAATCTTCAGGTCGCCTTGTGGCGACCAACCTGAGAAATATAGTCGCCAGATGCAAATTTTTAGTCGCCAGTTTGTAAAATGTAAATGACGCAGCTCATAGGTACAGGGCTTCTGATATTTCGAGCAGGAGCAGAGCCGCGAAATTCACAAAAACACGCGAAATACCGCGAAATTCAGTAGAAATCTTATCAAATACATGTCTGTACAACATAATTATTTGAAACTTATCTCAGCTATTGGGGGCTATTTACTTGCCGTAAATCTTGGTCACTGAAATGTGCAAATAACGTCCCGAAACTACCAGGCGTAGATTATGTTGCGAAAATTGGGCACTAGCCATGATGTTAAAGGCTTTGCCATTGGTTCATTTCTGGAGCGCAATGTCGTTGAAAGAGCAAAGGACGACCCGGTTATTAAAACGTTAAAAATGCTGGTCTGATCGGCCAAAACCGATTGATATTTGACAAAAATTTTCCCTCAAAAATAACCACAAAATCGGCCTTTTTTACTGATTGATTTTCGGGGAAGTTTGCCCCAAACATTCCCGCAAAAATGCCACAAAATCGGCTGATGTTTCCGCGAATTTGCCCCTAAAAATCCCGCGAAATTTGCCTTTTTCCCACTACCTATCAGAAGCCCAGCATAGTATGGCGCGATCCATCAGATTTGAAAATATCTTGAAGTCAGTATAAATTTGGAGGTAAACTGGCTTTGTTTATGTGATTGATTTGGCACATTTTCCATGATGAAAGAAAAGTAAAATAAGATGAAATGTTCGTTTTAATTTTACTCTTCTAAAATCTGGTCGCTACTTTGGTGACTAAACCAGAATTTTTAGTCGCCAAGGAAAAAATGTTAGTCACATTGGCGACCGCATCAGTCGCAATTTCGAGCCCTGTTCACACATGGACAGGCCCTCATCGAGATCAGAGTACATGTACTTTATACTAAACTGATGTATAAATTGTTGTGGTAATAAATCTCTAATTCTTATAGTTCAAACATGTACATATAGCTTTCTTACCCTTTGGTTTGTCCATTTTCATCCTGAGGATAGTGCTCAGTAACAATCTTTCCAAACTTAGAAAACACCTTTCTGATGACATTCTTAAGCTTTTCAAGCCTGTCTGGTGAAATTGTTGGAACATTATCCACAACAATGATCCGGTCTGTTCCAGTGGTCTCCTTTGGCTTCTCTACTAAGATGTCGCCCAGGAGGTCTGAAGGAAATGTTTTTTTTTCTCATGTTTTCAACACTTCTATTCATTTTTGTCATTAACCAGAAATACAACAACAGTATACAGAAATTTATCAAACATTAATGATAATATACAATATTCTAACTAACTTATTTACTAGATCAAATGTTTAAAGTGGTAATGGCTAGGAAGCTTATATAGAAGCCGTGGGCTTATAAACTACAGGCTTCCTGGAACTATAGGGTAAACCATACAAGTTAGGGGTACTGAATGAAAATTTGGATTAATTTTTTTAACACAATACAGAAAAGAAAAGAAGAGAAGAGAAAAAACGAAAGAGAAAACGATAAAAAGAAAGGTTGTTAAATTTACAAAGGTATACTCTCCTTTGTAAGTTAGTTTAAATTACAAAATACACAAACTGTTGTGAAAACGAAGAGGAAAATTAGCTCAGAATAACAAAAATGTTTTCAGTTCCTTTGGCATTAGTTTCCATATACAGAAGAACAAAGCATATGTCTGGACTTTAACTAAGTTGTACAAGTGTATTTAAGTCAGTTTTGTGAATAAAATGTGCCTCACAGTTTTCAAGAGTAATGAAACTTTCATTCCGTTTCGAGAAAGGGGTTGGCACAAAGAGAACACGAGAAAAATCATTACATTTAAAAATCACCTTTAAAAGCTACATGTATAAATACTGAAATGTACCAGCTACTCTGTGCAATGGACAATAAGGGAACTCATATTATATTTCTTGGTATTAAACAACGGCAAATAAAGGGAAAGCGCTATCAGGAACCTCTGAGATAAGGCTTCCACTGAAGGCCTATCTCAGTCCTTTTTTATTCCTAACTACAAAGCTGTAAAAAGAATTAATAAGCTTTAATAAGGCCGGCCGCTGGGCTTCTTAATTAACATTTTTATAACCACGAGGTTGACTTAAGTTAAGAAACGGGAGAAACAAAGAACTATTTTAAACTTTACAACTCTCTATCTTTCCTTTCAGCTACCTAGTTGACTTAAATACAGTCAATACCGGTGAAAAGCGATGATTCAGACCTCGAGGCTTAAAACGTGTTCAACAAGAACTAACCTTCGTCGGTAATATCATCAACAAAGTCTTCTGGATCATCGAACTCCGACTCATCTTCCTCTTCATTGTTTCTTCCGTTGACATTTTCTTCTTCGTCTTCGTCTTCGTCTTCTTCGTCCGAATCGCTGTTACCAGCCTTTTCATCAAATTCTTTCTCGTCCGCCATTTTCCCTATCATAGCCGAGCGCACAGTAAAACACGTGCACAATGACGTGTTTAGAGGAGGACTGTGGCGAGGGTAGAAAGAAGGCGCGAGAATCAAAGAATTCTGAGGACAGTCTCGCTTGCGAAAAAACCTCAATTTTGATCTTACTTTACAGATCTTTACAGCTGTTTATTGTTCTTTGTAATCAAAGCATTAGCAGGTAACTTTTATTTTACTCGTTTATTTTCTATAATCCACAGGGGTGGCTGATTTACTGATTCTCCTCCTACTTTTGGCAGAAAAAATAAAAAGCATATAATTCTCAGCTCACTGAAATTATCTCTTGGCGCGCGGAGGTGATTTGCGTATACATTATTTGTAGGTCATTTCGACCTTTACTGGTAACTACCAATGTTTCTCAGTACAAATAATACCAGTTGATTTGATAGGGCTTAAAACCGATTACCTGATGGCTTTCGTTTTTTAAGCTAAAGCAATTATTATCGCAAAAAATCAAGTAGACTTGATCATGATAGACTTCTCACAAAAATCTCCTTTTTATCTGCATGTGCATAATCGGACATGTAAGTCTTGTTCTGACAGGATTGCAAGAATTTTCATATGTTTCCTCCGAGTATTTAGGCAGCGACGCCTTGATTCGTGTTGGAGGTTTAATGCAAAGGACTATGAGGGAAGGTTTTGTCAAAATTGGTGCTTTTTTCTCCAAGAGATAAAATCCTTACACTTCAGAGGTGATCAGAAGTTGGCAAAACAGATTGTGAACCCCCCGAAACGGTGGGCTGCCCTTACGCACAGATATTCTTGACAGAATCTGCCAATTTGTATGGTAAGAAATAAGGCCCAAATGAAATCTTCCTGGTTGTGCCCCGGGGGGGGGGAAGGGGAATTTAGGAATTTTTAGGTGGGGATCTGCCGCTTGGACCTGGAACCCTTAGCCTCGTACCAGAGCTAGTTCGGCTGAATTTTACCACCCCATGCTAGACTAAACTCCCCAAATCCCCCCCCCATCCTAGAGCAGCTGTTTTCCAGAAATTACTGAGGTCCCTGGCACAGTCCAGCTAAAAACAAAACCGATTTGATTTTTTTATATTTTTGAGTGGGAATTCCTGGTTTCCCTAGTCTAGATTCAAATCTTCAACCAATTGATCAGTTTCCTTGAAAATGATACCCTATTCTAGACCCTAAGTCTCTGGTTTCTATACCCCATCCCATAGTAAACTGCTTGAAAACCATCCCCTTTCCAGCGGCACATACCTGTATAGACCATATATGGCAGCATTTGCACCCCAGGGGTTGTGATCTCTCTTTGGATTGGGGGTACGGTCAAATCCCTGGGGGTCAAAAAAAACATTCACAGACCAGCAAGGCAGTTTTCTGAGGAAAACTATTAACCAGTTCCTTTTCATTCTTGGAAATCCAGGGAGAGAAATCAGCATGAGACATGCAAAATCACTGTGGGAAAATTTTAGTATTTCGTCCCTAAATATCCCATTCCCAGTTAACAGCACCTGGCTCTGTTAAGTTTGGCAATAACCAGGACTTATATACATAGGTAGACAATCAGAATGAACTCAAGGTAATGTCTTATGCACTAATGAAAGGCTGCATATGAATAGCTAGAGGGGTGGAAGGTTAAGCCTGTGAACAGACAATACGTGTAGGGGAGGGGGGCTAAAAATAACGAGTTGAAGGCAAGAGAAAAAATGGAAGCTGGTCCTTGCTTGAATCATTCCCTTTTTCCCCATTAAGGTCTGAGGATCACTTTTCCCCTTTAAACCTTTAAACGAGGAAAATACCAAGTGTCTTCCTTTTGTTGCTGCAAGCCTGATACAGTTAACTCCCATTCTTGACAATACCTACTGGGAGCTGGTGTTCTTAAAAGTAAGAGTCCATAATTCCTAGTGGTTTGGCTCTTTTGAAGCTTCTAGCCAGTAGATAAACAAGTCTTTTTGGATTTAAAAGTATACTAATATTTATTTTATAATTAAGGCATCAAAACTCCATTCACATGATAATATTTCTGTTACAAGTTTATTGTTGAATTACATTATACAATGTTTTTTTTTTGTCAAGTAAAAATACTATGAAAATAATGGCATTTCTTCTGTAGTATTGTCCTGGTGTAGCATTTTCAATAATTTTTATCAAACCATCTATTTTCATAGCCATCCACATTCAACCGAATTATGCTACATAAGTGGATGTTAAAAATATCATTCAACATCCACAGCCCTCGATTTTGTAAAAATGTTGTGCCAAAAGGTCCTACACAATTCAGAAGGTGTAAAAAGTGGGTTTGTGCATTACCCTTACGCTAATGAGATTAAGATTTTTTAAACCTGAAACAGTTGTATGAAAAAAAAATTGTTCCTTTTAGGTGCTGAGAAAAAAACTAGGTCCACCAGAATGTAAATATGTTCTCAGCTGCTACCAGCCTGGGCTGTTTTGGTTAACTGCGTGCCAAGAAATTGTAAGTAATATTGCAGTGTAATAAATGTCTTGTCTAGTTTTGTCTTGTCTTGCTGCTACTAAGAAGTCCTAGCTTCCTTCACAGACTTTGTTTTTGCTCATCATGCAACAATGGGGACTAGCCAAAACAATTTCTGTATACACAGAATGCTTAAGCAACCCCAGCCCCAAGACTATGGTAAGGTCTAACCCAGGTCTATTCAGGTGTAGGAGGTGGTAACTATAAATAATCAACTGGGCTTGTGATTCAAGCACACTTATTAAGCCTTCTATGCCAACATTCTTTTGGCTTGTCACACAATCCTTCCCTCTGTGGGCAAGGAAAGGGTGACAAAAACCAAAGAACATCAGCATGTGGGGCTATGAAATATATTGTAATTGCAGCTGAATGACATCACTTCCAACAAGGGAAAAAATAAACAGATCCAAATTAAAGCAGTACCTTGAAAACTTAATCAGGTGTGGTCATAAAAGAAAGGCCAAGGTTATATTTTTGACGTTTTGTTTCACTCTTTGGTTTTGTGTTAATTTTGAGAAACACTCAAATCATGACGGGTGTATCATATTAATTTTCTACAACAGCTTTTTGTACATGTGAAAAATATTTTCAGATTGAAATTACCATAAGCGTTTGAACAGTGAAAATGAGTCAGAATGCTGAGCAAAAAAAGAAAAAGTTTAAGGCTTTTAGACTGAGTTTTTAGCAGATAATCATTCAGTTAACGTTTCCTGTTTATCTTTCCCCTCTGGGTGATAGTACCGGCAAGAGTTCCATTAGCATTACATTTTCCATCGCCCCCAAGGAGAAATTATCTTAAATAAAAGGAAATTTTTGAATAAATAGTTATGTGAGGAAAAATAAATAATTCCTGATTTTTAAAGTAACTTATTTAAGACCAGCTGTCAGATGCTATGAAAGTGAACACGCCAGATATTTGAATTGCAAAATTGGCTAGCGTGCTAATAACTTATTATTCCTTTCAATGAAAAATGTCATAATAAAATTTTCGAACTTTCCAATTGCATAATCCGTTTGAGAATGTTTGTCCATGGTGGCATGTATCATTTGCAAAGTAAACAACATTCACCTAGAAATGCTCAACAGCTCTCAAACCTAACTAACTTTGGTTTATAAATCCAGTAAGCCTCTTCTTAATCCCAGTTAAAATTTCGCCCCACCATGGAATAAAACTTCCCGTTAAGAGGACGAAAGAATTCTCGTAAACGTTCGAGTACGTCTTCTTGAACATCAGGGTGTTTTCGTCCTTTGGTTTCACCCATGCAGTGCGATTTTTTTACCGAACCGTTCTCTGTAATTTTGCCTACAAAACACGGAAATCCCTTACTCTCGTTGAAGAAAAAATTGTCCTCCGTTATAAAAGGTTTCAATTTTAAAAATCGCTCCACGAGTTGTACTTCCTTCGCCGGCCGCTTGATCAACTCTTCTCCACTCACAAAGTGAATCTGGTGTAAAGGAAAATATTTTAACCAACGCGCTAGGTGCTTAGCATAACGACCGATCTCTAGTTTTGACCAGTCTTCGTCGATTTTGCCATCAGCGTCCATTACCATTTCTTCGAAAGGAGGATTATCGGGTTTTCTTTCCAGTGACTGTGTATAATCGGATATCGCTCGACGAGTAGGATCGCGGACTATTACAAGGAGTTTCACAGTCTTGGACATTCCATATACCCTCTCTGGAACTTCAGGTCTAATAAAGTAACTTGGTGATTTTTCGATTGTGATTTGATGGGGTAAAGAAGCTGGCATTTGTTGCTGGTACCACTCGAGACCTTGTTCATAATTTTCATCACGATCGAAGAAATGAACCTCGCTACTGCAAGCTCTGATACTTGGGTGAATCTTCAGTATTTCCAGAAGTGCTCGCGTTCCACCTTTCTTCACGCCGATGATAATAGCATTTGGGAGCCGTTTCCTCATCTCTCCATCCTCGATTCCAATTTTAGCGACGTTCCTATCAGCTTCATCATCTTTAACGTGACTTCTGAAATTCATCAAACGTTTCCGATCACCATGTACTGTTTTTGCATAGAATTCCGAATTGTTTCCCTTTTTTTCATCATCTGTGATGAAGCCATCCTCGTTAAGAGAGCTTTTTTCATGGCGTTGCAAACTCTTTTCCGGATATTTCCTATCAGTGGCTGTCTCTTTGAGCGATTCCGAAGAAAATTTTTTCCCTCCAAATGAGGTTAGAGCTGGATTAAGTGTTGTTTTGAAACCCGAGGACACCTTTATTGCCACGTGTTCCTGTTTCGGCTGTTTCACAATTCCTCCTCCAGAAAATATTTTAGTCTTTTTGTTCTTACTTTGGAAACTTCGGAGATAAGACTGTTCTAAGGAACTTCTGCTTCTAGATGTACGGTCATAAACAATATACGTCAATATCGCTGATGAAACGAACAACAAAACGAGAAGACGCTTGCTCTTCAAGCAGAGGCTGTCTCCCCACGACTTTACACGTTTGCATGGCATGAGCCTTGGTCATGCATAGCCTTCGTAAATGCTTGCTGTTCCAAATTCCAGATTTTATAGCATGATTTTAACTTTCAGCATCAAAATATCACCAGCAGTTTCCAACGAAGATTTCATGGTAGTAAATTCAGCTATTTTTAAAATCACAGTTTTGCATGAATGTAAATAGATTGACAGAGTGAGCTATTTGATTGGTTTCCGAAACAATAGGTGTCAACATGTCAACAATCATTGGCGCAATGGTTGCACTTTTATCAACGCTTTATCAGCGATTTATATTATTTAGCTTATCGCTAACTACGTAATAACCCGATCGATCGTATAGTAAATCGTAAATATATTTTAAGTACAAGTAGGAAGTAGGTATGACGTCCGGAGAGTAGAAAAATCTGGAAAAAATAATGAAACTGGTCACAGCTGAGCTCCGATAGGACCAATACTACTTGCCAATGCCAAGGGCAAATTTTGATTATTATTATTATTATTATTATTATTATCATTTTTAATTATTATTCTTATTATTAATAATACAGTATTGTTTTTGGAACGAGTTGTTGCTTTGTACAGGTTTTTATTTCGAAGGAGACGACGGAAAAGTTGTTGCTGAGTATATCTGTCACTGTTCAAGCCGGCAGGATGGTCTCCTGCTTTCGTTGAGTCACATAGCATCTCACTGGCTGACCTTAGTCAGTTCTTTACAGTTTATGTGCCTGGGTAAACCGATCGTAAAACGGTATGGGCAAATAGTAAACATAACCCAGGACAATTTTCGCTGGGTGAAACTCGTTTATCATGATTTGCACAATCCCATTTAACGAGAAATGGCCACGAAAGACTGAAACTGGAATAAAGATGGGTTTGACAAAATGGAACATCAATCTCCGTTAGAAACATTCCCACCGGCCGTGAACAGGAGTACTCTTTCGTTTCGTTGCTCCCGGAAAATTCTCACTGCAACGACCGTCGTGCATAATCCATCGACTTCTAGCCAGAATTTCACTAAACGGTTTATTTGGAAATGATAAACAACCCTCTCAAGGAAGAACAATGAGGGCCGAGTAGTTTGGAAGTGAGCGAAGGAAATGATAGAGTTTCATGCGAGGAAGAACCTGTCTTGCTATCCCATCCTCTCGCCACGAGAGAGGAAGAGGATGTTCTTGTTCACCAAAGTATATCCTGCGCCTTTAATCCCTTGTAATATTGTCGGACGGGGAGGGGTTTGGCCCAGGCTCGCAACATGCAGTTGAAATTCAGTTACACTTAAATTATAGCTTATGACATTTCCGTTTTAGAATTTATTGGGGTATCAAATACAAGTGTTTGGTATCTAGATCTGTATCACGTTACATTGTGAATTTTTCTTTATTTTTTTTTTAGTATTTGATTGTAAAACTCCCTGAAGAAGTCTACGTTCGTTAGACGAAACGCGTAGGCCGAGAATAAAACAAGTTTTACAGCAACAGTTCTCAGAGTGCTGCTCACTAGTTTAGGTTTCAACACACAAAATTATATCTATCCTTTTCAAAATCTCAGTCTCGGCTTTATTCTTAAAATATTCTTAAAATTTCGCAAATTCCAGTCTCGATATTCTTATAAAATATATTCTTATAAAAAAAAAGAGTGTACTTTTTAAGGCAGCGTTCGCAGAGTGCCCGAGTACTGGCTGGGTACTAATGTGGACACATCCTTTTTTCAAGTCTCCACTCTAGAATTCGGGCACGTTGCCGTTGGCCGAGTAAAAGGTCGGAGACTTTGTACTCCAGCACAACAGTGGGCACCGGGTTCCTGTGTGCACACCGTTTTTGTCATTTATGGGGTAGTCCACTGCTCTAGTTGCTACGCTCATGTTTCAAAATGGTTTCTGCAAGGGCGAAATGCAATAACTATGTACACAGTCACATATCGGTTAGTCAAGGTGTGAACACAACTCCACTTGGTGCCGGTACCCAAGTACTGGTCCTCGGCCCGGGCACCAAAAGTGGATTTTAAGAGGTCAACTGCTCGTTTTAATTTATGCAAGAAGCGCTAAAAGAGGTCCACGAAACGACTTTTTTTCTTGGATGATCAAGAAATAATTTGCTGAAAAAACCCTGGCCGAGGATCCTACAGGTCTCAACGTTGGATCTCAAGGAGGACCGGGGGAGATCTAATCAGCTAAAAGTAATTGGAATAAAGAAAGGAGAAGCGCAATAAAGACAACAAAAAACTAAACTGAACTAAACTATTTTTTGTTAGTTCTAAACTATTTCTTCTGGCCAGACCAGCCTTGTTCAGGTTTACAGCTGTTACTGGATATACTAGGATGTTTTCGTGGATGCTGTGTAAGTCCCTCGCTTATACTTGGTACTTGGTTCTCTTTGTGGCCACTGAGCATTTATGCCTCGTGCATGGTATACATTCCCCCCTTTTGCAGTCAAATAAATAATTGAATGCAACATGAACTTAGTGTTCAGGGTTGAGTAGTCAATCAGGTCAATCCACCATTTATTTCCACTAAATGATTGCCGAAAATAACCAGGGTTTACCTGACCGTTACTTCTGTTTTAGATGGGTCCTTTTTTGTATCGAATAGCTGCTTCTAGGCCTTCTCTGACTAACGCATTTCTCCACGCATAAATCAAGGGATTGATCACTGCAGTTAAAAATAGCGCACTTTCAGCCAATGGATAAATCAAATGCAACATGACGTCATCCTGTGCCGCGCCAGCCTGGTGCACGAGGGACGCGCAAAGAGTCGGAACGAAGTAGAGGGAAAAAGCCGCAGTTATGATTACAACTGTTTTAGCGGTCTTAGCTTCCTGTGAGTTTATATCACTCGTTCTGTTTGGGTCCGATTGGTTATTAGCCACATAAGGACTACGTTTACCCGGACGATCAAACTCAACCTACTTTTGAAATGACCCCTGGCTTCAAACCCCGGGGGACTCCCATACATTACCTATACGGGTATGTGCCGCCCAACGGGGTCGTGATTTTAAAGCTCCTGGTTTAGAAAGGGGCTTAGAGGCGTTTTCTAGAACGGGGTATAATATTTCGAACGCATGAAAGCTCCAGGTTTGTAAGCAACCATTTGAAATTATTCAAGGACAGATTGCTTTTAAAAATACGGCTCAATGCGTTACTGAAGCAAACTGTTATACTCTTGTTGCACCCTAGAACGGAGTATAAAAAATTAGCCCATTTCTAGAACGGGGTATCAGTTTTAGGGTGATTTCTAGAACGGGCTATAAAAAATTGGCCCATTTCTAAAGCGGGGTATCAATTTTAGGGGAATTTTTTTTTAGAAAGGGGTGCCAATTTGGAGTCCCGGGCGGCACATACCCACCCAAAAAATACCCAAGTGCCCCCCCGGGGTTCAAACCTTTCACAGTTTTAACAGAGCAGTCTTTGATTTTAGTGGCGTTGTACAATTTAATACAAACGAATACTGTTGCGATTACAGTAAATGATATTACGATAGAGGATACAATTGAGTATGTTTTAAGGTTCATGCCATTTGGAGAAAATCGAAGGCCGAAGCTGAAAACTGTCCACGCGATCCATCCACTTAGAGTAACGCATAGCACGCCAGCCTGAGTATCAGGCCTTCCTAAGGGGCCCTTTCCCCCAAGAAACGCCTGATACTCAGGCTAATAGCACGCGAAATCGCGTCACAGAAGCGCGATTATGAAACGGTTTGAACACCGCAAAGTGTCTCTCCAATGTTATGAGCGCGAGAGTGATAAATGACTACCCCACGCACCAGAACTCGAACACGGTTTTAATAAAATAGGGACTATACAAGCGAAAGAGCTTATATACTTTCCTGTCTGATAAGCAATGAACGCTGGCTGTGCAAACATGGCGATTAACAAATCACTGAATGCCAGGCATAAAACTGAGGTGTTAAAGACTGTCCACAAACTACGATTTTTCAAAACAACAGCGGGGACTAAAAGATTTTCCACTGTAGCCACTGGACAGGAAATTCCGTTGCCGATGCATGTTAACAAAGTGATGACTTGAGCCGTAGTATTTGCCATGTACGGAAGAGTATGAACCTCTATTGGTAGATGTGGACAGATAAGGACCGTCTCAGACAGTGTCGTTTGGTTTAATGTCGCGCCATTGCGCAGTGAATCTCTTCAGACTAAGTCTAAAGCTAGCAATTATTTTCTTTCAGTTAAGCGCTGTTGCTTCTCCCATATTCGAATAAAATTGATTTGCGGAAACTAAAACGCTTCAACCCAAAACGAAAGCTAGAACAGAACAACAAGGCTTCGTTGCTCCGCTATATTTGATATTTGCTCGATCTCAGTTCGTAATGAAATCATCTCAGCGCGCAGATGAACTGGAGGAACCGCTTCTTTCCTGAGAGACCAATCCATTAGATCATAATTTTTTGATACCATGTGATGTGAACTATCGTCTCGATTAAACTAGCTCTGGCAAGAAGAGAATATATTTGAGCGGTGTCAGTTTGGCTCACACGCTAAATTTAAATGAAGAAAACAAAACACTCCAAATAGGGCAAAGACCACGAGACGGAAAACTCCTTTTCAGCTACTCCACTCCGCTTTGACATGTTTAAGGTCTTCTTTTTCCGACAGCAGATAAATCCTTAATTTATGAAACTGGGCGTAAAATATAAATCTAAAATCTGATTGCAGCGTCCAATAAAACCTTTAGAGAGAGGTATAGATTGATGTTCAAGTGATAACTTATCTTAAATAATATGATTGGTTGAGTAAAGACATTCTTTGCTCGCAATGAAACTTAGCTATGAAAACTAACAAACCACCCGTCGATAAGGTACGTTTTATCGATATGGCGATTTTAAATACTTTCAGGGGCCATTAGTGTAATTAAAACAACGCCAAAAATCACTTATCTCGATGTCGATTTTTCGTCTCGATACGAAAAACAAAAATTGTTTTTTTAAAATGAATAGAGCGAACGAAACGTGGGAATTTCTTTTAGTATTTGCGCTCAATTTTCCATGACGCATTTGCTTGGTTGCTCCGAAAGGTCTTCGTTCTCAGTATTAGAAAAGGAAGACATTATTCCATGCCCCATTTTAAACAAGGGAAAAGTTGAGATTGTTTTTTGTTATTTTTATGTCTTAGTTAAAACACCCGAGGGTCCCAACAAATTTGAACAAAATGGACCCCGACATGCAAGTTTTCGACGCCATCTTGACGGGTATCCATGTTTGCGAGAGTAAGGGTGTTTTTAACATGTTTTTTGACTGTTCATAGCTCCCTATTTTCCACATGGTTCGCAGGGGCCTTGAAAAAGCATCAGTGTCCTTGAAAAGTCTTTGAAAACTGAAAAATTGTGGGATATCCTTTAAAAGTCCTTGAATTTTCCACAGAAGTCCTTGAATATTTTTGAAAGCTCCTTGAATAAAAATAACCCTCGTTAAAAAAAACTGTTTTGCACAAAGGAATGATTGAAAGCACAGCAATACACAAATTGTTTTGGTGATAATGAAAGTGTTTTTTAGTGATTTCGGTGTTCCCGGCATAGTTCATTTTCCGTTATTTGAAGTACCCTAGGAACCGTGCCTTAATGAAGGAAGGCATTGCAATAAGCAAATCCCCCTCTACCTACGCATTTTGAAGGTCTTTACGTCATGTTATCGGGGAAAAGAAGTCCTTGAAAAAATTATTTTAGTCCCTGAAAAGTCCTTGATTTTTTCCCAAAAAATTCTGTATGAACCATGTTTCCAGTAAGATCGGCGAAATCGAGTGCTTACTGTAACTGGCGGCCATCTTGGTTTCAAATGTTTATACTCATAGCCAGGCTGGTCTCGGAACATTTGGAACCAAGATTGCCGGCCGTGACAATAGGTACGCGATCTTGATGAGTCTTAAAGAACAAATAGGGGAGTTTGAACAGTACTAGTCTAGGGTGTGCAAGAGTATCGATATCTGGCTGCGAGCACGTCTAGCTTTGTTGTATTTATTGTTTGTTTGTTTCTGTTTTTTTATGTTTTCCATGAGTTGCGGGAATGGGGTGGGGAGGAAGTCTCGCACGGGAACTATGAATTTCCGAGAATTTCCTTATCTTCAATCTGGTACCCAGACCTCCCACGGCGTTTCAGCTCAAGACAGAGTGAGATCTGGGTACAAGATTATGAATCACTTTCGTTCGGTGGTGGATAACGTAGTGATTTATTTACTAATTATTTCATGTGCTTAGACGCTAATAGAAAAACTAAGTATGATTCTTTGTAACAGCAGAACTATGTAAACTGCACTGAAAGTCCAAACAGCTTAGCAGTAGATTAAAATCACCTTTCTGCTAAGACACGAAACATTTATCCACGCATTAGGGTATGAATCAAAAGATGGTGTATTTTAAAAAAGAAATTTGCTCTGATGACTGACAAGGGGTTGGCATTGTCAAAGCGTAAAAATTAGTACAAAGATTCGACAGCAAGCTGTTGGATAGCAGTGGTACAAGAACCAGGGCGAAAAGATCTTTTTCCAGCTTTTGTAAAATCACTCTCTCATGAGGTACTCTTAGGTCAAAAGGAGGTTGTTGTTTTGCCAAAATTAAAGATGATAAGAGGCGGTAACTTGATCGTAAAAATCAATTAAGGTCTACACAGAAATGTACATATAAGCTAAATCGTAGCCGGCTGTTTGTTTAAAGACCTTGTATGTACACAGACCGCTTAAAGGCTATCTCAGTAGTGACTCCGCCTCTAACAGATTGCAAGTTAGAATTTTTTACTGCCGCAGAGGACACAATACATTACTGTAGGAAAAGTGTGTGGAGAGATTACGCTGAAAAGGAAAAATCGGCGCCTTTCAAGTCGGTGGCATTACCGTCGGTGTACTAAGGGGACCGACATTGAATAATTTCAGATGTGACATTTGTATAATACGCTTCAACCACTTAACAATGGTAATGTACCACTTAAAGTTATTACTTTATTTTCAGTGATACCTCAACGTTTTGTTCCCTACCATCCTATAGGCTTTCTCCGAACTAGTCCGGCAGCATTAAAGGTTGTAAAAGCCCTTGTCTCAGCCCAGACGATCGCTTCATTGGGCGGTGACGTTTTAAAAAGCCGTTGCTCTTGTCTCCTTCATCCTTCTTTCATTAGTCGAATCGAAGGCAACGTAAAAGAACGCACACTTCTGTTAAAGAAGGGAAGGTTTCCTGGCTGGTGGGGTTTATGGGTGGGATACAGTAAGCTAATAAATGAGCTGATAGCGGCTGCAACTGGCGCTCTTTTATGCTGTCGTCCGAGCTTACTGTTACACTGTAACAAGTGAAGAAGGCGCGTCTTGTTGTTTTCTATCCACGACATTACATTACAAACTGTTTTCCGGCAGTTTCATTTTGTTATATTATGTTTTTTTTTTCAGAAGTGTCTGTGTCATTGCACGCTCTTGTTATGGAAAATTAAAATCAGTTGTGACAATTCTTAGACTAGCTGTTTTTTATGCCGATCAGCATTTTGACAATTTTCGCGAAACTTAGGTTGTTTTACTACGTCTTTTTGGTCAAATCGCGAAATCAAGCGTTGCCAAAAATGCCCTTTCCAGTTTCCGCGATATCAAAATAAGTTCCCTGGAAAATGAGTAACAAGTTTCAGTTTTTGGTCGCGGTTGCGACGAAAAATCGTACTATGTATTTTGTTATGGATCAACCGCTCATTTCGAAAGTCAGTTTTTAATGGACGGTAAAATCAATTAAAACAAACAAAATTCATCAAATCTTTTAAAAACGGCCAACTGATTAAATAGTATCTGTGTTTAAATAATACATTAACGTTTAAAATGAAAATTTCGCCTTCAAGGAAAATTTGAGGCACAGGCGCGTTTGTCGGCTAAAGCCTAATCAAACGATTCGAAATTGAAGTCGTTACGGAATTTCCTTTTTTTTCCAAATTTCAAGATGTTGGATGATGATGAAGGAAACTTACTCCTAAATTAAATCTAAATCTCCCTAGTCTAGTCCACAAAACTAAGCTTGAAACTGAGAGAGATTAGATGCTGAATTTTTGAGCCTGGTGAATACATGAGAAAGATGTTTTTTGAGTCAGTGACACAGGAGGCACGGAAGGAAAAATCCTACAGAGGACTCCTAAAATAGGGGTCAAACCTATGACCTACTTGTCACCAGTCCAGATGCTCTACCACTGAGTTAGATTAGACTCGTGGGAACTAGGGCCACTAAACTGTTTCCAACCCAAAACGACCACTTTTTAGTTGACGTTTATTGAAATATGTTTCTTTAGCGTTGAACAAGCTGTGGTTAGACTCATTTTTTTGCAAAGTGACTAAAGACACTTCTGATAAGATAATTCACTGAGAATAATACTTCTAAAAAGGAATAATACTTCTGAAAGGTACATACCAAGTCATTTTCACTATTAAGTTGTTATTTAGTGACAGCTCCAAAGGCAGTGAGCCAGATGAAGACTTGAGTCTTGGAGTAGTAGATGGAGTTCAATTCATAAACAAGGTTTGAAAGAAATAGTCGAGGTAAGGCATACATAAGGTTTTATCCGAATGAGTTGATAAGGTTAATAAACGCTAGTTTTTTTTAACCAGTCCTCTCGGTGGCTTTCCATTTTTTGTTTCGTTTTTTTTAACTCGTCAGCCTATCGCTTAACACATATTGGTAAATAAGGCTCTGGAAATAATGAAGATATCGGACACTTTTGGAGAAACATTGAATAACTATAAAGCGCGCCAATAATTAAAGTATGCAGAATTTTACAATTGTTGCGGCTTTCGCAGTTCTTTTATAAATCGCCGGTCAGGTAAGAGTTCATTTTTGCTGACTCTTCGTTTCTATAAAAACTCTATTTATATATAGCCATCGGACGAAGAAACTTTAACGCAGTTACTAATAAAGTAATTGAACACATTAACCAATCGAACCCCTTCACAAATTTAAAGCAACTGTTTCATTAAGGTTTCAGTATTCATCAGTGGTGACACAGTGTCAAAGACTGTCGAACACTCTTACTTAATGTTGGCTTAAATTCGAAGCGTTGTTTGACCATTTATCTTAATTGAGGCGTTTAGGATGTTTAAATATCTGAAGTTTACATAGGAAAGACACATTAATAACGAACATTAATCAGTGGTGAGACAGAAAACACCTGCCTGCCATTTTGGTCTCCTTGAACTGAATATATAACCCTCAAAGGTGGAGATCAACGTCATTGTATGGTGGGATTGAAAATTCGTCGAGTACCGAAGACACAATTTTATTTGCAAGATGAATTTGAGCTTTGAGGAAACCGCAGGCAAAAACTGTCCACCCATATCTCCATCAGTCAGTGTCCCATACTCCCCAACAGAAGAAACGCGACTAGCAACCATGCTCTGCTTAGCAATCAACTGTATTATATGGCCAACTGGATTATCAGTCAATGTCTTGGTCTTCATCACTGTTTTAAGGAAGCCGCAGTTGAGAACCGTCTATAACACGTCGGTTCTTTACCTTATGGCTGCAGATCTTTGCGTAATCGTCTTGACGCAAACCACGAACATCGCTTACCTGGTCAACAAGATTCTCACCGACGACTATTCCTGCTCTTTATTCTTTGTTTATAATTTGTTCACATGGTGGTGTCATGGATTATCTTTTTTCACGTTGTTGATCATCAGCATTGAGCGATATTTCGCCATTTTGCATCCATTTAAGTACGAGGCGTCCGTAACGAAAACCCGAGTATCTTGTGTTGTCCTGATATCTTGGATGCTTTGGTCGATGGTAGTGTTAAACTTACATCTTATTCCACATGTTTCACAAACCACCCGTCTTATCATCACTGTAAGCTTGGTTTTGCCTAGTAGTATTTCAACACTAGTGATTTACTTCAAAATATACCGAGAAATACGGGTAAATATCGTACACATTGACCTTCCAGGAAATACTCCACCTCTTGTTAACCACGATCGCAAATCATCTAAAACGATAGGACTGATAATCGGAGCGCAAATAGCAAGTTTTACGCCTGGCATTTGTTTAAACATCGTGCAAGCATTTTCACTTATACAAGAAGATCTACTCATACATGGTATTTTTCCTTTTGCTGAGACTGCAGCTTTGATGAATGCTCTTTTGGATCCTGTGATATATTTCTGGAGAAGCAGAGATGCTTGTAGAAGTATTAAAGAACTCTGCTGCAACTGTCTAGTCGTCAAACCTAATGCTCGTTCTTTGCAAACGCAAAGAAACTTGACTTTTTCTAATATACAACTCAAGTCATTTCATAAATCCCTCACCGTGAATGAGATCATCAGCCGTACTGAAACAATCAGCTGAGTCCTCAGGGTTGGCAGGTGTTTATTATAACGTTTAGTGTGACTAGGATACTGACTTCTCATACACGAATACTGTTTCATGGTCACTTTCAGTTTTTTTGGCATACTAAACATGTCAAATAGACTTTAAGTTGGAAGAAAGTCACAGGAAACAAACCTCACAACACTTCAATCCGACCAATGTTCAAAAAAAGAACCTTTTTAGTCGTTCCAGGATATCAGCGTTTTGAGGAAATGAGAGAGCATGTTAGCTCTTTTTCTGTCACGTTCACTTACGCTGTTTCCACTTCCTTTTCCGTACAAATAACCATTTTTCAGTATTACTGTATCTTAAAAAATGCACTGAACTGCATAGTGTGAACAAAGAATCGAGTCGAATTGAACATTATTTCTTTACAGAGGAAAGTATTCAACATCAACAAACTTAAAAGTTACACAGAGCTTTCGGAGCTCCATTTCATCATTGAAGTTTATTGTCATTTGCAGCCTTGTTTTGATAAGGCTGCAAAACTCTTCCCATCCATAAATTTGGGACATGTGGTTGCCCTTATCACGGTTGACGAAACTTTATTTGTTAACAAAGGTCTTTTGTTAGGTTAATTCAGTCTAGATATTAAGTTCTGTTTGCCAAATGAAGAACGGATCCTTCCTTTTTATTTTCTTCTCCGACTAAGTTTGATAAGTCAAGAAAGGTGTCTTTATTGCGCAGTTGTGCCTGTGTAACCAGCGGGTTTGGAATTCGACTTTTTTCGGCGGCGCTAAGCGAGCGGCAGCTCAATTTGACTCTTCCCTATTTTGTTCGCGTCTTAACAGCCTAAACAAGACCAAAAGGTCTACACGATAAATCCCGCCTGCTACGCATACTATAGCCAAGTTCACAGCAAAAGACTCGCGTTTTTCTTCTCACTTTATTCTCATCAAAGTTATTTTTAGTTTTGGTGGCTATTAATTCGTTCAGGAACGTGTGCCACGAAGACCCAGAGCGAAGGCTTCACGTCTTGTATGCACAACACTGGCGTTTCCTTTCGGTTTCACAACAGCACGCTTGGAACAACAGCAATATCTACAGGAAAGAACTTTCATGTAACATTCTCGAAAATTCCTATTAAGCACACTGTATATTAGAGGATTTAAAGCACTGCTCAAAGCGATTAAAAAATGAAGTGTTACGTAAACCTCTCGAGAAAAGACCCAGCTTCTGCGAATCGTATCCACGAGGTTAATCAACAAAACTGAAATCCAACAGAGATTAAAACTCACGACTACCACAAACAGAGTCCGCGCGATTTTAATTTCTTGCACGTTTACCGAGCGGAATCGCATTCCAGGAAGTTGAAATTTGTAATTATGCCTGCGAACTGTTTTGAAAATCATGGTGTAGCAGTAAAACATTATGCAGCTTGGAAATCCTATGTAAAGTAGCAGACCATATCCTAGGAATGCACTATTATTGACGGGAGGAGAGCAGACGAAGTTGTAAGGATGAAAAACCATTTTGCCACCTCTCAGGAAATAAGGAAAAGGCGCAATCATGGAGGACGCCCAAGATACAACTATCATCATCATGGTTTTCTTTTTGGTGAAGTAGCGGTGATACTTTTCAGGCTTGACGATTCTAAAATATCTGTTCACTGCCATCAAGACCAACGTGTGAATCGAAGCAACGGTCAAGATTGTAGCTGTGTAGCCTTGAAATTGGCAAGTCAAATCGTTAAAGGGCCACTGAGATGTCACCAGTGTAGGAATATCTAAAGGCAATGCAAGTAACACTCCAAACAACAAGTCCGAAACAGCGAGTGATGCTACAAACATATTTGGAATTGTCCGCATCCGACGATACAGAAACATTACCAGGAGGGTCATAAAGTTTCCAGCAAACAAAAGCAGCAAAACAAGCATGTAAAAACCAGTTTCCAGCATGACTGTTGTTTTGCTTCTTGCCTTAAACTCTTTTAACATGTCCTCTAGTTGCTCCTGCTGTTGCTTGTCCGTGGAATGAATCATTTTTATCCACTGTCAATTCAGCCACAGAGCGACTTCTGTTTGGTGAATAATGAAGCTATGTGTAATATTCATTTGACCTACACGACTATTATGTTTCGGCAATTTTAATGCGCTTGCCCGCAAGGTCTGCCCGCTTTGGGACCTTTTAGAACAATAGAATGTTAATCGCTTCCTGCCCCGCCAGAAGGCAAGGTCACATCCAGGTGTCACATCTGTATTCCGTGTCACCAAACGCTTAATCCCCAAACCTAGTTTCTATCTAGCAATTAACTATGTATCTAGAGATAAAACAAACAAATTCAGATTGGACTGTCATTCATTTAGTCATTTAGTTTCCTTCGCAGCCGCTTGAGCCGGAGTCACGCAATGACTAGAAGAATAGTAATCTATTCAACAACATTCTTATTCATGCTCAGTTGTATTGAGGTATGGGAAAATGATTGATTAGCCGACTAAACCAAGCTGGGAAAGCTTGGCTTAGCTTTGGGGGTAGTTAATAATAGGACCCACGCGATTTTCTGGGTGGAAGAGTGTGTGCCGTTCATCCCTTCTTGGCTCCTCTGAAAACTGAGCAAGAATCAAAGATTTCCACGCCAAATCAGTATTTTTCATCAGGAGTTACGTAATCGCACGTGAAACCGTTTGACTAGCATAATATTTCTCCCTGGGTATTGTTGCTCCCGCAGGGAGGCATCCTTGTAGCTCGCGCACACAGTGGAACTCCGATATATGGATTATTAATACGGTCACCAATGGGTCATAAAAATTTGGCCGTATTAACGGGGTGGCCGTATTACCGGGGTAGGGTCAACTTTCATGACTTAGGGCCTGTACACATGGAAGTGAGGGACCCCAGGTAGGTGAGGTAACCCGCTTAGGTGGGAAAACCCGCCTGTCCATATAATCTCTCATTTTAATTTGTTCCCGTTTACATGATAGGTGGGGTGACCCGCCAAGGCGGGTAGCCCGGTCTACCAGACCGGGTTACACTCTCAGCCGGGGTCAAATTTTGCCATGTAAACGTTTCAAGGTGGGGTAACCCGCCTGGCCGGGGTCGGATTCGTGATACATCCAATTCGCGCAAATTTCACTTTGGCGGTGGCTTTGCATCATTATTAAAGTTAACAATAGCAAGGCATTGTACTGAAGGTTGCAGCAAGAGCAACAAGTGAGTGTAGAAGTGCATTAATCGCCAAAATACGTGGTTTGCCATCATTTTTCTTTACGTGCTTAGCGACCATTCAATAATCTTGAGAAAGTGCACCCCGGGATGCCGGGGTTGTAAGATTGCATGTAATTAGGAGGGTTATTTTTTTACCCCACATAAGCAGGTTACCTCACCTACCTGGGGTCCCCCCACCTCCATGTAAACAGGCCCTTAAGTTGGCCGGAATGACAAATGCACCATACATCGCATTCGTACTTCGTGAACAACTTTTCTCTTTAATAAACAACCGGAATGTAGATATCGCGTACGGTAATGGCAAAACTACTTGAAACTTTTCTTTAATACATAAAACACTGCCATTAATCCGCCACAAATGAATTTTCAGTGAACTGTAGTCTAGACGACAACACAACCACAGGTTCGGCTTGCAAGAGATCAGTGAAATTGACATGTCACAGGCATTTTATTTGTCTAAATTTCGAACAAGTGGCCGTTTTAACAGGGTAAAATTATAGAAAGATTCTGCTCTTTGGGATTTAAAACTGTGGCCGTTGGCCGTATTAACGGGTGACCGCATTAACGAGGTTTTTTTTATAAGAAAATGTATGACCGTTTTGCAGAGCCAAAAAGAAGTGGCTGTAATAACGAGGTGACTGTATTACCGAGGTGACCGTGAGGCGGGGTTCCACTGTTTAGAAAATTACTTACAGTTACAACATACAGTCAGTATACTAGAACTCGATTTGCTTGATCAGGGGCTGCATGGAATCGTTAGGTAATGATGACGTTTCTATCGTTCACGCCCGCAAGTAAGAGATGGTTACGATGACGTAAAAGAAAAACGTTTAGGTTGATTTTGTGACACTTATTGTAGTCATACTTCAATACTCTATTGCGTTACGTAGTATCAGTGACATTCTGTGGAGCAGCGTTTTTGAAATTTAAGGACCAAAAGATACTCGTTAAGCGCAGATGAAGTTAGAAGGTGTGTATAACTGTGTATATATAAACACTTGGAGAGTTTGTCAGACACGAATTGATCATTCACAAATCTTTGATTGAAAACAACTTGCCAGACCAAGAGCCCATAACTCCCTGAGCTAGCAACTTCCATGCACTCGTATCCATGCGTTTTCACGGACCAGTTTATTTTTAGAATGGTTTTTGGAGCGAATTTTGAATATCTTTTAAATTCCACAAATCAGTCAGCAAAACGTACAGACCTAAAAATGACATTTTTTGCCTTTTGATAACGTTTAGTTTTCCTTTTTGATATCTTTTACTTCGAATGCGTTCACAGACATGGTGGGGATTCCATTTTCGCGGGAGAAAGTGCTCTAAAATGTGTCTAAAAATAAACTGGTCCGTAAAACGTCCGTGACATAGGCCTAGTATTGGAGTTACTCGCTCACGGCCAGACACTCTTTCCCTCTCTTTGGGGGGATACGCCAGTCCACAAACAAGAAGGACAACTGAATCAACGGCTAGCTTATCGCTCGGTAGAATGATGGACGATTAAAAAAATTCGCCGACAATTAAATTCTGGTCTGACGTATTCCCTGCACGCAGATGTCCTTCTATAAAGTTTAAAACTGACCAGAACGCGCGAGCGTGAGTCGATCAAATCTTTTAAATCCAAAGTCTTACTTTCCGGCTAATAAAATGAACTGTATGTAAAAAGAGAAAGACAAATAGCGAAAAATTCCAACTTCTAATCAGATCTTTTCTGATTTTTAAATCAAACTGTGTAAATCGAACTGAATCAGTGCATGGAACCTCGAGTTGCCTGTTTTTATCTTACTTGTGGTATGGAATATGTGTGACAATCTTCATTATATTTCAAAGAGCTACACAATCACCAGAACTACAATGGACCGACAACATACAGAGCGGGGGCAGCTGTAGTGTCAATCATTACTAGTTATTAATGATATGATAATAAGGGATTGAGAGTCGCTCTTACCCGGAAACACTCCCAGGCCAGGCGAAAATTGGTTGGAGACTAGCTTCAAACCCGACTCACTGGACTGCGAACTCAGACGTATTTGCGGTCGTCGCTTCTCTCCACCGAAAATTAACTGAGGAGAAGGGGTGGCTCATCCTCGGAGACCCAGGGGCAGTCAGTCGGGTCGGTAGAAAAGGCGCGATGAAAGCTCTCCCGACCCGACTGATTGCCCCTGAGTCTCCGAGGATGATGTTTCATCTGTGAACGAGTGTCACAAAATAGATGCCAGTTCTGAGGCGAGAACAATTAAACGCATGTGATCGAGGCAAAATGTGCCAGCCAGTCCAAGATGGCACTCAAACCGTGACATGGCATGACATCCATAACGCTACTCACAGGATCTCCCGCGGGACTCGATTAGTTAGAGTTCTCCTTCGTCGACCGCAAATATTGACAAGTATTACAACGTGGGATGATTATTCAAAATTGCGACGGTTGCGTTTACAGTAGTGTGATGTTTTTTTGAAAGACGGAAGCTCAGACATTTTCGCCAGTGAATCATTTCAATCATAACCCACGCCAGGCATCGTCACCCTGTCGTTTGCTGTTTCCCTGGCTGTGAAATTTATAAGAGGAAACCTCTCCGCTCGCCAGTGCGAAGAACTTTTTACTTCAAACATTTCGGGGAATACGAGGAGCTGAGGTACTTGCAAGAGTCAATTTAAACTGGTTTTCTGGAATGTAATTTGGCTTTGATAGGTTGTTTTATGCATTTAGGTATCGATCCATTTGTCCACTTCTTATTAATTTTCCCGGGCGAGTATTCCGTGATGGACTCCTCTCTTTTACGTTCTCGATACACGCGTAACCATCTGGCTCCAGTTGTTTAAAGCTAGATAGCGCTATCCATCGGATAAATCACAATGCAATGGATAAGTGTTTAACTGGGAAACCAATTGCACTATCCACTGGATAGAGATTTTTCCGCTGGATAGCGCTATCCACCTTTCAACAACTGGGGCCAGATTTCAACTGCGCGTACTAGCAGAAGCAACGATAACGAAATCTCCTCCTTGAATAAGAGCGCTCACGCTTCTTACGAAATCGATGAGGCTTTTTCTTTAACATACAGGAAATACTTTGTATTTACCGAAAATTCGCGTCAAAACAAAACTACATTAATGGCCTGTACATTAGACTGCGAACGTTTCGTCCTAGACATGAAATGTGAGAAAATCAATTACTGAGACCATTGCTTTCAAAGCGCGAAGGCGTTTTTTACTCCCGCATAAATGCAATTTGCGAGAAAGCCGAAAAGGCTCAGCAAGAAGTAATCGAGGAAACAAAAAAAATTGGAAGAAAAGAAGGAGGTATTAAGCAATATTTCTTAATTACTTTGGTTAACTCTGCAAGCCAAAAAACCTCTAGGGCGCTCATAAATAATCACATTCTCAATTGTTATTTCAATCACTGATCTGATTCAGATGTCGGTTATTTCGTCAAAATTTACCAATCTCAGACAAAACTTTATTCTCAATGTTTTCTTAGCTCTGCCCAGACTATAATAAGGTTCTGGGCTTAATTTTCGTCGCTAGGTTGTTGTTGTCTCGCCTCTTTCTAAAACTAAGAAACGAGAAAAGTTTTTTAAAAAACATAATGTGAATGACAATTTCCGATTCTGGGGTAAACGATCAAGAATAAACATTGCAAAGGAACACCCTCTGATTTACCATAAAAACATCGTTTTGTGTCAAACGTTCTGTCTTGTATTTAATTAAATTACTTCAGAGTGTTGTCAGTAGCTATTATAGGTGATATCTATATGCCTTACTCTATCTATATACCCAGGAGTAAATTAATTATATTACAGCTTACAGCTGCCAGTTTTTTTCATGTAACTTGGAAAGAGAGCGATTTTTTTAAACGTGGGTAGAGACGAGGTGTACTCCGAGTTCATTTTTTCAAGAATTTGTGTCTGAATTTTTCTTGTAATTTTCTTGATTTTAAAAAAGCAAGATTTGAGGATTAATGGGAGAAAAAAAAGTACTAGAGGAAAGATGTTAAAGAGTTTCAATACCTTCAATAACCTTAAAGCAGTGAGTTTGTCATAATAGGTCTAAATCACGATCACGTCTACGTGCTCGCGCTTTTAACATCACAAAACAATCCTCAATATTAATCTTATGGAAACACTTCAATGTTTATTGTTGTAAAAGTTTATTTTGAGTTATCATTTTGTTGAGACTGAAGAAAAAGATAAAGCAACCTCTTTCAGCTCTAATAATTTTTTTCTTGCTGTTTAGGTCAACGAACAGTTCTTTTTTGCATCTATGATGTGGGTTTTGAACCAAAAAGGGAGTGCTCTTTCTACAGCCAACATTTGTTGCTGTCAATTACCTTTTATTAATTTGCTTTTACTAAAACAAATACGGTAGTCTTGAAAAGAAAGATATGAGCAATGATTTTTTGCATTAATATTGGTAACCCTTTTTGTATCCGTAGGTAAAATTATAAAAGTTAAAACAGGTATGTCACGGTTGTTATCTGTATTATAAGCGGAAGATTTTACTCAACGTAAGGATGCAATATCAAATAACCTCAAATAGAGCGTACACCTGCCGTTGAAAAGTAAAGGCCACTGTTGATCTGAATGGGATTGGTAGGTTGAGAATTCTATTTATCTCTATGGGTAGAAATGTATAAGCTTTTGTATACAACAAGTGGAAATTTTATTCAATTCGAGGATTTAATATTGGACTTCATATCAAGCAGCGCTGTACACCTGGCCTTGCAGAAACAAAAGCCTACGCTGGGTATGAGGAACATATTTTAGGCCCGAGTCATGAAAGTACCAAACGTTTACTAAGGCTGCGTGCGCGTTAAAGACAGAGAGAGCGAAGGTTTCTTAGAAACGGTTAGAGAAACATTTGCGTAAGTATTCACCTGTTTGATACTTACATCCACTTTTACGTTTTGCCAATTTTAAGGGAGTTCGATGCTCACATTGTGACATCTTGTGTATGGGCAAAAAAATGTGATTATATGAAAACACACTGCCAACGACAAGAACAAAGTTTCAGTAGAAATCGTTTCTTTATAGCAACCAAGCTGCTGCCGGCTGTCTATGTAGTTTTTTTAGCACCTGAAGATTGGATTTTACAGAACCTTTTCTCTTACTAATTAATTCAAGTAGATTCATTTCCATTTCACATTGTTTTGAGAACGTTTAGGCTTGTTAAGGCGCGAATTGGTACATGTTGGCATTATTTGATGATGAGTCATCGTAAAAAAATGAGTTTATTTTTCATAAGAATCTGCTGTGTCATAAATCAAACAAGGTACGAAAACGTATCCCTCAGTGAAGGAGCTAAGCGTTTAAATTCTATATGACCTATCATCTTTGTAGTGAACAGTGAAGGTCAGCACCACTAGGCTTCCGGATTATTCCGTAGCTATCAGATTCAACTTTGCACAGTTATTTCGTCCTTGTAAGTCAACATAATCCAACAACATAGTCCAGGGCGAAATATCCGAAACTACGCAATATGTAACGCTGACAAGGCTAGTGTAAAAGTTTAACTTTTTAAGCAGAAGCTCAAAAGTATGCATACTCTTATGGATGAAGAAGATACTTACGGCTGCAACTATCTAGGAACTATGTAGGCATGGTGTACATAGTGTGCCTCCCTACTTCTTCTTGTTTCTTCCCTAGTACTTTTTAAAAGGGTTCAAATCTAGCCAGTACTGCTAACCAATTTACATTTCAATTTCTCATTTCTTTTTTTCATAGAGAAACCCTAAACCCAGAGAGAAGCCAAGAGGTTAAAAATTACGATAGAAGCATGGAAACTGCTATTGTCTGGCAACTATATTCATCGTTTTTAACAATAGTGATACTTTTCACCATAGCTGGAAATTCCCTGGTTTGTATTTTAATAACACGAAACAGAGCATTGAAATCATCCATTAACTGGCTTCTTTTCCACCTGGCCATTGCAGATTTACTGGCAGCTGTGTTTTTTATCCCTCCATGCGTTCTAAGCCACTTTATTCATCATCCAGGTGGCAAGACTGGAAACATTCTGTGCCTTTTATTTACCGCTGGTACCTTAGGGCTGGGTATCTGCCTCAGCGTCGAGCTTTCTACTGGTATCAGTTGCATTCGAGCGATATTATGCCACCTTACATCCATTTCGGAGCCTTCAACGCAGGTATTCGTGGTGGCTGCTGTTCCTGCTGTGGATTTTAGCAATCTCATTAAACCTTCCGTCTATTGTTGTAACAGCCTTTGATGTACAGAGTCAAATGTGCTCCGAGAACTTCCCAAGTTACACATTTTCCCGTGCCTATTACATCACATGGTCATTTTGCAACTCAGTTATTCCTATCTGCATAATGGGGTACTTGTACTCAAGCATTATTTTGCATTTGCAAAAACAAACTTTTATTCCAGATTCTTCTCGAGTATCGGCGACACGGCGCAGAAACAAAGTGACCAAGATGCTCATTTCCGTCACTGTAATCTTTGCTGTTTGCTGGATCCCTCAGGCCACTCTCTGCGTCATAAGCCCCATAATTCCTGGCGGTTATGGCACAGTCAGCGCGATGGCCACAGCGAGTGCACTGCTAAACTCCTGTCTAAATCCACTAATGTACACTCTGCACAGTCAACAGTTCAGAAAGAATCTAGCCTCCTTAATCTCGAGCTGGATCCCACAGAAGAGTTCTCAAACGACCGTTCACAGCAGGGGAAAAAGCTAGAACTGACCTACTTAGAAAAACACCCATCATAGCATCTAAGGCTAGCTGTAATTATGGGTGATAAATTTGTTTATATTCTTTCACATCATAGTGTAAATGAAGTCGCTCTGACCGCCAGCCTGGCCTTAGAAATTGGAAAGCCGAGTCAGTACTGGCAAATAGATTAGATGATGAAAGTTGACGCACAGCAAAATTTCAAAGGCACCAATCTTTTAGATATCTCAGTAGTTTATAGGAATTGAAAGAGAAGGTGTACTCGCGAGAGGATGAGAGGTGGACTTTAAGATGCTGGCAGATGAGTGGTTGATATACTAGCAAAGGGGTTTCACGGCATTGTTGTAGTTTTCTGACAGACGACAACTGGGACATGCGAACCTCGATGGTAACCTACTTCTGCCACGCTATCAGGTATATTGGCTTCTGGTTACATCGGTACATGTCAATGGTGATGCGATAGTCGACACGTTAGCAGAAATGGAAGTCTGCCCACGTTTTAAGCACCGCTTGGTTCTTAAAATGGTCATGAACACCGTCAGAGGCTGATCGTGGAACATCAGAGAGGCTGATGGTAAAATACTCTGACACACTTAGATTTCCATGAGGTTGACTGGTCAACGTAGATGCCGAGGCCGCCAATTAAGACAAAGTAGTAGTTATTGACAGAATCCTAAGTAAAGGAAATAGCTATTGGAACAGTTGGCAGAGTTGATTGGAGCCATATCACTTGATGGTCGAAGGCCTAGTAGATATTCTTGTTGATACCGTTACAGAGGGTACTGGTGACAAACCAGTCAAAGCAAATTGCGACGCGCCGGAAGGAGACATGGTAGAACAGGAAGCTAGCACACTGGCGGACACAGTAACAGTTAACGATGTTGCCGTCTTTGATGGAGTTACACTATTCAATGCACTGGTTGTGGAAAAATGTTGTTTGGTGGTTAGAGCGGGATAAAAAAAAAGAAGAAATCCAAAATGACGAACGTGCTTTTAAGACTTGCAAAAATAGGTGAGGACACACTAGCTGGCACGATGATGGAGATTCATCGAGTTTCTTTGGTTGAAAGATAAGCAGAGATAGAAGTGCAAACCAATACATTAGTGTTTGGCGACTCGAGGCGAAGGTTGATAACGACACGGTGGTAGAATAAGTGGAACGTGCCGCCCTGATTTGCCTACCAGAGGAGTCAGTTCTTGACTCGCTGACTAACTCGCTGCTATAAGGTAAACAATTAACAGAAGTCCATGCACTTGCAGACTTGATCGCGAAAACTCTGGTAGACAAAGAATGTCCTTCACGGGTTGACTCAGCACGAATGGTGGAAGTCGAAACGCTGCCTAAATTGTTAAACCAGCCATTCGAGTCTTTATCGAAGCTTGAGCGCGAAGCAATAGCACTGTTAAAAGGGCTATGAGGTGTTGAAATAAACAGACTATCTGAGTCTTTAATAATGCTGATCAATGACGTTAAAGCAGTGGTTACCGCTGTAAGAAACTTTGATCAGTGATGACACATTTGCTATGCCAAATTTCCAATTAGGGAAACTGGATGGAATATTGGCAGTGTTTTTTGAAAACAATGTGGACCCTCTGAATGACCCATTTACAGATTTAGATCATGACACAGTAGCTGAAACATCGTAAGAGGTTGATTGTGAGACACTGGAGGAGGCCAATAGCAAAACATTAACTTACACGTTTGAAATGTTCGGGAAAGTTCGAAGATACTGACTGCAGAACACTGAAAAAATCAGTAGACGTGCGGTTTGAAAACATTACCGCCTGGTAACACGGAACACAAGGCAAGGGTATAGAAGAAGTAGATAACAATACCAACTTGTCTACACTGGTTAACAAAACTGGAGAGGATAAGTTGCTAGTTAAATTGCTAAGCTGTGTTAATGGACGCCCATCTGTCCAAACAGTTTTGAGGACCAATGGCGTTGTCTGGTTCAAGCTGAAAGAGGTGAATCGCGAAACCCTGGGGACAATCGCAGAGATATTTGGCCGCGTATTTGTATATTTTTCAAACCAATGTCGAACTTGAAACACTTTTCAGTACCATAACAAAGGGAGATGGTGAGCTCGATGGAGACAGTCTGGACAGCACATGGTCAAGGTTTGAAAGAAATACCGGAAAACACATGCAGCGATATACTTGGCCTCATATTAGCTGTACAAGGAAAATTCATGGTAAAACTATTGTGATACCATTTTTTTGCACAATATCAAGAATGAAACTAGATAAAGACTTTCTTAAAAACTTAACCATCATTAAAAATACTATTTTGCGAGACCAAAAAAATGAGTGAGTGACGCATTTTGAAACCTCGCTCAAGAAAAAGTTTTTTTTCAGATGAGTATATTATTTCCAGTGCAGTTGAAATCGTTACTCCATAAATGTTTTGACCAGAAAACTCACTTCAGTAGTCAATAAATTTTACCCAGCGAGATACTCAGGTAGAATCAAGGTCAAGGACCTTTATGGCTTGAGTGGCTTGGCTCAACAAAATTAGATGTGTATACAAAAAATTATATGCTTTGTTTTCACGTTAGTCGAAGGCAACCTCGATCCCAGGGCTTTGGAAGGAGGTTGGTCAGAAGACGCTCATTCTAATGCAGCCTTGAAACTCACCTTGTGGTGTTTCGCAGGATTTGCCATTGAAGCCAGCAGTGCAGATACAGTAGTAGTTCCCACAGTCGTTTAAACACGTTGCGCTATTTTGACAGGGTAAACTTATACAAGCACGTCCAACCTGAAATTCATATGAGAAAACCTTCAAAACGTATAATATCCAACTAAAAATTTATGTAGTATATTTGGGGCCTTAACCAATGAATGAAAAGTCTAAGTGTAAGATTTTAGTTTTGAGCATTAATGCTATTGTGACGATAATAACTAACGATTTTCCGATCGATTCTCGGCTTGTAGTATGTGAAACCAGATTTGGTTGTTAGTCTTGTTAAGTCATTTGGCTCTGTTGACCTAGAAAGATCATTGAGTTCGCAAACGTGGATAGATAAAAGGATAGCCTTTATTTTAAAACGATAAGTATTAAAGCTACATGAGCTTGAGGGGTGGTTTGTAATTAACTAATCACTAAATAAACTAACAACTAAATCTAGCGGTGATATTTACAAAAAAAGCATTTGAACATAATAAATTAGCGATATTTACAAATGTGAGATTGTGAACATAAATTTAAGTATATACAAAGTCATCTTTTTTTAAAATTACAAGTGGATGAAGACGTTATCTTGAAGCTAAAGTCATTAAAGTTAACTAGAGATTTAAGCTGTAGCCTGAGGTGACGATATAAAATGTTTTTTGTCAGGGCACTACTTGTTGGTCACTGCGTTCCATAGGACTGAGCCTCTAAACGCGACAGAGTCTTTCATGTAACGCGTGTTGAAGCGTGGAACTATTAAAGAAGCGCTTGTCCGGGTTGAATAATTTGTGGCCTGCTTCTTTGAAATCAGATCGATTAATGTGACAGGTAACCTATCGTGGAAAGCTTTATGAAAATAGATAAAAATAGCAGATTTATGATAAATAGAGAGGGTCGGCCATTGGGCCCTTTGTAGGACTTCAGCAGATGCCATGTCTTTGGGCAGATTAAAAATAAGTCTCGCGGCCCTGCAATAGAGTCTTTCCACGGACTGAAATAAGTTGGAGTTGTAGCAAGAACCCCATAGTTTAAGACCATAGGCCACTGAAGGCAAAATGACCTTAAAATAGAGATCCTGCATGACCAACGCTTCCAAGGAGAAATCTCGACTTTTTAAGTAATCCTAGTTTTTTAGCAAATGATTTTTTGAGCTTCAGCATATGCGGAGTCCAGGTCAGTTTCTCATTGACAGTCATTCCCAGTAATCTACCCTGCGAGCAGAGGCTACATTTTCGTTGTGTGAGCTGGCGTGCAAAAAGTAGCCTCTGCCGACAATCGTTCAAATCCGTCCAGAAATCTGGACGAATAAATTTTAAAAAAACGCGTTTTTTTCCTGTTCTTGACCGGTTTAGTACTCGATGGAAAGAAAGTCGACTAAAAGGCGTTTAAACCGACCGTAGGACACAGAGTGGCTATGAAGTAAAGGTAAGGGAGCTTTTTGAATCAATATTTCGCGTGATCATGATTTTTTTTTCTTAGCGTTGTAGATTCGAATACATGTAATAAAATTCGAACAATAAGGACCCGAATCACGTGTAATAATGCAGGAAATATCGACCTTCGTTATCTTAAAGGCTACTAGTACAGATAGACAAACAAGAAGACTTCATATCTTTAAGACTTTTTGCATTTATTTGGCATCAGATAATACAGTAATAATTCTGGTATATTCCGACCAAATGACTCTGAAGCCCGAACCCAAAAATTGTGCGCTTGGGCTGCCTGTGACGGAACACGCTTCTCCTCGCTTATCACCGCTGAGGGACGTTTCGCGAGGAGGTTCCTCCTCGCGAAACGTCCCTCAGCGGCGATGAGCGAGAACAAACGTCTGCCGTTCGCAGGCTACGACTTCTGAATATTTTAAGAAAGAAGTCCATTGCCTTTTTGTCTGAAATTTTGCTGAGAGCCGCCACTGAAGTCAAGAAGAAGAAGTCAATAAACCTAAAATACAATACCTTCTAAATAAATATCTTTTACCGAATTTGATATCTACCGCGATGTTCGAGAAGTATCACTTTTAAAATTCACCGACCTGTTTTGATTTTCATCTTTTTTTGATATTTTGTCTTTGATCAAAAGGAACGTGTTCTTGGTTTAATTGTTTTATTTTGATTTTCCGGCTAATGTTTGTTTGTTTTTTCTTTCTTTGGCGCCGTCATATTATGAAATTTCAATAAAAAGGTGCGTTTCAGAAAAAGCAATTGAGACATTTGTAAAATTGTAAGCGAATTAATCGAAAAAGATGTCAATTTCATATCTTTCTGTTTACTTAAAATGGAACAGAGAATTAAAAAAAGGGTTGGCCGAACCGTGCACCGACCCCTCTCAAGACCTTTTCATGATGCTTATTTCTTTTTGCCTTTGTCATACGCAAATCAAGGCATAAATCTAATTAACCATTAGCAACAAATAACTATTGTAAGAGCTAAGATACTTAGCTGTTTAGATTTTTCTAGTCTACTCCTCACCATGCTCACCGGTTTGCAAAGACTGCAGATCTTGAAAAGTGTTTGTAACCCAACTGAATCGAGGTGACTTTGGAAACCTCTTTCCGTGCTGCCATCAATCTTTCTTTGACTTGTCTCCTGACAAACTTGCAAATTATGGGGTTCGGTCGACTTGAAGCTTTACGAGCAGGAACGCGGTGGGCTATGTCGATATCTTGCATAGAGACATCCTTCACTCCCTTAAATGTAATAATCAACCATAAATGTAATAAAAGTCAACCATAGATGTAATACCCACCATAAAAGTAATAAAAATCAACCATAAATGTAATAAAATTCCTAACAATAAATGTAATAAAATTTTAACCATGAATGTAATTTGGCTCACCATAAATGTAATTTATTTTGACCATAAATGTAATAAATATAATGTTATTATCAAATGAAGCTTTATGATTGTCAAAGGTTGTCAGATGATGTTTTAATGAATGTCAGAAGATAAATTTTTGTCAAGCAAGAGAAGATTGGGTAATATAATAAAACATACTCCTTCAAGCTTTCTGTTCATATAACCAAACCGCTTTTAATGTATTACTATTACTTACTTCACGTATTACTGTTACATAATTGTGCGATTTTGGCCAGACAGCGTTTTGCAAGGATGTCGTTTTTCACTCAGTGAGCATTAAGTTTCGCGATCCAAGCGTTCTCAACTTTAACAATCTGAAATTTTCAAAAAAATTTCTAATCACGAACAAGTAAAAAGTATATTTAAAATCAACTTTAAAGGCAAGCTGGAATAAGCAAAACGCACAATTTATTTGGAAATTAACTTTTAGAAGTAATGTATTACACACTGTGCCCAAGTAGTCCGGTGGCTTAGATAGAGAGTTTTGCGATTTTTGATACAAGCACCAAACTTTGTAGGAATATTTGCATTCTCAGCTGGTCATTTCTTGATATAGTGCCAAGTTAATTTTTCTAATTCCAGCCAGTTAGCAGTAAATGAAATTTTAAGACCCTAGACTCCCGCGAGGTAGTTCTCGCTCTTTTTTAGATTTAATAATTGTTTTACCTAACAATAAAGGTGCAACAATACGATGTTGAAATTTGGATGCGAATTGCTATTTCACGGCTTCTCTTCATTATATAAATGTAGGTCGTAATTTGGAATTTATCCGCACATGCTTTTTGCCTCTTGTGGTTTTGGTGCGAATGGTAAGAGTTTGCATTATCTCATTTGATGTGCATGCGACTCGAAGCAGCTAGAAAATAAACTATTCTAGTTAAAGAAAAGAGAAAACTGTCGGTTTAAAAAGAGGAAGTAAGAAATGGATTAATTTGAAGACGCAGGAAACAGGTCACTGCCTCAAGCTGTTGACTGGGTATAATTAAAATGTGTTGCTTACCAGAGGGAAACAACTGCAAAACCTTAGTGTCCTGTTAACTGGAAAGGGCACCACTCTGGTGCTGATAAATTACTTTTGTCAAGACTTAAGGTCATTTTATGAGGCGGGGGAATTAAATTAAGCAGTTGACTGGAAATGTCTTGACGTGGTACATTGGCAATTCTTTTGATAATGTGGCATAGATCTTGTCGCAATGGGTTCAACAGGATGAAACTGGAACACATAGGTGATCGCAAGGCTTAAAAGGTAAAGGAAGGACAGCCGGAAAAAGTTTTTGTTAATCATACAAAATGGCTCTTGAAATTTTAAGAACCTCTTAAACATCACTTGTTCCCATAAATAACAGAACGAACTCGCTTTCATACGCGTTTCTATAGTTATTACATTTATGGTTAACATTTATTACATTTATGGTGAGCCAGATTGTTACATTTATGGTTAAAATTTTACTACATTTATGGTTAGTAATTTATTACGTTTATGGCTGATTTTTATCACATTTATAGTGGTTATTACATTTATGGTTGACTTTTATTACATTTATGGGTGGAAGCCAAAGATTTTGATGTTATACTGATAGTCGTCAGCCTGCATTTCATCGATAGCAAGGCGTAATTCGTTGCATCTGTGGTCTAAACCATTCAATTTGGCCTTAACTGATTTAGCTGTTCCATGATTCAATTCGAACTGACTACTTATAAAGTCAACAGATTTACTTTGCCTAGACGAAAGTGGACACGATGAGGCGCCATCTTTCGATTTGCCAGTTATGATGTCATAATGAGCTGCATTGTGGGATTCCTGTCGAACAGAACAATCCTGGTTAGCTAAAGGAGTTCTTGGTGAATTATTGTTCATTTTCAAGACTTATTACAAAACATGACAAGTGATATTACAATTCACGACAGCTCAGCTTATTACAATTTACGACAACGCGTTATTACAATTTACGATATCTTGGTTATCACAATTCTCGACAACTGTTATTACAATTTACCACAGATATTACAATTTTATGACAGGTATTACAATTCACGACAGAGGTACATGTTGGCATTATTTGATGATGAGTCAGTATAAAAAAATTAGTTTATTTTCCAAGAGGATCTGCCAAGTCATAAATCAAACAAGATACCAAAACGTATCCCTCAGTGAAAGAGGTAAGCGGTTGAATTCTACATGACCTATCATCTTTGTAGTGGACGGTGGAGATTAGCACCACTAGGCCTCCGGATTATTCCATAGCCATCAACTTGAACTTTGCACAGTTATTTCGTCCTTGTAAGTCCCTATCTTTACGGTATAGCCCCACGCGAAATATTCGAAACTACGCGATATCACAATCGATATGTAACGCTGACAAGGCTGGTGTAAAAGTTCACCTTTTTAATCAGAAGCTCAACAGTACGTACTTTTATTCATGCCTATGGCATGTTTATTAAGTCCTTTTAAGGATGAAGAAGATACCTACGGCTTCAACTACTTAGGAACTATGTAGGCAGGTGTACATAGTGTGCCTCCCTACTTCTTCTTGTTTCTTCCCTTGTACTTTTTAAAAGGGTTCAAATCTAGCCAGTACTGCTTACCAATTCACATTTGAATTTCTCATTTCTTTTTTTCATAGAGAAACCCCAAATCCACTGATAATCCGAGGGGGTAACGATTACGATAGAAGAATGGAAACTGCTATTTTCTGGCAACTATATTCATCGTTTTTAACAATAGTGATACTTTTCACCATAGCTGGAAATTCCCTGGTTTGTATTTTAATAACACGAAACAGAGCATTGAAATCATCCATTAACTGGCTTCTTTTCCACCTGGCCATTGCAGATTTACTGGTAGCTGTGTTTTTTATCCCTCCATGCGTTCTAAGCCACTTTATTCATCATCCAGGTGGCAAGACTGGAAACATTCTGTGCCTTATATTTACCGCTGGTACCTTAGGCTGGGTATCTGCCTCAGCGTCGAGCTTTCTACTGGTATCAGTTGCATTCGAGCGATATTATGCCACCTTACATCCATTTCGGAGCCTTCAACGCAGGCATTCGTGGTGGCTGCTGTTCCTGCTGTGGATTTTAGCAATCTCGTTAAACCTTCCGTCTATTGTTGTGACAGCCTTTGATGTACAGAGTCAAATGTGCTCCGAGAACTTCCCAAGTTACACATTTTCCAGTGCCTATTACATCACATGGTCATTTTGCAATTCAGTTATTTCTATTTGCCTAATGGGGTGCTTGTACTCCAGCATTATTTTGCATTTGCAAAAACAAACTTTTATTCCAGATTCTTCTCGAGCATCGGCGACACGGCGCAGAAACAAAGTGACCAAGATGCTCATTTCCGTCACTGTAATCTTCGCTGTTTGCTGGATTCCTCAGGCTACACTCTGCGTCATAAGCCCCATAATCCCTGATGGTTATGGCACAGTCAGCGCAGTGGCCACATGTAGTATATCTGGGGCCTTAACCAATGAATGAAAAGTCTAAGTGTAACATTTTAGTTTTGAGCATTAATGCTATTGTGACGATAATAACTAACGATTTTCCGATCGATTCTCGGCTTGTAGTATGTGAAACCAGATTTGGTTGTTAAGTCATTTGGCTCTGTTGACCTAGAAAGATCATTGAGTTCGCAAACGTGGATAGATAAAAGGATAGCCTTTATTTTAAAACGATAAGTATTAAAGCTACATGAGCTTGAGGGGTGGTTTGCAATTATCTAATCACTAAATAAACTAACAACTAAATCTAGCGGTGATATTTACAAAAAAAGCATTTGAACATAAATTAGCGATATTTACAAATGTGAGATTGTGAACATAAATTTAAGTATATACAAAGTCATCTTTTTTTAAAATTACAAGTGGATGAAGACGTTATCTTGAAGCTTAAGTCATTAAAGTTAACTAGAGATTTAAGCTTTAGCTTGAGGTGACGATATGAAATAAAGCTTTATGAAAACAGATAAAAATAGCAGATTTACAATAAATAGAGAGGGTCGGCCATTGGTCCCGTTGTAGGACTTCAGCCGATGCCATGTCTTTGGGCAGATTAAAAATAAGTCTCGCAGTCTGCTATGAAGCCTTTCCAGGGACTGAAATAAGTCGGAGTTGTAGCAAGAACCCCATAGTTTGAGACCATGGGTCACTGAAGGTAAAATGACCTTAAAATAGAGATCCTGACGAACGCTTCTAGGGAGAAATCTCGACTTCTTAAGTAATCCTAGTTTTTTAGCAAATGATTTTTTGAGTTCCAGCATATGCGGAGTCCAGGTCAGTTTCTCATTGCCAGTTATTCCCAGTAATCGTGATGTAGATACCCATTCAATTGTAGAGTTTTCAACGATGATCGGGGGAATATTAACCGGGGGATTTCTTCCAGAGATTAGCATGGCCTCACTTTTACTTGTGTGTGAACTTGATCCATAAACAACTGTAAATTGCTGCTCTTCCCGTATATTGGAAATTGTAGGATACATAACAGCCGGCAGCTACACATTTCCATCCGCACTCTATAGCATCACTAACTTCACTGCTACAGATCACGTGATTTTTAAGAGCGTGGTCTGAAACATGAAAGGTGGATCTTTTTATGATTTTAATGTAGTACTTTATCTTAAGGAAACAAACGTTGCATAAGCCCAACAAACAGAAGAGGGAGATTATAGTTTACTTACAAGTATACTCCTTCTTTTCCCAGGTAACAGCTTCAACAATGACATCAAAATATTATTTAGAAGATTATTTGTTGAGGCTCCATAATTATAAGGAGCACCCAACGACCGAGTGTTTGCAATTACGTCGGCGGTGTTTCAAATGATTTTCTCTACTCATTGAAAGCCTGTTTGGTTGATATGGAGGCGCCCAAAAAACTATTTATCTGTTCGGAATTCTTAGGTGAACTTCCGTCGCATCGAATGCGTTTTGGGTGACGTTTTCGTCTCATCCGAGACTGTTAGCTACTCTGGAAGGACCTGATCGAAAGGTCGAGGACATGGTATAGCAGTATCATTTTTCATCAGATGGATTCTAGAGGACGTTTTATCTTTATACTGAAATTTTCATTTTCAGGATTTTGTGGTTTAGTGGCAAATCTTGGGAGACCAATTAAAGAGGAAATTCGTGCCGAATATTTCACTGGGCTGCTGCTAGCAAGCTTAAGCGTAAGCTGGTATACTAGAATACGGCAACTCAAAAATGCACTCTCAATTTAAACACAAATGCTCAGTGAGATTACATGAAATAAACTTGTTCTGTTTTGACTGCTAGTAATGCGGCTGGTAATGGGCGTGAGGACTACTACCTGGCCGGTGAGTCGGCTTACAGACACATGAATGCTAAAAAAGACTGCTCTATAGCAATTCTGGCCTGAGAAAAATCGGGAAGTAAAAGATCGATCGGACGGAATGCCGGCAGTTTAGAATTAACGGAGGGTATTTTGGCTAATTTAAGGTGAAGTTGGTTGTTAGTGAGTGAGTGGAAAAAGATGAAAAGGATGGCGCTACTTTGTGGGATTAATTGTTAAATATTTTTACCATTATTCTTAAAACGCAGATAGCCTGAATTTCAGCCGAGAGTCGTTTTCTCCTCGCAGCACTGTCTGAACCGACCTTTGACGTCACTAATAGAACCGGGTAGTGATTTTCATTGGTTGATTGTCTAAACATTCGCATAATTATGTATAATTATGAAAAATTTTAGCGGGATTGTCGCTTGATATTCAGCGGATCGCATTGGTGGCATGCTTGCGTGGAGTTCAAACATTTCGAAAATCTATATCGTAAACAGCCAAATTGCCCTTGTCTTCGAAACTGAATTGCTAAATTGAACTGCGAATGATGAATCATTGCGGAGAGTCGGTAGGTTTTTCATTTAAAGCCACTTTGTGGTTTCCGCGGTTATTTTGTTTATGCGAAGTTTCTAAGACCAATGTCACGTTGTCATTCGACCTTCTTGCTATTTTCACCGTCAAGTATAATGATTCTGTTAGCTTTTATTTCTTATAATTGTTTCCTTGTTTTCTTTTTTCCTCTTTAAGGACCAAATAGCTTCTTTTCAATTAAAGGAGATTGTTGTGTTTTTTAACCAAGTGTTCCGTGTTGTATTTGTTTCATCGCGTGATTGCGACCGAATTACAACCGGTTCAAGATACTGCAGTCAGTTAATACTTTTCCCCCTGGTTTGCACGTTAAACATGAATTATGATCGAAAAAAGGAAAGCCATTTTGTCAGGTCTGCCACTTGAAAATCGTGTTTTGCTTTTTGCATGAACTAAAGCAAAGGAGTAGTGACCTCACTGGACGGCATTAACGGCAGGTCGATTCAGACGTTACTGACGGGTAGAAACAACTCGAAGTAATCGGATGAAATTCAGGTTAAAAACGCAGATTGTTTGGTATCTCGCACTGGGCCCGGTACCCCGGGATACGGTCCAAGGCCCTCCCGAAAGGAGTACTTTAACAGGCAGGGTTTATGAAAGGGTAGGAATTTTCTTGTGAATTGAAGTATATGAAAGGGTAGGGAAATCTTCATTTTGATGCGTAAAAAGGTCTAACAGATGCAATTTATTTGCTGTAGAATAGTGGAGGAAAGGCCGAGGTTCTGGCTTTGTGAACTTTTATACAGCCATTTCGAATTCAACTCCAAAAAAATTGCCAACATTTGACGAATTGAACAAGATGGAATAAGCGCGATGAAGTTTGAGGCAGCGTGAATTTAAGCTTCCTAATGTCATAATGAAACCAAGTGCTACACGTTCATGATGAGTTTTTGAAAAACAATGAAATATCAAAGTCTTCACTCTCACCCTTAAACGGCCGGAAATGGATCCCTTTCGGTTTCGCTTCCGCTTTTGGCGAGTTGGCTACGTCAGACGCCAGGGGCTAGGTCGAGTTTCCGGTTCTACCGCTGACCAGTCGCGGGATAAGTGAAATATGAAATGTGAACTGCAAGCTTGAGTTTGGCGAAGTCATATGGGCGATTACCAGTGGGAAAACGCAGAAATTGTGCTCCAAAGGCCATCGCTATTTACAAAACCCCAAGCCTTTTATCAACCAGTGAGGTAAGACGTTACCAAATTGGTTATGTCGCGGTATCTGAAAACATTCATTACCCTTTTGAACGTGGGCTGACTAGAGGGAGACGGACATTTGCTAGCTCAATTCATGACATGATGGTCATGTTATAACGAACGTCAGAAGCACGATGATTAATTTGACCTTTCATGACCACATGCTTTGCTTCATGATATTTGTGTTTGCTGTCTCTGGTCTACAATTTCTGTGATCTTGAGCTTGGAAAGGGTTAGTATTGCTGAGAAGAGCCGGTAAACATCGCGTAGCTGTGCGTGCGTGTTGAGCACAAGTTAGCTACGCGAGCTGATTCGCGATGTTAATTTGCATTTTTGGCACTGGAATCTTTTAGATATGGAGCTGGGAGAAGGCGAGAGGGATTTAATGAAAATGCTAATGCAGAATGACCAGCCAGAGGAGACTATTCAGCGGCCGATGGAAGATCCTGCAATGGTTCAATCGGGGGTAAGAAAAGATCAAATTTTGTACTTCGTAGGACCAGTCATTTTCGCACCATGCTAGTTATTCGCTCGGCGCATGTGCGATCGGCCTGAACAATACGATCTTTCACGCGGTGAACCGAGATGGAGTGTTTAAAAAAACTCGCTGTTTTCGTGGGAAAGGAAATGCTACTTCCTTGAAGAAACGAGCGCTGTACTGTTCTATGTAACTTTGGGGAGCAGGGTTTAGATATAGATAGTCGTCAAGAAACATATATTTCCCGGAAACATGACACGGATGAAAATTGACTTCATGAATTCATTGAGCGAAATTCAACAGGTTGTAGCGAGCGCTGGCATTTACACAAGAAGTTGTTTCGACTATGTAGAGCTCATCGCTAGTCAGTTGACTGGTAATGATTCTTTGTCGGTAGAATTACGACACTGTCCATAATCCATGGGGTTTTTTGCTTCCTATGCCTTGAATCACTTGAATCATGTATTCCACGCTCAAAATATAACAGGAAGATAAGGTATTCACAAGTTAAAAGTTTAGCCTGTGCATTGTGAAATTCAGTTAAAAAATGCCATTGAACCAGTGAGAATGTTTTTACCACAGTATTTTAAAATCAAGCTTCAACGTAACCAGCCAGTCTACATTTGTATTTTGGGATAGGACAGAATTTTGCATTCTGCTTAACAAAAAGATGAACAGCTTGGCTCTTGCTAGCAAAGTCCTTGTGGGGTAATCAGTCCTGAAGTTATGCTAACCAACCCTCGGAATTGTGTAGGTGTTATCAGAAATTTACACAAAGGCACGATGCCATAATTCACTTGAATTAAGTGTATTATTCATTTCAAAAAGGAAAAAGGATTATTAAACCAGAGGAAGGAAATCACTTCATAGCTATATAAGGCAACAGTTAAAAAATCAGGATTCTCACATTCAAAATGCTTGAGTCTGTATGTACCTGTAGCCAGATGTTTAAAGTGAAGTGAATATTAAAAGTGTACTGTAGTTTTTTATTTGTAAAACAAAATAAGTAACCTATTTAACAACTGGAATTCAACTCATGTTGGCATTGTTCACTGGGCTAGAAGAAAACTTGAATTCCAGCTTGTTGTTTGCACAAGCAGCTTTCACATTTTGCTTGTCTGGGGCCGCAACTAACTTGCGGTAGTTAATGATTTTGTTAGAGAATGACTCAGCTGGACCCTTAATTCATTAATTGTCCATTAACCAAGTGAGCTTTTGAAGTTATTCACCCAGTAAGAAAATCTACCAGTCTTGAACAATGGGATATATTTTTTTTAGCACTGGTTCAGTGTTAACTAAGCGACCAAAAGGTTAACTTACCATCATAAATCAACCTGTCATATAAGTTCCAAAATGTTGTGGGCCATATTGATGCACATGCACAAACATAATGAGTGACCACTCCACAATTTAAATCAGAATGGCAGCATTTGAAATGAAATTTTATTTGCATGGTAATGCTTCTTTTTATTATTGGAGAAATGACTGTACCTTTTGGCCTTTTCTATTGCTGGTTTTCACATGGCATCATTCAAAATTCGAACGAAAGAAATTATTGATCCTTTTGCGTTGTAACGTTCATGAAGTATTAGAGTCACTTAAAACTAATCTTTATACCGTATTTTCTTGATTAAATGCTGGGGGTGTTTAATCTAGAAAATATGGTATATGTACAAATTGTGTTGTTCCAGAAAATATCCAGACCCCACCTCTGAGGGAATCGGAAATTCCGAAGGGGAGGGGGTTGGACAATTAAATCACTTTCCATGGGGTTAATATCAATTCATTTTGGATTTAAGTTCAAACATTGACCAACATTGTTTCTTACCAATCTGGTAGATCATTCTTGAGACACAAATAACTTAAACTATATCATTTATGATTATTCTTTTTTAGCTTAATCAGGTTTTCTGTCTTCCTTAGAAAACATTTTTGGATGCCATTTCAAAGGAATTAGACCAACTTAAACTTGATTTATTTTGTGCTCGTAGATTCGGCTGCCATTACTCATTACCAGTCTCCCTAAAGACATGTTGCATCAGTCAATTGCAAAATAGTGAAAGTTTCGCTTCAAAAAGCAGAAGGTACAAGGTCATGATTTTAGAATCTAGAGTTAATTTTCTCTGTCTCCTTTTTTTCTTAATTTTGTGTTTGAGAGGGTGACATCATGACTGTTTGCGATTGCATTAATGCTAAAATGGCGTTACAAAATTCCACCAACATTTGAAATAAGAATCACTACACATTGTTGTGTCAGTCGATGGAAGAAAAGTATAGTGGTAATTTTGCTTCATGAAGTGCATGGTATACAATAATTATATAACCGTTTCAGAATCTAGAGTTTTTATTCTCCTTTTTGTTTTTCCTTAATTTGTGGTTGAAAGTTTGACTTGTTTACAATAAGCACTCACGAGTGCTGAAATGGCCTTAATTACATCAACATTATGCCTATGAAGACGAAAAACAAATTGTTAGCTTGCACATCATGGTAAATTCACTGATACAACTCATCAACTTTATCTGTTCATTTAAGGAAAGGGATAAGCAAACTTTTGGGATCAATTAGGTCTCTGGGAAACTGCCCACCCACTCCTCCCTAAACCATCATTTTGCCATTAGTGAGAATTAAGTGATAATGTTTTCTTAAGGAAGGGGTAGGTGGACAGAGAAACCTAAATTGACCCAAATTTTGCAGGTTAGGTTACCTTATGGCAGCATTGTAATGTTGTGAGATCACTTAATAACTGGAAATGGTTGATCAAAAACCACAAATAGCCTCAATCTTTTACTTCAATAACCTTTCTTCGAGTAAATGAACTTTTCCAGAGGGAATGGTGGTCTTTGTTACACCTCTGGAAATTCCAGAGAGGTTGAACTGGGGGGGGGGGGGGGGGTCATCACTTCCCTACAATAGTGGAAAATTCAGGGAGGTGGGGGGGTCCTATGTGAAATTCCCTCTGTGGTGGGCGTCTGGATATTTTTTGAAACCACACATTTTCTCTTCAAAAGGATTTTTTGTTGTGTCATAGAGTACTCTTGAATTTCTAAGCTTTTGCATGAAGTGGCAATTACAAGGCAGGCGAGAGAGGCATTGTGTAGATTTTAAAATTTACAATTTACATGTACTTTTTTGGGGGGATTTTGCTATCTGAACACTCATTGTATTAGAAAAAGCTTTAATGTTTGTATTTCCTTGAGAGATGATATTCACACTTTCGTAGCAAAACTCAGTGACAGATATTTCTGCTGGTTTCTGGCTGCCATGTTGGTGCCTATTCAGATGGGCGTCATCATGGCATCTCTATACGAAGCTCTATAAATTTGGGTAAACCATTTCTCCGAATATCTTGCATTTGAAAAATTGCACTGACCTGAATCTTGGTGGGGTCTTTGCATATTTACCTTCTTTCATCTCTCAGATTCTGGATTTTTTATCTTTTTTATGGTTTTGATTATTATTTTTGATTGCATGACAGTGAAAACCAGCAATTGGCTGACAATGTTGATCTCTTGACTTAAGGTACTCATGCAGAGTTTGACATAAGCAGTTGTTGTCCACTCACCAGTTTGAGTGTGAAAGCCTTTAGGCCAGTGGAAGTCGAAGATAACTTACCCAATTTGGAAAATGAAATTCTGTAAAGCTGAATATTTTTGACAAAATATAATTTTACATGCATCATACAGGTAGTCTTACACATTCTAAGATCTTTAGAAATTTAGCAAATACATGCAATTCTACCACTTCATGGATACAAAATGGCTTCTTTTCATTTGACAGAACTTTATGCAAAGTATCTACTTTAAGTCATGATACTGCTGGTCAAAAACAGACACCCCCACTGATGTGGACTGTTTAGTGTCTTTCCTAGTGTGGTTTTGTGTTGCAAAATTTTTTAATGCATGTATTTTAGCTCCCCAAAAAAGGGATGTGAAAGAAATCACTCAAAGGGCAGATTCTAGAGTGCAAGAGAAAACAATTTTTTAATAATGTCAAGTTGATCGGCCTTGGTTGAAAGATCGTCGAAATTTTACTTCCAGATAACTGGCAAAAAAAGTAACAACAACAGCAGCACAGTTGGTTCCTTTGCTTTATTTAATTTGTTAAAATCCAAGCAAAAGTGTTCAAAATATCTGTAAAATAACAGCTTTAGTTTAATCACATGATTGAAACCCTCCATAGTCAACAAAGGTCGAGGGCAAATTCAAGGTGCAGAAGAAACTGAAAACAAACCATGTGTGTTTGCTCAGGCATGTGGTCAGATAGAAACCCTACTGTGTTGACCATATTGTTTGTTTTAGTGAGGTAATGTTTTTTAATGTGCAGGTTTATTTTCCATGATGATTTAAATGACGTGCCATGTAAATCATGTTTTTTAACTTTTCACAATGATGAAATTTCTCTTGAATCGAGGCCCTTGAATTTTCGTGTATTTATACACGCGTATAGCCTGCGACTGCAGATGTATTTCCAGTCGTTGCTAACATGTATACTAAATCAATTCAGAAACAAATCATTGAATACCATATAAAAAGTAAATATCCTAAAGAAGAATTCTCGACCTGCGATAAAGTAGGAAGTGAAAAACCTTTAGTGAGTTAATCCTGTTTTGTGTAGAGTTAATTGCCTCCTCATTTCTTATCTAATCCTCAAGCAAAGTGAGACTAACGCCGCTTTTAAGTGCGTTTTTGTTACAGTATAAGGGACAGGTGTGGGATATGTGACTAAACTGATTTTTTTTTTAGCGCAAATAGCTGATTACAGTTTTGCATGCATTCAAGTACCGTGTACATGTCAGTCAAAAATGTGTGATTTGAAACTGGCTTAGACTGATTTGATATCAATTTCCAACTCAGAACTTAACATGTTGAACCTCTAATAGATATGCTTTCAATCAATAATTTTCATAAAAATAATTATTAAAATAAGGTAAAATAAATTAAATCCTCCTTGGATGATCTTGTGGTGTTTGGGACAAGAAATGGAAACAGTGTGGCAGGGTAGGATGTGTGTAGGGCTCTTGAAAATGTTTCATTTTTTCTTTTGTTATAAGCAGATGAAGTTAGGAATAACAAGTCATTGGCATTACCTGTGGAAAAATACATCTCAAAAATGAAAAAAAGAAGTCAAAATTTGTACACATGGTTTTTAGAATAACTATCAGCCAAATTGGTTCATGGGTTGCCAACTTGTACAATGTAGTTTAAACTGTATGCTCAATTTGGCCCAGTTTTCATTTAGAGAAAACAGGGAGTACAATTGTTGCTGCATCTTGCCTGTAATGAGATTATAACAGATTATAACACCAAAGCTGTCAATGTTGATGCACTGTCACCAGGGAAGGAATGGCAATAATTCTTTGACACAGCAGGAAACAGTTTCCGTCACATGTGGCAGCTTGGACACAAAACATAATTTAAACAGCTTAGTAAATTTAACATTTTAAAATGATTTATTTCTTAATATAATATTTTCTGTAATCGTTAAATTTGAAAATACTGACTATACTGACAATCATGCCACATACCAGGACGACTCTTGAGCAGTTGTAAACAATTGTAGAAAAGCAGTCATCATTTGTCTTGATGTGGTAGACAAAAACAAACTAGACAAGCATCTTTTTCTCTTTTTGGAGGTGAAGTCGTCTGGTTCACCAAAGACAACTCCCTTTTCTTATCATTACAGCTCAGCTGAAAATTTTGACTGGACATTTTATTCACGCATAACTGTTCAATAATTTTGCTCTGTTCATAACCAACTGACAAACCAGGTTGAATTCTAACTTTATTCAGTGGTTTTACCATTTGCCCATGCACCCTCCTTGTATGAGCAAATCTAAAATGGTGTCTCCTAGCTGAATTTCCTTGCATCCATGCAACCACACTTTTGCTGTACAGCAATTTAGACGATCATGGTGTTCACACATCACTGGTCAAGGTTTTAACTCCTCAAGCTCAAAATTTGAGCTCGATTTGGGCATTTTCGAATGGCTAGGCATCTAAATTTTGATATGGTTAGCATGGTTCCATGTGAACACAACACCAAAATACATGAATTTATTTATTATTAATTTTACACAAAATACAATTGCCACTGCGATAATTATACCTTCATTAAAAAATTTCTATTTCTGCAGTTCACATCTTCATTAAAATTGGAGAATTCCTCTGATCTGCATAATGGTGAAGATCATGACAAATTTTAGTCACACGTGTAGTCACGGCTACGACTAATCACGGTGAAGTCTAAGTAAATAGTTGGGTTCAGACTGAATGGGAAGCTTGGCAGGAAAGTAACTTGCGTGATGCCAAAATACTACTTGTTCAAACGACGGGACATGACTTTTTTTGAGCCCTGCTTAAGATATTTTGTCACCCACCTTTCCCTTTTTATAGAGAAGCACCACACCGTTTCTGAAAGCAGTCAGTTTGCCACACATCCATCTCGTTCTGAAAACCCTTCCAAGACACCTTACAGCAACAATATGTGGTAGCTTGTTACCCTGTTACCCTGGGCTAGTGTTTATGACTATGAAACTAAATTGCCAGTAACCCTCAGTGTTCTGCCTAAATTTTAGCTCAGCAGATAAGGGACATTCATAGCCGGTAAGGCAGAAGATATGCACTAGAGGTGCACTTTCCTGGGGGAAGGGGGTAGTGGAGGGCGGGACATGGCCCTACCCTTGCTGGGAAATTTAGGAGCTAGTTCTCAGAAAGGTCATTCCCTCAATGTTTTAAGACCTATTTTACGCTAATCAGCTGTCCAAAAATTCATTCATTTCCTTGTGGCATGTGAGAATCTTGAAAGTAAATCTTTAATTTGCCATTTCAGGAGGTAACAAGTGTTGCTTCAGGGGGCGAAATTTTACCGGTTACCCCCTCATAAGGAGAACACTGACCCTAAAATTTAAAACAATATTAATGAAAAATTCTCTTGTAACCTTTATTCCACGGTGAGAATCTGTCCTGGCATTTTTGGTGGCTCGGGTTGTTTTTCATTGATTGCTATGCCACCTTTATTGGTCTTTATGTTAGACTCAATTCTTGGGGAACATTTCAATTACTTGCTGATAAAATGAAGCAACCTTTTCCCAGTCTGCTTTTTGTGCTCATAGAATTTGAAAGATTCTCTGGTATTCATCACTTTTGAACAAATAAGCTGTAAATCAAAAATGAGTACATTGTATTTTAGAAATTGTGAATTGTTAATGGTGTCATGGATTAAAGGTGTAAGCCAATCTACTCGAAGAAAATTTCTGCTTTGATCAAGCCATTTCAAACTGGGAGATTGTGGTATGATGGAAGACACCCTTGAGACATTTTTTTCTTGAGCTTTCAATGTTGATATAAGTTTCTTACCTTTCATAGGGGTACTCCCAGACTGGCATGGGTTATGGTTCAGCTCACTATAGTGGGATGCAGCAGCAACAGTTACCCGGAATGGGCCATCACCAACAACCAAGAGGTTCAAGTTACCATTCCATCAGTCCAGGACAGATGATCCCTAGAAGTCCTAACAATGGCATGATGCCTCAAGATTTGGACTTAGTACTTCAACAGCAGCAATATCAGCAGCAGCAGCAGCATCAACAAGCTGCTTATGGAGGTGGCAATTTCCAGGGCTATAATGGAGGTTATGGGGGACCAAGAACTATGTCACCTCAGACGTCTGTCCAATCTATGGGTGCATACCAGGGTGGGTTTCCATCAGAACAAGGATATCCCCAAGGAACTGGCTCGAATCATACTGCAGGGGAGTTTGGTCCACAGACAGGCTCTAACCAAGCTATGGGTATACCAGGACCAGCTTCCTTGAGTCTTGCCAATCTATCTGCCAGACAGCAGCAGTATTATTCAGATGGTTATGGAATGAATATGCCTGTTTCTCCCGTGCATAAGCAGATGCAGCAAGGTGGAGGTTTCCTTCAGCCCCCAGGGATGCCTTACTCACAGCAGGTTCAGTCGTACCAGTCCAACTCGTACCCCAAAAGGCCCTCACCTTCATCGTTGCCAAGCCAAATGCAGGGATTTAATGCTGGTGGATCGTTTAATGCTAGATCCAATACTGGGATGCAGATGCCTAACATGCCGTATCAATCCCCAACCAGCCCTTATCAACCACCACATTCCCCAGTAAGGAGATCAACCACATCACCAGTACAACAGCAAGATGCTGGGTTATACAGCAGACCTCGTGAAGCTTTTCCACAGCCAAGGTCTCCCTTTGGCTCGAGTCAGGGACAGTTTCAACTGCAGCAACAACAACAACAACAGCCGCATAGTTCTTGCATGTTTGTTCAGCCCCCATCCCAATCACAATACCAGTCCCAGCAACAAAAAGTTGGAGGATTAACTCAACGCAGAGCTTCATATCCTGGGCAGCAGAGCACGATAAAAATGCCTTCTCCACCACCTAAGAGATCTCCTCCTACCTCTTTACCAAATCCGAAGAGTCCTGATCTGTTAAGGGGAAATCAGCTGGGATTTGATGATCGAGGTTCAGTTAAGCCTGTTTCCAAAAAGGAAAAATCATCGTCACCACCTTATTTTGATCCCAGTCAGGTAGTTTCTGCATCACAAATGAAAGGAACTCTTTCTAAGAAAGGGGGTGATAGCCAAAAAGGTTTGCCTCGTCTGCGGAGAAGCGTTTCTGATGTTGGAAGCCCTTCCGTATCTCCTCCACTCACCAAAAAGGTGGATGCGAGTAGGTCAGAAGAGGAAGGGTGTGACATGAAAGTTGACGAAAGTAAGAAAGTTGAGGAAGCTAAGACAGTAAGAGGGACTCGACAGAGTGAACAGGAAACATATTCTCCAAAGAAGCATCTAGGAGATAAGAGAGAGGAGAACTTTGAAAAAGTGAAGGAAAACAAATTGAGTGGTCCTGGGAGCAGTTTATCACCAGAGCGAAACGAGTCTGTTGTGGAAACATTAAAGCTAGAGAATGTGGCTCAATCTTCAAAAGAGTCAAAACATCAACAGGTGGTTGGATGCAAAGGAGGTGAAGATGGAAAAAGTGGTGCAGAGAAACCATCAGGCAATCCTGATGCCAAGGAACCTGAAGTTACTGCAGCTGTAGAGAGCCTGGACCTCATTAAAAAAGATGGGATATCGAAAGAGGTAATCAACAAGGCGGGCAAAAACCCGGGTGGAGATATAGCAGGTTGTAACATGGAAAACGTGACTTGTGAAAAAGACGATTTGACCAGCGATACAGAGAGAAATGTTACTAATGATAATGTTCATGTATCTTGTGCTGAAAAGGACGGTGAAAAAAAGCAGGAAAGTGGTAAAGTCGATGGAGACCGTGAAGGAAGTAGTGAAACAACGAATGTGGAGGATAAATTGAGTAAGAAACCTGTTGTAGAAGCTGGGAAACCAGCTAACAAAAAAGACGATCACTTGGAGGACATCTTGGCGGAAAATAGAAAAACTGGCCAACCGGTTAACGGATCGGGTGATGAACTTGTTCACAAAGATAAAAAGGTTGGACCGTCCGATATTACAACAGTTGAGGGTAATCATGAGACGGCGCAGCGCAACGGGGATGCGAGTGAGGCTAGTGAAAAGAAAGAGTCTGACGAGACAGACACCGTGTCAACTGATACGAAGGGAACTGTGAAACAAGGTTTTGAGCCCGTCAAATCAGCTAATGTTGCAACTCCATCATCTAACAAATGTGAACCAAGCACCGTCAAGTCAAATATTAAAAATAAGACGGCTGAAGAAAATCAACATTCGGTGAAACCCAGCAGTGGATCAACTCCAGCAGTTGTTGTAAAGGAGAAGCCAGTTACCGTCTCCCTGAGGTGCGAAGAACGTTTGTCTTCGGATGATGACGATCGTCTGTCAGCTTCAAAAGCGGATTCATCGCCTCCGCCAGTGGAAAGCAGAACCCAAGGAATCCAGACGGTAGAGCAGACCACAGCTTCACCACGTTCCAGCCACCAACAGGTTACTCCAATCAAAGCTACCATCATTGCAAAGGGCAAGTCTGCTCAGAGCAATCAACAAGTCATGGTGGCTAAGACCACATCTGGGCAAATGTATCTTATCCAAGGGAACCTTCTTGTGCCCGTCCAGTCTCTCAGTTCTGACTCCTTGTCGAAGCAGAATTCAAAGGTGAATATTATTCTTTCAATAGTTCACGGAAGGGGGTAGGTAAGGCTGTTTACGCATGCACTATCAGCAATTAGTAAAATCCAACAAGCGGTCTATTATCAATGCTGCGTTCTGATTGGTTGAGCTTCTTCTAGGCTATATGTTATAGCCCACTAGTAGCGAATAGCGCCCGCTTTGAAAACCAAAACAATGGCGGCTGAATCGGGTTTTGCTAGCTTAAGTTGTTTTGTCTCGATATTTTTGACCAACTGGTTGGATTTTACTAAAACAGTTATTCCTCTCGCAATCATGGCCTCTGAGTCAATTGACTCAGAGCCCGTTCGGGCTCGAGGCATGATTGTTAATTAGGGTTGCAGAATTGACTGAAATATCAAAATAGAGAGCTTACGCAAAGACGTTTTTGGGCGATGCAGGTAAACCGGAAGTGGCCTTTTTGCGTTCATGAGCTGTGGTTGTCCTTAATTTTTGGGCAAATCGTCTCGATATAGAATAATAACACTAAGGAATACAATTTGGTACCGTCAAGGCATAATAAAAAAGAAAAGGCCTCACATCTGGGTCACCTGTGTCGCTCAAAAACGTCTCTTCCTAAGCTCTGTAATAGGCTGATTTAGCAACAGAACGGGAACGTCATTTGACGGACGGCAAAGCGCGCGAAAAGGACTGAACTCTACTTCCGTTGCCCAGTTTGCCGCTCAACCATTGGTCAAGCCAGTTGTTTGATTTGCTAAATCAACTCAATAACTGCTTGAGACTGCAAGAGAAAGCAAGAGACGACACTTAACGACTACTAACGAACGTTCAGACGGGCGGGCAGACAAATCGTTTCTGCCATGCCACTTAAATTGGTGAAACCGGCAGAAACCTTCCGCACGCAACTGACTGAATACAAACGAGCGATAAGAAAGGGTGATGCCAGGCTGCTCTGTGGGTCACATCTTCATCGTAAGTCTGTTGCGAATAATTGACAGTCAGTTTCTAAGCTTTGATTAGCTTAAATTTTCAAAAGGTCCTTGGGTTTGATTTGTCACGGTGCTTTTCGAAAATGAAATGTGGGGTTTGTTTTTCACTTTTTAAAAAACTTGACTACTTTCTGTATCTTTCTAAGGTGCTAATTGTGAATCCGGTGAAGACGCCAACGGGTCAAGTCAAACATATACAAACGGCATCTGTTGTGAAAATAGCCGATGCCAAAGAAAACATAGGCCACGAGGCATCTAAAGGTACTGCGCAGAAGGAAACGGCTTACGAGGCGGACAATGAGAAAAATGGTGAAAAGTTAAAATCAAACAGACTGCGTAGTTCTAAGGGCGACACGAAGAGCAGTGAGGAGTCACCAGCTGATAGAAAACATCACACTGCTCCACTTGAAAAGGAAAAGGTTAGCAGTAGTAGTACATCTAATGCAGGGACAGACTTGACAAATTCTGCCGATAAAAAGGAGGGCACATCTTCTACAAGCAGACAGGCCGAGTCGATACCTGAAGATAAACCACCGACCAAAACTCCAGGTCGTGGTCGGCCACCAGGGAGCAAGGATAAGCAGAAACGTAAATCTTTTGTGCATAAATCTAAGCGAACAGAAAACGAAGAAAAAGTGGATGAACCCGCTTCAAAACGGAAGTTTTCAAAGACTGCTAGTGTTGTTAAAGATATGTCTTCTACTGAAGCGTCGACCTCTTCCAAACGGCCTCTATCCTTGGAGGTACCAACGGTTAATGCAAGCAAATCTCCGAAACGACGCAAAGTGTCGACTTCGGGATCTCCAGTAAAGCATATATCTGTAATGCCTCGTGGAGGAGTTGACGGCGAGTCATGGGTCTGTTGTTTGTGCGGAAAACGCAGCGGTCATAACTTGCTGGGAGATCTTTACGGACCTTATAAGACAAAATACTCCAAAGAGAAAACAGACAGCTCTTCTGCTAAGGACAGTAAACTGTCTCAAAAACTGTCGTCACCCGGCAGAAAGTCGAGTTCCAGTTCGGACGCACACGTGGAACGGAAGTCGAGTTCTAATGAAGATGATTTGGAAAATTGTGATTTAGACTTGTGGATTCATCGGTATTGTGGAGTGTGGTCTCCGGGTGTATTTATGTTGGGCAAAGCCCTTCATGGGTTAGAGCAAGCTGTAGAAAGTGCAGCGCAACATGTAAGTATTATTTCTTATTCTTTAAATAATTATGATAACCCAAACCTCTCAAGTAACTGTTTCATTTACTTGTCTTTTCACGTATCTCTGCAATCCTACGTCACGAACTTCTACCGTAGGTCCTTGTTTGGGTTGGGTACGTACCCGAGATGAGATGGCACTTGTACGTGGACGCAGAGATCACCTTGCTGACCAAATTCAATTTGCGTATACAGCCTGTTATTGCCCCCGCAGGGATTTCGCCCAGAAGACGAAATCTCAAGAAGACAGCCTAGTGACTCGCGTGTATACATAGGAAAGTGCTAACAGTTGAAATATGCAGTCAGTAAATTCGCGATTGCTTGAACAGGGGCCACATGGGATCGTTGGGTAATGATGACGTTTCTATTTTAAACGCCTACTAGTAAGAGATGGTTAGGATGATGTAAAACAGAAAATTCCCGAAGCGAGCGCTTAGATTGATTTTGTGACACTTATTGTACAGTCAAACTTCGATACTCTTGTTTTACGTGTGTTCAGTGACATTCTGTGGAGCAGCTTTTTTTAAAGATGTGGATCGAAAGACACTCGTTAAGCGCGGATGACGTTATAAGAGGCGTATAGCTGTGTATATATAAACACTGGGAGAGTTCGCCAGACACGTGTTAATCATTCACAAATCTTTGACTGAAAACGATTTGCCAGGCATAAAGAAGACTCAGTCCACAAACAAGCAAGTTTCCCAATGCAAACGAGTGAATCAAACTAGCTCATCAGCCGAACGATGGACGATAACAATTAAATTCTCTGCTGACTTATTCCCTGCTCACAGATGTCCCTCTATAATGCTTTTTTATAGCGAAGCATTGCCTTAATAGTGAAAACAAATGACTAGATCGCTAGCGTAAACTGATCAAACCCTCAATTTCCAAGGCTTGCTTTCCGGCTAATAAAATGAACAGTAAAAATTGCGTGCGAAATAGGGGAAAATTACAACTTCTAATCAAATCTTTTCTTGTAGTTTAAAAAAATCATCGAAATTGCGATTGTTTTGATCAAAGCTGCGTAAATCGACCTACCTACTGTATGGAATATGTGCGAAAATCTTCAAAATGATTCGGGATATTTTAAAGAGCTACACAACGACAAGGAATACAATTGACAGACAAAATACAGAGCGGTAGAAGCTGCAGTGTCAACAACAACAACAACAACAACAACAATAATAATAACATTTATTTAAACACTATTAAAAATTCAGCAAAGCTGATGTGGTCGTATGCATAACAATAAAATTAAACTTCCTAACTAATCACAATATTAAAGTCAGACGTTGTACTTACTGTCTGTTTTCTCATTGACCAAGAGCATGCTCACGTATTAAGACAATGAATAACGACATAACGTGGCATAACTCGTGTCGTCCGCCCCATTGGTTCAAATTTAGTGCCAAAGGTAGTTGCATTTGGCATTTTACGCTTTTGCTCCTCCTTGTGTCCTGTAAATTTTGTCGCTCACGTTTGTTTGTGCTCCTGTTTGCGGTGTATGTCTGCCGTACAATTAGGATATAAAATATGTCTTTATAGAAGGGTGATTATAAGGAGAGGTTCGATCAGGCTTTGCTTTATGCGAGTCGTCAGAATTAACTCCTGTGTGATATAATTGCTTGTGATTTTTTTTCTTTTCACCAGAAATGCGTGAGGTGTTCCGAAGTTGGTGCCACGCTGGTCTGCTTCAAACGAGGATGTAATAAAATATATCACTATGCTTGTGCAAGAGATTCAGGTGACTATCTTTATTATTGTTCCTGTTGCTTATGCTATATACAGGCTTGTCTCATGACGTCATTTCCGCCATGTTGGTTTCCCAAACCAGTCCTTTGTGAGTGAAAACGCTGTCCCTCTGTATAGACGATAAAGCCTTCCTAGTTGTGATTTGTACTGTTTACTTCGTTTCTTTTGTTACATGTGATCTGTGCCTTGAAATCAGAAGTATCCATGATATTGAGGATAGGGTACTACGGTTACCGGTTTTTACCATTTACACGGACAAACCGGTCGGTCCACGGTTTAGGCAAATGGTAAGAAAAATTCAGTCGCGTTTACCACAGTTTCATTTACCGGAAAACGACCGAAAACGCCTGAAACTGTTATCAAAGATGTCTTTCAAGAAATGGAACACGAATTTCCATTTGGAATATTCCGTCCGGAAAAACAGGACTACCTTTTTCAGATGTCCCGTTGCTCCCCGGAAATGTTCGGCTGGAACGACCAAAAAAGTCATGTTCCATTACTTTCCAACTGGACTTTCCGCAAACTTGTTGAAATGGTAAACAAACACCATAACATGGAAATACCGGAGATGCCGGTTGGAAAATCAAATGGTTCGCGACATTTCATTTCGTTTGGGAATCTTCAGAAAATATGGACTGTAAATTGAGGCGATGCAATTTTTCTACTCTCTTCAGCCCGTTCTGCAGATGTAGATGTACTTTGCAGCGAGCCGTTCTTCCAGCCCGCCAAATTTCATAAATTTATGTGTATGCACGAGATTGATTTCCACCGTTGTTGCAATGAGGGCGGACTGGAGGGCAAAGGGGTGGGTGGGGTTTAGACCGTGAGAGAGAAGGCAGATTTTGAAACCCGGCCTTACGGCTTGTTTCAGTTTTTATTTGATTAGGTCATCCGGCTTTCGTTTATTTGATCTTTTTTTTCTGTTTTTGTTATTTAATAGGTTGCACTTTCGTTGAGGACAATTTTACGATATTCTGCTCAACGCACAAGGTAGGTAACGGATGGTTGTTGTATGCATAGAGTGCAAGGTTGTTTTTTTTTTTTCAGGAACGCAACTACAATACATTGTGCCTCTAGTTTGCACAAGAAGCCATGTCTGTTTCATACGCTGTCGTTATGGCCTTTTCCCGGCTTAAGACTCTGTCGGAATAGATGAATTTGAGAGTGTAAATTGCTATATTTGACTTACTTTGATTTTTTTTTTTTTTTTTTTTTTTTTTTCAGTGACGATGAGAGCAACGTTTCATTAATTTCTTCCTTTTCGTAAAAATTGACGGCTTTTATTTTTCACCGATGTCTCCTTTACTTGGCCGTCCTAAGAATCTTCCATTGTGCACGCAGAGCATTGAGCAGTTATTATTTCACATACTGATTTGATTTTTCGTTTGCCACGTCTTACTGGATGTAACGTGTTAAGACTAATCCGAGGAAATGTACTCTGTCGACCAGGCAGGCGCACAAAGACAACCAAACTTGCGTTTTGTTTCTCTGCCAGCATTCCGAGTTTCCCGCCTCTAGCTTTGCCTACTCCACATTTGCACCTGCAATTTCCCGCGCTTCTCCGTGATTGACTCATTGTGTTGGTTTTGTTTGCTGTAATTGGTCAGATAGTCTGACGTGTGTCATGACTTGACGATGGTCATGTGGAAGCCAAAGTTATCGCAGAACCTTGAAAATTGGAGGACATAACTTACTGCTTGGACTTATTTCGCATTGGGTTGGCTAGTTCCAATCCTGTCTTTATGGCACTGGCTGCCGTCTTTGTCATGTTGCGTTTATCTCAACAACCACTTTACATAGGTCTCATTCACTCTATTTTTTTAAACCGTCTGTTCTTGATTAATCGGTCCGCTAAATGACTATTGTGGGTGTAGAGGAACGAAAGTAGAACGTTCAATAGCAGGAGGTGCAACATGTTTTTGTTACGGTGAAATATCACGCTGACTGTACGTCATAAAGATTTGTAACTCCTTGACAACAAGTGTTTCCCAGGAATATTTTATTCTTAATAAGTGCATGTTTAGTCTGGTTCGTGCTCAGGAGGAGTCAAGATTCAAATTTTTATATTCAGTGCAGAATTATGCAATGAAACGTTCTACGTTGTTGTAAAAATAGTAGTCCTTGTGGATTGTTGGTTCTTTTCTCTTTATTTGTGGGGGACGGGAGGGGAGGGGAGGGGGTCTGAAGCCTGCTTTGTGTTTTTTCCAAATCCGGCTAAATCTCGGTCGGAGGATTCTTTCATAAGAGTGCACGCTAACTAAAGCAAAGCAGGCTTCAGAACCAAAACACTCAAGGACCAATGTCAACATTGCACTAATGCGTTCGTTTGCCTATGCGCTGATGTTGGATATTATGGAGAAGTTTAATGGAGAAGTTGGTGAATGGTCGGGAGGACATTCCATTGGCTCCTTATGAACACGAGGCTAAAAAATAATGCGCTGTAGAGAGCATTGTAGTAATTTACGGAAAGACCTTACCGTGACAAAGTAGCCTGTGTACAGACGCCCCCCTCCCCTGGGAGGGGGCGTCTGTACCCAGGCTATGACAGACACTTGGAAATGATTTTACACGAAAAAGGGGATCAGTGAAATAAAACTTTTACAAGTGTAGTTTACGAGTGTAGCCTTTGTTTTGGAGTCTGAAAACAATACTTGTGAAAGTTTTATTAAATTGACCCCAGTGGTCTACAGGAAATTACTCCCGGCCAATAGTAAAGATGAACATCAGTTTAATTTAGCCAGAATGAAAACAGCACACTTGTATTCAGAGGTAGAATGAAAAGTGGCGGAATAAATACTGAACTGAATAAACAGATATCTTTCGGATGGAATTGAGCTTAGCCTGAGGGAAATTCTATGTTTTCGCTTGTCTTAACCACTTCACTACAGAAGTACGTAATGGCCTGCCCAATGACACTAACATCTTCATCCAAAGACCATGATCACACCGGTCAGGAAATGGTTATTTTGTTTTGCTTTTTGCTTAGCAACCCCAACACTGAAAAGCTTTCTCGAAATATTACTTACCACCAATGGTTAGGGAATCCTCTTTTCATGGGGATTTAAGTGTGTTTTATTTTTGTCTTTTTTGCCACGTTTTTCTCTTCAAATGGGTTTGTCATTGAGGTGTGCTTTAGTTTTTTTGGTCACGAGGTTATTATACTTGTAAGTGTTGATTTATGTGGTTTCTTTTAAATAAATGCTGATAGCAGTTTTGTTTGTTTCTTGTCCTCGACTTTGTTTCCAGAAACCGCTTGACGCATAGGATTAAGTGACTGATTTAGCAACAGAACGGGAGGGTCATTTGACGACGGAAAAGCGCTTGGGAAGGACTAAACTCGACTTCTGGTGCCATTGGTCCAGCCAGTTGTTTGATTTGCGCGCGCTGTCGTCAACTGACGTTCTCGTTCTGTTGGTAAATCAGCCTAATTTAATTATACATGCTGCTGCTTTAAACAAACCGGAACTGCCCGTCGGACATCTTTTAAATCCGACTAAAATGAACCTTTTAAGCCCAACAATCAGGTGTTCCCCGTAAGGACCTTACTAAGACGTCACTCTTGGCCTTCAGAAGCAGGGGAGTTCCAGCGGCTATGCTGGGATGCTCTTTAGATTTGTTATCTCCACGGTGGAATAGAGAGGAGAAGTCGTTACGTCACGATGCCATGGTAGCAAAACTTTTGAATGACAACAAACCAAAACGTCACTTAAAAAGTGGATTCGCACTGTTTCAAACTTCATCGATGTTTTGTGATTTCATTTAATTTGTCAAATGTTGGCGAAATTTCCTGGGTTCTGGGTCAAATCCGAAAGAAGCGTATATAAGTTTAGAAAAAGAAAAACAAAATTTCTGTGTTGAGCTCGCCTACCCCATATATAAAGCGGGCGCGTGAATGTCGCGGTCGTGCAACAACGGCTAAGAAATGTACAAAAAAGCGTGATGCACGTGCAAAGATGTTTTTTCGCCGATCTAAACCTATTGTTTCTTTGCTGTTCACCGTCGCCGTTGCAAAAACTCCCTATTGTTGTCATCCAGAAATTTTGCTACCATGGCAACGTGACATCACAATTCCCCTCTCTATGCGCGGCCGCGCAACGAGGTTTGAGCAATTATTGAAAGTGAGATCCATTTCTGAGAAAAGTATCCTCGAACCTAAACAGTCGGTCAAGCCAAAAGTTCAAGACCTGCGGTTGATTATTAGCATAAATCACGAGACAAGTTAAATTTCCATTCCCAAAAACAAAAGTAATAGAAAAAGTACGTGGCCGCTCAGGTCCGTGTATATGGTGAAAACCTCTCATGAGAGGAAGGGTCACCCTCCCAGCCGGGTCACCTTTAGCAGGTCTTAACATGAGAGAAAACTTTACCCCTTTGCCCGAGCCAACAGCGTTGTATTGTACTTATCAATAATAAGCTTCAATATTGAAATAAAAAAGTTCGCGCATGCTCTGATTGTCTCGTCTTGACCAAGTTGAACCGGCTGGGCGGGCCAGAGTGTTAATACGGTGAAACGTTTGCCCGGCGAGGCGGCTCACCCTTACAGCCGAGCCAACGTTTTGTTTCTCATGTAAATGGTTCGCCGCGTTTTAAAAGGAAATAAATGAAGAGTTGACTCGCCCAGGATAACTTGGGTGGGCAAGTCACCCTTCTACCAGGGACAAGTTTTCTCTATATAAAAGGGGCCTTAGACAAACCATCGAGCGCTAAACGACTTACCTTGTATATTGTTCAAAACTGATATTCCACTTTACAGACAGATGAGATTGGAAAGGGCATCAGAGCACTGCTGGATTTTCAGGTTGCTTACAATTTTGGGATCTAGCCAAAAAACTACGCATAAAGAAAAGGCTATTTGAACACAATGTGGAAGGCTCAAGCGTAATACAGCACTGCCAAGTGGGATATCATATGGCGCACGGGAACATGAAGTATGAACGGAGAAGTAAGGGGAGTGGGCGTAAATTCCGTTCCGTCCTTCCTCGCGTGCCCACCTCGTTCTCGAGCGCCTTAATTTCCCCTTTCCCGTTCATTTTCAAACACTTGCAGGCGATAGCCTGCGAGCAAGCTCTCCACTTGGGAAGTCGCGAGAAATCACTTGAGAGTGGGCGGGGAAAAGTTTCGCCACTCGCTCTCGTGTTCTCTCGCGGTTGCTTTGCTCGCAATATAAAATGGAGGGCCTGCTTGCAAGGTATAGGAATAGGAACACGGAAAAGACGAATGCATGTTGCTCACTTTGGAAAAACTCTCCAGGGAAATTATACACGCTTATGCTCTAAGTAAGCTATAATGAAGCAAGGCGCAATAGAGAGTATAGGAATAACCTTGAATCAATTTATTTTTCCCTCTTGATGTAGAATCCACTTCGCAAAGTGCTGAATAATAAATTATACCGCACATTAATATATTATGCGTCTTCTCTTCGAGTTATGAAGTATAAACAACCGTGGATCGTATGAAATTTATATAAAATGTCAGGAAACGACTCGACAAGTCACATAACGAATTAAAAACGTCATGTACACTTGTAAAATATACACTCTTGTAAAATTACAGAACGCGGTAAAAAATGTGCTATTATGAGTAAAAAACCTCTGGTAAAAAATGATATGATATGATCTCAGCCACAAACACTCGAAAACTGCGGAGACATAAAAACGTCCATAATAAATCTATTCTTTGACATGACAGACAAAATAGCCACTATCGAGTTGTAGAGTGGTCAGCAGGTTGTCTTGACAGTTATCTGTCTATCAGCAACTGGAAGCAGTGATCTTCATTGCTACGTGAATATCAGACTTCGCCACCAGGAAGGATAAATGAGTTCCTGACTGCCGGATCTGCTGCATTGCACTAAAACAAATCAAATACATTCTTCAAATACATCGTTACTCTCTGCTGTTGGGGATCTGGTCGTGCGAGGGGGTAGCCTTGATCTGGAAAGGGAAACGATGGGAAACGCTAGAATGCCTGCCGACCCACGTAGTCCAAAACGCAGTAAAACGGATTGGGTCAAGACAAACAAAAAGCACAGATAATTTAAAATTGCAATTTCATTTGTTTGAATTATCCCAGAGCGTTTCTTGTCTGTCACCATTGACTATTTTCACACTACCCATAATACACCTTGTTTACCACACAAACGTTTGCATAACCGTTGCTTCCAATTTCTCCTGGGTATTACGGTATCTTCCCAATAGAAATCAAAAACAATACTTATGCAAAATTTGGGGGGGGGGGGGGGAATAAACAAGGTGTATCATGGGCAATGCGGATATGGTGAATTGCGGTTTTTGGTCGAAAGACGTACCTTTGGTAATCTGCTCCAACAAGACTGGTTCCGTTCACTGCCAAGATACGATCACCGAGACGTAGTCGGCCGTCCTGAAAATAGCATAAAAGCCAATGATCAGCATATTTCCCCTTGACATACACGAGCATTTTCTACCCACCCTATTTCTTAAAAACAGTCCTCACGCCCCGGCAAATATCTATAATCACAGCTGACATATTTTAATTCACCCCGAGCCCCCACCACACCCCGCCGCCCCTCTTCTCCTCGGGATAAGAGCCATTCTTAAAAACTGAATCAAAGGGTTATGCAATTCTAGAGCTCTGATCATAGTATATGAGCCATTATGCCACGCTCTCCAAATATGGTAACTACGCGTCGGCTCAAAATTAAAAACAAGCTGAAAATCGTCAGAATTTGTCTATTCAAATAAAGTCGGGGAGAATTCTCGATATAAGCCAATGATCAGCATATTTCCCCTTCAAATACACGAGCATTTTCTACCCACCCAATTTCTTAAAAACAGTCCTCACGCCCCGGCAAATATCTATAATCGTAGCTGACATATATTAATTCACCCCCGAGCCCCCACCACACCCCGCCGCCCCTCTTCTCCTCGGGATAACAGCCATTCTTAAAAACTGAATCAAAGGGTAATGCAATTCTAGAGCTCTGATCATTACAGTATATGAGCCATTATACCACGCTCTCCAAATATGGTAACTACGCGTCGGCTCAAAATTAAAAACAAGCTGAAAATCGTCAGAATTTGTCTATTCAAATAAAGTCGGGGAGAATTCTCGATATTTTGTGGGCGTTTTTAATAAAACAATTATTCCACTCGCGCTTGTTTGATGTGAGATGATTATAGCCAACTCATATCCAACGCGCACTCGTGGAATAATTGTTAGTAACACACACGGTTGCAATGTATAGTGATGTATTGGGAAACGTATAAGAATTTCTTATATGGATATTACCAGTAACGCAACTGACCTTCATAGCTGGTCCTCCTGCGACAAGCGTCCGTACATAAATCCCTGGAGATCGCAGTGGTGTGTACTAAAAATACATGTTGAACGTAAGGAAGAAAAGTTTCTTATAAATTGACCACAGGGCGCTGGTATGGTTTCGCAGGGACTCTTTTAAAATGATCCCATTGTCAATGCCACTTTCTACCCCGCCTGAGTCGAGAAGTAAGCAGTTCGGGGACAATAAATCACCCACCCCCCTCCACCCCCTCTCTTCCCTTCATCGAGCTGGGGGTCTGATTAGCGGGGTTGACTACAGGGCTTACTTGTACTTGATTACAGAGAAAAAGAAAACTTATTTCATAAAATAATAAGGGTTATGTTGAAAAACGTTCAGCCTAGTCAAACTCTTGATTATTCCGCCAGACGCCAGCTGTTACGTCTGACGTTAGGTTTATGCAATGAGTGCCACACCTCTGTCGGCCGTCTGGCACAAAGAAAATAATGATAATCATGCTTTAAGTATCCTCTCCCATTATCTCTTTTCATGGATAATAAAACAAATTATTAAATGGAACATAACATGGTTACAAATCCCAACTGGTAGGAGGCGAACTAGTCGGCTATTTCACAAGCGTAGCCAAGGATTTAGACCACCGAGAGCAAATCCAGGTAGCGGTCAGGTAAGCGCTCTAACTGCTCGGCCACGCTGCCTCCGCAAATAAATTGGTGATCAACACAAACGGAAACTATGTTTTCAAATCCAGACCAACTCCAATCATTTATGTTTCAGGGGCATCACCCATGAGCAAGCCGACTTACTGGGAATCGCTCAACATGTTATCACAATGAATTTGTGGACCATTTTTGCGCACAAATTGCGAGACTCTGCGTGTATCCTTGCAATAAACTAAAGCAATATAAACAGTTAAGGGCTATTTTGCACGACTTATTGAAAACCGAAAAACGCAAGCAAACAACAAAACCCAGAATACTGGAAACTTACCAGACCATCAATCAATCCTAGGCCTATTCCATCATCCCCCTTCATTAACTCGACAATAAACACGTCATCTTGTCGGTCATCATCTTCGCGCATGCCCTCTAACTTGGTTGTGAAGCCATTTGTGCTCGCTGGTACAACATCATTTCCAAGATCAACATCGGACTCATTCCTCAACCGACTTAAAAGTTTGGCTTTCTGTAGTGCTCTCTTCTCGTCGAATTCTTTTGTTGTTTCAAGTGTTGGATCCACTGCTATCTGCAAGGCCAGCTCTTCGTTCGTTTCCACGTCATCTACCGGAAGTACGGACAACCCGTTTACATTGTTCACGGCGTCGCGTGTGACGGCGGGCGTCACGTCAATCCATTTGGAGTTGTCGTTCGTGTAAGGTGAGGGTGCTCTCCCCACGTTCTGGTTTTCATCCCTCTTTCCGACAGCTGATCCTCCTAAAGAGCAGCAACAACGAGAGATTTAATTGTAAAAGAGTTGAAAAAAAAAAATGTAACTAATGGTAGTTATTTTCATCAGCGAAGACGAGAGTCTACTTCAAGAGTGGCTGCCTCGCTGAAGCCCAATGTACTGTTGGAATCAGTCAATTCTGACAATAAGCACGTCGAAAAATAAAGACACTCTTTTTTACCAACCTGAGGTTCTAGGTTCTTTGTTGTTAAGTCCTCTGACAGAACCCACAGATGAGTCCCCAGAAGAGGACCCCATGGAATCAAGACTCTGCAAAGGATTAGCGGGGGAACTCGCTCTGGCAGGTCGGGGCTTGGGACCTGGGCCTGCTGGTCCGCTGACCAATCTAGATAGCGGGCGCTTGGCAGCCTGTGTTACCCGCCCGTTTGGTGTCGGATCTGACATTTTCGCTTTAACTTCGTGCTTGATCGGAGGTGTTTCCCTTTTTTCGACAGGGATGGGCGCCTTTGCCGCTTCTGGGAGCACGGTTTCGTCTGAAAACACAAACGGATATCTCTAAATTAGATGAGACAGAAAAGTAGGGCTAGTTTGCCACGCAATCACGTTACCTTAGACCTAACAATAAAGAGTAATTGCCTAACTTTTGCATTTGCCAAACCTGGCAAGTGTTATATCCTCAGGGTCCAACGAGCACTAAGCCCTATTACACATCTATATAGAGCGATTTTCGTCTGACCCTGAAAAATGGTTTCGGCAAGTAAAGTGTTCGTTATTTGTTTTATCAGCCAACGGACGAAAAGATCAAAACATGCCCTCTTCTTTTTCCCGCCAAAGGAAACCCTAATATGGAGAAGGCATTGTTCGATTGGCCAGTTGTGTTGTAGTATGACATCAAAGCAAAGTATCGATTGATTTCTAGAAAGTTCTCTGGCATGATGTTTTTTCACCCGAGCGTTCGCTTAACCAACCAAAAGGCACGCGCGTTTGTATCCGTTCTACTATGCTAGGTCAAACCCTGGAGGCAGTGGATCATCAACCCTACTTAGGTGTTACCCTGTCTAAGTCTCTCAACTGGAGGGAACATACCCTGCAGGTCAAGAAAAAAGCTAATAGCTCACTAGGGTTTATTAAAAGGAACTTTCATTCACGCCCTGAGAGAGTTAAGAAGCGCAGGGGAGCGCAAACCCAGGTCAGAATACCAACCCGGTCTTCCAAAATGGGTAAGATAGAAACCTTTCTCAGTTCCGATGACCAATGGCGTTAAGCCGTTGGCCTCGTCTACTTTATCGTTCATATCAGTTAGTTAATTGGGGACATTAAGGAACTAATCCAAGACATTGTTCGAAAAGAGTAGGGAATGTAGGCCACGGGGCCATGGTCTATCTGACTTGTGCTATCTTTGGTCTGGGTGGGAGAGATGAGATCATACATAGACAGAAACGGCAGCAAAGTTCACCCTTATAAGCTGACGCACCATCTCAGAATTCAGCCGCTAGCTTTGAGAGATTCGATTTGGCTCCGTTCATTTTTTCTTCTTTTTCCTCTGCTTCAGGCGGTAAAACAGAGGAAAATGGTAGACGTCTGCACACGCGCGTGACCACACTTCATAGCAGCGCTAAATAAGATGCTATCTGAACCTCAAGTAATTTACACACCTTTTGTCGGCGCAGAAGAATCAGACACGACGGTCTCAAAAACGTATTCCTCTGGTGTAGTGTATTTAGGGGAGGCTGGGGCGGAGACCACTAAATCTGGCACGTGATCTGCACTCTGAGAAAGCGATGACGTTTGAATTACTTCCGAGTGACTAACTTCCGGTTCTGGTTGTTGAACTCTGCAAAGATTTTATATGAACACACATTAAGTTGAAGGGTGAGACTACGCCTTAGATTTGACAAAAACTCCTGTTTGCATTCACCGAAATTATATAGGCTGTAACTACAATGGTTACCTTAAAACCTGGTTGGACACCTTATGTTTATGATTACTCGACGATATACTCCTCGTAGAGAAACATTTTCGAGAAAAGTGGATAAATCAGAGTTAGAGACAGTTGTGCAAGGAAAAGGGGTGGAATACAGGGTTATCACCGAAGTACAGTGATTAGGGTTAAGCACTCTTTTAAAAACGGTTAGCTTTCAATAATGTAATGATCAATGCCATGAAAAGCACGTTAAAATTAACCCGCTCCTGGCAAGTATTGTAGTAAAGATGACAACCTGATTTTGGGGTGTCCATTCTAGTCACAACCAAATTAAGCTTATATATGGTGAATGAAGCAATTCTTCCATGTGTTTTTTTTTTGTTTTCCCAAAAATCTCCCCGAAAGAAGACAACCTCATTGCCTCGAAAATGAAGGATGCCCTACTTCGAAACAAGTGAAACTAGTTTTTTTCAGTTAGTTGGCTGGTTTTGCTCGTGTTCGATCAATTACCAAACGCATATCGTTGTTTTGAGGCAACAGATTTTAAGCTTTTTGTAGTCCCAGGGATGTTTCATTTTAATATGTTGTGATATTTTCTTTCAAAAGCAGTTGAACTGCACGAACACCACGTACACGCGGTAAAATCGTCTAGATTTTCCTCGTGGAGGCTTCACTTTTGTTCAGTAAGGCTAACTTGATATCAATAGTCCTTTCTTCCCTCATTAAGATTTTACTAACCTGTTTAATCCATTAACTCTTGACATGTCTGCTTCTGTTGTACCATGCCCTGAAAATTATTCATTTTGAAGACGAAAACGGATCAGTCAGATAAAGGAATTCAAAGAGTTCGAGCCGCTAGTTTCACTGAAGTCTATCGACACAGCCGAAAAAAGTAGTTTCCAAGGGGACTATTTATTTTGGGCAATCCCCAAGTATGGGTATTGTAGCTCAGCTGATTATACCTTCCTACAATGGAACCTCAACAAAGTGTCAAGGGACTGTCAGGACTGGGGAAATTTGTTCGTTGCATTGAGGGTTCGTTATTTCGAACACCTTCATTTAACGAATTTTCGGGAAAACCACCAAAACGTTCGTTATATCGACGTATAGTTAACAACTAGTAATAACCAAGGGTTACGGAGTGCGGGCGACAACGATCGAAGGCCAAAATGCTTTTGCTCCATCGCTATGCTTTGCGCAAGTTTCACGTGACAGATAATCTAAACACGCGTGATCAGATTACGAGTGATACAAGGTCCAAACGCACGTGATCAAATTGCGTTCTCTGCATGCCGTTCATTCTTAGTGGAAGACTGGAAGTTCAAACGAATAATGGCTACATAAATGAGACGCATGCGTAATAGCAACCGGGAGATTAAGATTGCGGGCTCCTTTTGTCGCCCGCAATTAATTTACAAAACCAAGCATTTCCTGATCTGAAAAATTACTGCAATAACATTTCAGTACCGAGCTGTATATAGCTACGGCACTAGAAACGCAAAAACAAGCAAACAAAACTGCTTAACTACTGTACACATAAATTTTATCAATCAGATTTCGTCTTTCGAAAATGTCGTGAAACGAGACGCCATCTTGGTACCGGTCGCAAAACAGTGCCGAATAGCCACCGACAAGCCAAAGTTCGTCGCTTTCTTGGTATTTGATTGTGCGACTGCTTCACTTATCGCTCAAATTTGAAAGAGGATTTAATAGGTTTCATATTTTACGTTTGCGCTTGTGGATTGTGTTCGTTTAATAAACCGAGGATTTCGTTAAATCGAAGTTCCGTTCCTTACATTTTACAGTGGAACCTCGATATAACGAAGTCCTCGGCATAACTAACGATTTTCTTTACCCCAGTAATAGTAAAATATATGAACAAGGACCTCGATATAAAGAAACCTCGTTATAGCGAACAAATTTTGCTAGCAGTCCCTTGGTTATTCGTTATATCCGTCGAGGTTCCACTGTACTGTAATTTTAGCCGGGCTGAAGAAAATCGTTTGTTATACCGAGGACTTCGTTATAGAGGTTCGTTAAATCGAGGTTCCACTGCCTAACACTGTTTAAAGTGCAAGTAGAAGATGGATGTATTTCGTTTTGATTACCTGGATTGATCGCCTTTTTGATGGCTTCAAGGTAGTCGTCGAATGACTGATCCGTCGGCCCATTTTCCAAGTCCAATACAAACCCCGCAGCTGGTAGTTTTAGCGGAGGATGCTCCGAAAAACTCAGAAGGATGTCCGCTGTAAACAACAACAAAGAATGCAAATGTCAAAAATAAGCTACCGCGTTGCCACAGCTACCGAGATTTTTATCGCGGGTTACTGAGTCTCACGACAGAAAAAAGCAAATCAGGGAGCGGATATTAAAATTTCCCGCGTAAAAGACGCGTTGTACTCGGTGCGAACGGCGGCAAACAAACTTACATCATGTAAGTGTGACGAGTGTGACCGCGTCGACCGCTTTTATGTTATGAAATTGTTTGTGTGACAGCTTCTTACAGCGATACTGAATTTTATCGTGTAACCCAACTAATTACTATGGAAACGTCAAAGAGTTCAAATTATAAAGCCTCCGCGACAGCTACAGAAGTATTCTCTCGGGTTTCTGAGTTTCACGACAAAAACGGCCAATCAAAAGAGCGGATGTGAAATTTCTCCCGTAAAAGACACTCGGCGAGTAAGGCAGAAAACAAACTTGAGTTTCAACGCTTACCTTATGTGTATAAACATACCCCGAAATAGCGCAGGAAATTGCTTTCACCACGGTGGGCACACCTAACCGCCCACCACGGCTGGTTTAACCTACCTGTTCTTAGTGCTGGTTCTACTTCCTCCGGCGGTGGGAACCAGCCTCTTGGTCGAGATTTGCCTGGACCAAGTTGATATTCGCCAAGGATTTGTTGAACTTGAGCAGGGTTGAGTGCTGGGAAGTCCCGTCGTATTGTCATCCAGTCAGCCTACAAACACGTTAAACAATTTTTTTCAGAAAAGAAAAAAAAAACTGGACCTATAGTTATTTTTGTTTGAACATGCCAAGCTCAGGGCATAAAGGTCGTTTACCAATTACACGTACGGGCAAACCGGTCGGTTCACGACAATAGCCTTAGACAAGCTAAACAACATTCACTCTTTTTTGTTCATTTCTCTGCATTCACTGCACGATTACGACGTGAAAATGCCTAATTTCACGTTTCATGTAGGGCGTAATTAAAACAAGAAACGACGAAATTTTCTCTCTTTCTGAACTTGGATATGGTTCTTAAGACAACTACAGGAGGGTTTGCCTACATTTGACAAAGTAAGTGGGTTGGAGTAATCGCGATTAAGATATGGAAAAAGGATGCGAATACGTTTTGGCCGCCGACGCCGTCCTCAGATCTTAAGGCTCTCAGTGTTAATGCACTCTCACTTGGCAAACGTGACAAGGCACTAACCTGTAAAAGTTGTACTTTGGGCGTGGCCAACAAATCCGCTGCAGTAGAAAGTCTGTTCAAATACTCATTAGCCTCGTCTTGAAGTTGCACTTGCGCTGCCCAGCTCTCCAACAAATCTAGATTGCCTCGTATCTGCGCTCCTTTCGCCCAGCGGTAGAACTTGCCCCCAGCCCCTCGCTCCATCAGCGTGTTAAAAAGGGAAGCATTTGTGAAGAAGAACAGATATGCGAAAAGTTGGTGAATTATGTCATCGTGGACAGAATAAGCTTTCACGACATCGTACGTAGTTTGAAAGATGCTAATGACTGTTTCTACTTCTTGTGGTTTCTTGTCGCTATCCTCGTCTGTGTCCTGGAAAGGGTTGGTATCCAAGATGGCTGGAAGAGCAATGTACAAAACCTAACAAACCAAGAAATTCACCGTAAGCACTAAAAAGGTAAGACTTACAAAACAACACTCTTTACATGTAATTGGGGCATTCAACACAGTCCTCATAACTCCATTTTCTGTTCCATCTTTTTCAACAACAAGAAAATAATGCAAAACAGACCCTAACTCACTATGTAAAAATTTTACCGTCACAACTTACTGCACATAAAATGTTCATAGAATAGCTGTAGAATCGGTTCTCAAATTTGGAACTCTATTCCTTATTCCATAGAGCGCTAAAGCGATCATCTTTTCCCAAAAAAGATTACAGATTTACCTCTTTATTTTTTGCAGTCTCAAGACGATTATATTGAAGTCCCCCGTATTTTAACAAATTTGTTTTATACATTTGCAAGTGTCCCCATTGTCACTCCACTCGAACCAAAACGTAAATACATTTCCCGACTAGTTTGCGGGTGGAAAAAATTATGCAATTACTAGAGCTTATAGTTAAGTTTCAATAAAAATGTGTTGTTGTTTTTTTTGTAAAGATATATGTTGTGATAAGAGGCTTATGCGAATTCGGTTCATCAGAAGGCTCCATAATGGCTACGATGTGTCAGGTTAAAAACACGTGTGTTACTTATGACAATGACATGTTTAGGCACACATATTGCCAACGATCAAAGTCGCTCTTTAATAATGTGAAAATCACTTTCTACTTTAAATGAAATTTATATACTGCTTTATTAGCACATCAGAGCAGTATTACAGAGTTTCAAACGTTTCGCAGTTTAACATAATATGCCTGTTCTAAAAGGTCTGTTAAACAAAAATCCTTGCACACTGATTTTCAAAACACACTTATTCACAGTTCTGTAAATTTGGTTTTCTACAATTTGGAATAAGCCACTGTTGAGAATATTAGAGATAAATGATCAGAACGTGTTATTGATCAGCTGAAAGAAGGCATCACTTTTTTTTTTCATTTCACAGAAACCTAACTGGAATGATATGTACCCTCACTTGGTCACAACCATATGAATTTGTTATAGATGAAAACCTAAGTTGATTCTTAATTTCCTTTGTTCATTGGTCCTAGGGTTAAAAGACAAGGAAAATTGAGAATCAACCTTGGTTAAAAAATTTTAACCTGAATTTCATTTTGACCTACAAAATATTTCCTTTGAGTTCAGATCAGTTTAAAGCTTACATTGCCCATGATCCCCCAAGATTATAAACGTGGTTTCATGGTAAACAAAAAAATAATAATAATATCTGTGCAACTGTGCAAAAAAGGAAAATGACTCAAACAACAAAGGGATGGCAAGAAGAGAAATTTAGATCATCTTGCTTTTAATGGCTACATAACACAATTAGCCATACACTTAGGTTATATGAGTGAATTTGAATTCTCTTTAACTGGTCAACATTAATTAATCGAGGTAGAATCAAAGTGTTGGCCAAGTGAAGAATAAAATCTTTGCAAGTAGTCACTTCCACGATCCAAAGGGATATAAAATTTACTTTAAGTACCTTCGTGAGATGATATACAGTCTGCTGAAAGGTATAAATGACAACTTCTTCAAGAAACATCAGCAGTTCCTCATCAGCATTGAGCAAAGCTTCATCCCCTTGGAGGGCATTTTCAGAAGGATCTTTGATGTACTGTGACATATTACGCTGAAGGAATGGCAGCATTTCCAAACAGTTAGCCATCCAAAACACCACTGGTCTAAGCTGGGGTAAAAGTTCTTCTAAAGCTTTCTCTGGAACTGTTGTTCTGTCAAAGATGAACTCACATACCTTAATACACGAATAATAATGACACTTTCTTTAAGCAGGGAAAAATAAATGGCCAAAAATAATTACTAGCTATTGTACCTTACAACAAATAACTTTGCAGTTCACAAGGAATAAAACTGATTACAAACAGATGGAAAATGAAAGAGCTTTAATAAAGGCATTTTGAAAGAGTAAGACAATGATTTATAAACTTAATATGATAATAATTGATTTATACAATAATTTAATAATCCCTTACCTTTCAATTGTTTTGGACATTTCTGCTGTCTTATCCTACAACAAGGCAGAAAGACAATTTTATGTCTCAAATTTGTAGAGAGTGGCATCTTGAACAGATATTCTAGTGTTTTATAACTCAACATTTGCTTTGCTTTGAAGCCTTTCGGGATACACTTGAAGAAGACTAAATCCAAAACCCAAGGGAAAATCCTCTGTCAACCTCTTGGAGGCAGGCACCCCTTACACTAAGGTAGCATTGATAGGTTAGCCAGCTTGCCCTAGACTAAAAATATCTCAAGTTTGGTTGGAAAATCTACTCTTTTTCAACCCACTGTCTACTTTGGCTAGGGAAAAACTTAAAGCACTGGTCAAGGTAACAGAGAGAGATCAATCTCTGCTGTATCACAAAAATAGATAATTTGAATGTTAACAATGAATGGAAGCACCTTGCAAGAGGTTGCTCACTCAGGTGCATCACCATTTGTGCCCAATTATTTTATCTGGCCATTCAGTGACTAATCAATCACTGAAATAATCATTGCTTTTAATTTTATATTTATTTGGTGATTTTCACATGTCTATATAAAAGTAAAGGAAACAGCAACATAATTATTTTTAAACAAGAAAATCCCAATATTTAAAGAAAATCTCTTTGATGCAATTTAGTCATGAAATAGGATAGGACATTTGAAAGAAAAGAATCATGGTGAACAACTTACAGATGCAACAGTTTGAATTGCATTTGAAATCTTGATGAGAAGTTGCCTTGTTTGTTGTTCAGTGTGATATCTTGCAGAATGTTCTATGCACATAATTAATAAATATGATGGAGTCAACTTGTAGCCATCACTTGACAAATCTACAATTTCCATTATCATGTCTACCAGGTCATCTTCATCTTGTGGTTGATATGACAATCTTAATATTTTGCTAGGTTCATCTGGAATGTCTGCAGGATTTATTGCACTAGAATCAGGTGTGTTTGATTTTGATGCAGACATTTGCCACTTGTAAAATTGCTTCAAGTTATTAAACCAAGTTAATTTCATTGATGTGTCAGCCACTTGCAAGGGATCCTTATACATGAACAAGTAATGCTTTCCAAATGATACTAAGTCTCCAGGGTGAAGTTTAGAACTAGACGTAACTGTCAGACCATTGACAGAGACATCAGCACCTCGGCAAGGTTCCAGATAAATAGCAAAATTTACATCATAGTCTTGGTGCTCAAATCTGGGAGCTGAGGTCTCAATGTTCTTGCTTAAGGTACAATGCTGAGGTAAAACATCAGGGGCAAAAAGGAGAATGTCAGGTGATTGGTCGGTGATATGATGAACAGGACGACCAACCAGTGCTAACTGCTCATCTAGTCTGTGGTACAGGAAGTCATCGTGATTACTAGAACCTTTCAGAAGAAGAAGATAAGGTGTGTCCATAGGTGCAGTGAATGATGATTGAATTAAGGAGGCTCTTCCAGAACTTCCTCCTTCTTCTGCACTCATGCTTGAGAAATGATCTCCAATCGATGAAGTCTGTGACATGTCACTTGCTCCTGTGTCTCTACGACTCTCTTTGTTACTCACTGGAACAGGAGCTTCACGTCTGGAAGCAGCTCGTATCACAGCAACACTTCCACGTGGCTTAAAGAATGAGGAATCTTGAGTTTCAGCTCGCTTTCTTAATTCAAATCTGCGGGAAAATCCTGCTATTGGCTTCCACAACTGCTGAAGCACAAGTGGCTTTTCCTTATCACTGATGACCCGGGCATACTCAGTTTCCCATTTATCAGCATCTTCCTGAGAATTTTTAGCATTCATGCCACCAGTTCTCTTTGTAAAGTAACCAATCACATCACAAAGGACATAATCTGAGGCCTTTTCTGTTGTCAGTGAGTATCTCTCAAGAGCCTGCTGAACAATTTCATCAGCAGTAGTCATCTCTGTAGCTCTTACACTTTTGTAATTTGAACCTGGTGAAACATGGTCTCCAAAAACTTTGAGAATGCCAGGTGCCAACTGCTCTGTAGACAGTTCAGTGTGAGCATTTTCAGCATCTTTTTTCTTGACTTTCATACGACCCAAAGATCCTTTCCTCTTGTGCTTGGTGCGGGCCGCTTTTTGTGCAGCATGCGAACTTTGATCTGTCTGATTTCCAGATCCATCAAAAAACATCCCAAAACCCTTTCTAGGGGAACTTAAAAAGTTTCTAACATTTTGACCTCTTGATGATGAAGGCATTTTATCCTCTACTGCCTTAGCAACCTGTGGTGGAGTTTTTGGCTTTGTAAATGGATTTCTGACAGGGAATGGGGACGGATTATCATTTCTTGCACTATAAGCCTGACCAGCAGAACTACCCGTAGAGCTGTTATCGCTAGCGGTGCTTCGAACACTGGCTTTTGATGGACTTGGACTCGGGCTTGGAATTGGATGAACGGATTTTGCATCAGGATTGTTCAAGGCTGTTCCATTTGGTACTACTGTCTTACTTGTGCTGTCTGTGCCATTGATCAAAACTGCTGTCTCAGGGGGTTTCTTTATATCCAGTCGTAGAACAAATCTTGGAGGCTTTTTGGCATTTAATGCAATTTCAAGAGGGGCATCAGAGGGATCTAAACAAATTTCATCTGCAAGAGAACAGAAATTTCAGTGATTTTTAATTGGCTAAAATAGCCACTCTCATACACCCAAATACTTTTTGCACATGCAGACTCCAAAAAGATTAACAAAGCCCTCGTAACGTAAAAATACCCTGAAGATTGTTGTTAACAATAGCCCATTGCTACCAAACAACAGGCAGGATACTGTGATAGTTCATAGCTTACTTTCCCTTCACTGAGGTACATTTTTGTTAAAAACAGCAAGATTGACTACTAGAGTCAAAGAACTTTCGTTTATACTTATTCAGTGATTAGGTAACATGATTCAAAAGTGTTCTTTAGAAAACTGGCATTAACTACATTGGAATCTTGATTTTACAAACTTCTTGGAGTAAAGGAAATTAGTCTGATAGTATTGAATCAATTACTTCACTAGCTAACAATTTCTCAAAATTGCAGTGTTTGACTGGGTAGGGGAAAGGATAAGGGTAGGGGTAAGGGTAGTCCATTTTTGTTAAAATCTAAAAAAAAAAGGTCTCTGCAATTCAGAGACCATTAACTGATTTAGGAAATCCCATTCTTCCATAATATTGATCCAGATAATCTTGATGAAATGACTCATTCAAATTTCCTTAACTGATATATTATAAAATCTCTGTGCGTTTCATCGAGGTAATTTACTACTTTGTACATATCCCCAACTTCTAATATAATGTATTAAAAAAATTATAACTTTATATGGTTGGTCAATATTGCCTGGCTTAGAACACCCCATTATGCTTGCAATCTTACTGTTTGAAAATGCATTGATATTGATGGGCGACAATAGATTTCGAGTAGTGATTTACTGGCATTGAGGGACATCAGTGAAACAGCATTGATTTGATGTTTGTTTTGTTTATCTAATACGTTTTTACAAAACAACTATTTCAAACACAATAAGCACCTCAGAGATTTTATTTATTGTGACAAACTTTCACTTCCCTAGACAACTTGACCAGCTGGTCTTTTGTTTTAAGTTTAAAAGTAGGAAATCGAAGAATTCAGGAAAATAGTTTCTGTATGTAGTAACGGCTTAGGTTAAGGTAATATATAAAATCTCTGTAAAAATGTTGTGATTATCAGCATAGGCATCTGGGTCGTATCACTGTGTAGGCATGTGGAAAATTCTGATGATCTCAAGTTTATCAGTTAAATTATTAAAATTTGACCTTTGTGTGGCAGAGTGTACGGTTTTTTGTAAATAAGTGTAAGGATGATAGAGTTTTCGAGCGTGATTTGTCTTAAAATGATTTCATCTCGTTATAAAAGCATCCAGATTACATTTAATGTTTATGTTCTTTGATGTGGAAGTTAAAATCTTTAGAAAAACTTCACTATAAGAGAGAAAGATACATTATAAACTGTATAAAAGAAATTAAATACCGTTCCAAGGCAAATTTATTTACTACAAGAATCCAATTAACTGCTCTCGAATGTGCTATGTACTAACTGTAAACTATTAGTGCCCCCATCAACTCTCAATTACAGCCTTACAATGACACACGCAGAGCACAGTCATGCTAGCGTTTAGTTCCTTTTCTGTGATTCACCGGATCTGTTTGAAATGCAAAGATTCTCGTCGCCAAAATTTCAAACATTTCCTTTTACGTGTCCGAATACACAAAAGCATAGTAAAGATTGTCAACTGTGCTATGTCAGGAATGGACTCAAAGTAAACTGAACCAAAGCTACAGAACAATAATCACCACAAACTTTAATTTCGTGTGAAAAATTGATTTGATTTGCTAACGATAAAGCCCCACCATGAGCTTTATAACTGTTAATTCATTTCTCTGATCAATAAATTCGTGTATTTGATAAATAAATTTTTCCCAAGTTAATTTCGAGTTTGCGCTAAACAAAATAACTTCTAAGGTAAATCTCAAACCACAATTATTGAAAAAATACTTTTGGGTCCTCGATCTTTTCGTCATACACAAGTGACAGTGTTTGCTTGCCATAGTCTGCTCCGTGAATGTTTATTAAATAAAACATCAAACATTACGGTACCTTCTTCGTAGACTTCGTAAAGTTTGGCTTTTTTCTCAACCGAGGAATTCACCAAATCGGGCTTAAACTTTTCAATCAGTGTCGGGAGCAACTCCGAAACTAATGTTTTGTTTGTCAGGCGTAAAGCTTTTGTCAATTCTTCTTTGCCGTCTTCGAAGTAGAAGCGTAACGCACCTTCGAAGCCCAGGTCCTAAAAGTGAAAGAAGATACAATTAGTGTATGGTCATGTGTTCGAAATATTATCTAGAGAACGTCACACGTGAAGTAATCGATTCCAAATGACTTTTATCCTCCAGTTCTAATTTGATTTACGAAAAGTAGTTCTACCTTTTCACGCTTGACAGCTTTAAAGACTCTGCTGTGACATTTCACTCTTGAATAGGATTCCACGATCCGTAAAATTAAACTACTGAGCGACAAGTGCAGCGAAATAATACGATGATCATTGACTGTAATAACCCCTAATGCCTAACTGGGAAGTTACTGGTGTGTCAATTTTTAAACGCGGCACGGGCGGGCGACAAGGTGCACGTTGTCGTAATGATTAACATACGAGAAATAACCGCGCATTCCTTCGACAATATATTTCGTGATAAAACACTTACGTACCTCTTTCAATATCAACCGAAAAGCTCCATGTTGGTTACCCTTGTTGTATGCCGAAATCTTGAGTCCGAGCTCTCTTTTTGTGTTCTGTAACTCGGATTCTTCATCTTGCTCCTTATCAGAGCTTTGAGCTTCTTCGGCAACTATCCTTAAGTGCGCTAAGATACGTGGATCAGACAAGATGTTAGACGACGATCGCTTCGAGAACAAACCTTGCGGCTCCTGCCCCTGAATGATGTCATCCATGCGTGCCGAAAGCCATTTAAAAACCTATGCCCTGAATGGAGGTTTCTAAGAGTTTTCAAGTCATAGAAGCACTGTACTCGCTTAATATTGTCTCGGAAGTTGTGTACACATAGCAGCCGAAGTTGATTGACAAGCAAAAGACATTTTAGATTGCTGTTTGTATAGTCACTTCTATCATTGGTTGTGGGACAATTCAATATTTATGAAATTTCTGCCCCATTGGTTGTTTATAAAGATCGATAACCGCAAAGACAAAAGAGACTTAAACTGTCACAAATCCTCGGAGAACTATAAAGCTAAATTAAAATCTAAACAAGGGACGTAGGATATATTTTCCAGATACCTCAAACTCGATTGTTTTTCTCTCTGATTGTATGACCTTCTTAAGTACCGTTGTACCACACTTTCGGTTTAGGGTTTAATCAAAACATTAAATCCATTTTAATAAATAACTGGTGTAGAAATCAATGCTATGTATTAACCATGTGAAACCAAAAATAATATAGAGTTATTCTCAGTAATTCTTTTAAATGCAGTTTATAAAAGGTCGACAGTTTGTGACAGCCTTTTTATATAAACAAATGAATAATACATTCAAACAAATAAACATAAACACGATATTTTTTGGTTTAGCGCGTTTTGCGCGCGAAGAATTAGCACTTATCGGCCAGCGGTAATCCCTCTGAGACTCGGCGCCAAGGCAACGTGCAGTGTTCTGGAAGTTCCACAAAATGGCGTTCAGGGTTATTTAGGAATTCGATAAACAAATTTAGACTCTGCTTTGACTTTTTATCGAATAATGGAAAAGTGGAAGAAACGCTTGAAGAAGACTTTGTCCATATCTAAGAGCTCGTCAAGCTCTTCGAGTTCATCTTCAGAATCGGACAGCGAAGATAAAGCAGAAAATGTCAATGAACCGACTGCTTTGGAGGCTGCATCCCTCCAGGAAAAGGCGTAAGAACTTTGTTGCTTAACATTTAAATCCTACCGTTTTTTGTAGGGTTTATTGCAGTGTGCTTGTGTATCTTTTCATAGGCCTTCTGAAAGACCCTGGAGCATTACACACTCCGATATTGAAATCAAAAGGAAATCTTCAATTGAGAGGTATTGAAACAGTTCTATTCAAAATGGCAAAATATTATTATTGTTATGGTTAGAGTTTGCCCTTTAGCTTCTTCACCCTCTTCTTTTATTTCTGGGAATGCTGTGTGAATAATATGCTATTCCTCCTGAGGAGATTATAACTGACTTTCCAAGAAAAATTTCAATTTAAGTGATAAAATATCTCGGAATTTTGACTTAACATGCTCACCATTTACACAAACCACCCCGGTAGAAATCTTGTGCATAAAAATTAAACTATAAAGTTTGACGTGGTGGGAGAACTGAGAACGACCGTTGCGAGGTATATCCAAATCAGCTTAACAGACTAAAAATAGTATAAAAATTGTATCGCCTCAAAGCACAGCCCATATTTTCTGAAGCTTCCTAAACGGAACGGCGCGAACCATTTGAATTTCCGTTGTTTCCATGTAAATGGTAAGTACCCTTAGTGTTTCCATGTTCTTCCATAATTTGGTTCCTTCTCAGGTACTGATGCATGGATTACGTACAACAAAAGAGACAATACAACCAAACAATAAAGCCCCCAGGAGAACTCTATTGTTTGGTCCCTTTGTTTCTTTTGTGATGACAGTACCTGCAGAAAGACCCCATAATTTGCCGTTTGTAAGAGACAAACATGTAAAATCCTTCCACTTCATGTTCTTTTACTAAGTTCAACCAGAAGTAAACCTCCTGTTGCTTCAAGACAAAAGGTGAGGAACCGTGATGGTGCAAGCAGTTTTGCTGATGAGACAATCGCAAGGACAGAAGTAGTACGCCCCCCTTGGCAAATGCTGAAGACAAACGATGCTCTTCCTCCCAGAGCACTGACTGTTACCTCAGTAACTCAGTCTCATGACCTGCAGGTAATAAACTGAGCTGTGAAGCTTTAGTTGGAAACAAGGTATGATTTCCATATATTCCTGAAGTAAGTGTACATTTATTATGCATGCATGTTTCGACTGTATTCATATTAACGTTTTTAAGAAAAAGTGTGAAATTGCTGCGTGCATAATAAATTTACCGGGTTTATATGGAAATCTTACTGGATATAACAATAAAATTAAAATCACCTGGTGCCTTGAGATTAATTGGATAAGTGCTGGTCTGCCAGCTGGTCTCCAGGCTAAAGGTTCAAACCCTGGTTGGACCAACACTCAGGCGGTCTTCAAATAACTGAGGAGCTATCTTTGTGTAGTGGAACCCTGATATAATGAACCACTATTATTACAAAGTCCTTGGTATAATGCTCAATTTTTTTTTAACCCAGTAATAGTAAAAATATGAAAAAGAACTTCAAAATAATGAAACCTCGTTATAGCGAACAAATTTTACCGGTCCCTTGGCCCTTCGTTATAGCGAGGTTCCACTGTAATGACATCTGCAAATGGGTAGACTTTCTAGTCTTCTTGGATAAGGACAAGAAAAGATTAAATTTGATGGGATATAAATTTAAGAACCTACACACTGTGTGGTGGTCCATCTTGAAGTCACCTCTATATTAGGGAGCAATTATAATGATCACCTTTGGTAGTAATGCAAATTCAAATTGTACTACCGATGAAACATTTCATGTTTGCTTTAATGAAATAAATTGTTATAAATATGTAATGTTCTGCAAATCAAATAATAAATTAATGATGGATGTTTTTATTTTTGATCTAACTACTGCTTTTGTTTAGTTTTGAAAAGTGTTTTGTGGACTAATATTCAGTGACCCTCAGCTGCTGATATAATTAGAAAAATATAATTTTTTATAAGTATGCATCAAAAAAATATTTTGCAGTTTTATGACAATTGATTAGGAATATGGATGTATTTAAAACTAGTGTCTGCTGGATTGTATTTTAACCAGCACTAGAAGCCCCAGACTAATTTTCATAATTAACTCATTAATAAATTATCATAATTGTCACCTGCTCATCATAATGTATCCAGGTTACCAAGAAGTAGAAGTTGCTTTAATTTTAAATGTGTATATGCCAAGGCTTATGTGTTGGTTTATATTAGAGCCTATCCATCTGGTATTCTGTATTAATCAAAAGGAAATCAGTGAACATTGAAAAGATATTTTTTTGAAAATCTTGGCAAATATGGTAGAAGAAAAGTATTTATCAAATGTTTCATTGAGTGGAGGCTTGAATGAAGATTGTGAGGTAAATTATTCAACATACTGTATTTTACATCTTTTTACTGACTATGTTTTGTTACATTTTTGTGAAAGGACGCATATAGTTAACAAGTTTTACCTCTTTTAGCTTAGTGGCTTATAGCCAGAAAGGTTTATGCTATCGTCGGCATTACAATAAATGATGATAAGGTCATTTCTATTGTTCTCATACTTGCAGTAATGCATGACCTTTGGAACCGAAGGGACTGGGTTCGATACCTTCTATCTCCCCTTTTTTTTTACTCTGTCTTATAAAACGTTGTTATGACAAAGAGGAATTTGAGAATGATTGTTCTTAGGGCTTTTTAAAAAGTTTATATGAGATGTTATGGTAAAATCCAACTAGTGGTCTATTATCAATGCTGTGTTCTGATTGGTTTAGCTACTACTAGGCTATATGTTATAGCCCACTAGTAGCGAAAAGCGGCGGCTTTGAAAACCAAAGCAATGACGGCTGAATCGCGTTTTTCCATGCAGCTTAAGTTGTTTTGTCTCGATATTTTTGACCAACTAGTTGGATTTTACTAAAACAATAATTGTTTTAGTAAAATCCAACTATTCCTCCGCCTTCAGCCTCATGGGCTATTGACTCAGACCCCATTCGGGCTCGAGGAATAATTGTTAATTATGCTCCATTATTTTAAAAACGTAAGGTGTTTGTGTTCATGAGGAATATCAATGGTCTTTCAAATATGATATTACAGGGAAAGTACTTGTTCTGTTTTGACTTGTGGTGTTGGTTTAGTTAAATTAATTTCTTTGCTTTTTCTATCCATTCGTAATTGCTTTTTGGTTTGATTGAGTTGTACTGGTCATGAATATTTTTTTAATTGTTGGTAGTATTGAACATTGAAAATCACAATGTTTTACAATTACCGTAGAATCCCGGTTATAAGCCCACCCGATTATAAGCCCACCTCTCTGCTAATAGAAATTTCCTCCCGGTTATAAGCCCCCCCGGTTATAAGCCCACCCGATTATAAGCCCACCTCTCTGCTAATAGAAATTTCCTCCTGGTTATACCCCTGTTATACCGGGTACCGTATACATGATTAAAATTTTCATTTTAATAGAACGGATTTTAGACGTTTTTTTCCTCCCTATTATAAGCCCCCCCGGGTTATAAGCCCCCCCGATTATAGGCCCACCCAAAAACCCTTACGAAATTGTATAAGCCCAGGGCTTATAACCAGGATTCTACGGTATGATGTAAAGTAGTGTGATTTAAATTGACATCAACAGAAATTAAGATGCAAAAAAAAAAAATCATGTAAATAGTAGAATATTTAATGATAATGAACAAATTATTTTTCAGGCTGTTATTGGGCTTGAAGCTGCACATGCCGAAGGTCAGTCATCATCTGATTGGCTGGGAACCCATAGTGTTAAGGCTGGAGGTCTTTCATTTGAGGAGATTATGAAATGTGGAATTCCCATCAAGTAAGTACTGACATAGATTTCTACAACAAATTATAATAATCTATATTTTTTGCCAGCATCTTTAGGCCAATATGTAAAAGTTAGCAGTTTGTTGTTGTATTGTTAACTTAGCATATTGCATTTGCCAGTGCTTGTATTGCATTAGTTCAATGGCTGTAAGCTCACTTTTTCATGCTTCTGGCTACTTTAATAACATTTTAAAAGTCTATATCATATTTTGTAATTTAATAAATTAGTATACTACAGGGACTGATTCTGAAAGGGATATACTTGAATAGTTAATTTAAAGTACATGTCATTTCATAACAGAATGAGAAGGTCATAATTTCTTTTTTGAAATAATATTTTTTCTTGCTTATAATATTTATTTTTGCAGTTACATGTAACGGGGTACAAATCATTTTGTTTTTATTTGTTTTTATTTTATTATTAGACCTCCATCTGGTGAAGATCCCAGTAAACCTCACATGAAATATGATGCAGTAAAACTACAGGATTATGAATTTAAGGTTACTAAGTAAGTATTGGCCTTAGTAGAGTAGGGCTGAAATATTATTTTCTTAGTTCTTTTAATACTTGAGGTATCACACATAAAATGAAGAGGTAGATGTAAAAAATAATATTGTACATGTCAAGTAAAAGGTAACTACAACTGATTGGTGTAATTTTTGTTCTCTAATATTGTCTCATCTTTTATGCAGTCTTATTCAGTTATGCCAGCAGAGAATTAATTGGCTGTTAAAGGGAAGCAAAAGGGTAGGTAATTTGATATTTTTAATTTTAGGATCCTTTTCCCTGAAGCACTCAGAGGTTAACTCACTAAATATTTAAGATATTTAAAGTCCTTTTTTGTCTATAAAATACAGGCATTTGGTCTGGTGAAAGGACAAAATGTAGCACTACTTGTTGATGCATCAGATTCTAACTGCGGATACGGAAGATTGCAACTGTTTCAAGAGTCTCTATCGGTAGATATAATATTATCTTCCTTTTCATTCTGTGTGTTGAATTCGTATAAGAATTTCTGTTCATTTTGTTGAAATTCTATATCATTAAATTGAAATAAAAATATTTTTTCTTTTAAATTGTAGGAACTTATTGATGAGCAATTAGCAAATAAGGAGAGGTTATATATGGTTTCCTTTGGAACCCAGCCTAAGTCATTGTGGACAGTTGTCAGGGATGTTAACTGCCGAATGTATGTAGACTGTTCACAGTCCCCTATTTTTCCGTAAGATCATTGAGATAAAGTGCTTTGCATCATGGACGGCCATCTTTGGATGCAATGAGTGTCAAATCTACTTAGGGGGTGGTGTCAGTTTGCCCGCCCACTCGAAACATGAGAAACCAAGATGGCTGCCCATACCATTAAGCGCTCGATCCTGACAATTTTATGAAAAAATAGGGATCTAGAATGTATGTGCCAGACACAATTTTGTCACTAACTGCAAGCATTATTTTATAATCTTCTTTAGTAAAAGTGGCTGAACCAATTCTTAACACATTTTCTCTTAAATGTACATGTAGATCTTAACATTTATGGCTCCCTGGAGTTTGGCTGCAGTTCTTTCTAAGAACCCCTACACTTCTTGCAGCCTGCTTTGTCTATTAGATCTGTCAAGATCTCAGTCACAGAGACTGTATAGGGAAAAAACCTGTAACTTTGAAGAACAGAAGAAACTGCTCACAATGTAAAGAATTCCACTCCCCAATTCCCATTCTTCCAAGTGTTTGACTTTTTTACAATAAATTATTGTCTTGGCACTGGTTGATGGATATGATATTTTTTACTGAATCTGCACATCTCAAATACAGTCAAAGCTCTCGTAAGTTACCACCAAGTGGAAATTTGAAAAAGTGGTCGCTTACAAGAATGAGCTCTCATAAGCAACTGCATGGTAAAGCAGTTGAGGGTGGTCACTTATTCAAAAAAATAAAGAAATTAATGTTTAAGCAGTGTCTTTATATCTGATAAAGGCGCAGCTAAACTTTACGTCTAACCCGTACGAAATCTTATGGCCTGACTGAGCCACAATAGGGCCTTAATAAGGCCTTAAATGGAAACAGAGAGCAAAAGATCAACCAAAACTGAACCTAACAGCTTGAGCCCAAAAAATTTTGTTTCCTTTTTTGTTTCTAATTCCAACACCATGAACAAAAAGCGACCAAATTCAGGCAAAATATTTTAGGTTGTAAATTTGGTCGACAGTTAAACCCCAAATGTGAACCAAAATCGCTTTGGGCTGTTATTTAGGCTCTCATTTTGAACGCTCTACGACCTTAAAGCAGGCAAAATTTTTTTAGTCGTAGATTAGGTCGCTCATGTTGGAAGCCGACTGAGGCTGTAATTTTGGTGTTGATCAGTTCGGTCGAACCAGCGAATTACAGTGAAGTCGATGTGGAGCCACCAGAAAAAGGTGTAAGGGAGACATTAAATATTAGCAAAACTTTAATTAAATAGACCTAACGCAAGAGATTTTTGCAAACAAAAACGAGAAATATCAGATTAGTTTTTTAACTCAACTGAACTAAACATTTACAGATACAATACGTACCTACAAAGTTGATTCCCTCACCTTGCAAGTAAGACTAATCTCTTTCTATTTTATTTGCAATTAAATTTGCAAACATAATTGACGCACCTGACGATAGATAATCCACGCCGTGCATGCACGAAACCAAATACAATAAATGAATGTTTTGTCCCTGAAGACTTCCGACCAGTTAAAGCTGGATTTAAATAGCTATATATGATGTATTTGAATCGTGGTGGTACCATATTAAAAAGCTTCTACAATTACTACAGTAAAAAGGGTTTTACTATGGAAAAATTTTCGTGACATTGTCTTTACGTTACCGTAGTAAACCTGACAGGTCCACTTGAAACTTTCCATGCGTTGTTTTTGCGTGATCGCGTTTCTTGATTTCTCAAAAACCCTGTCTCGATATGTTCACGTGGCCTTAGAGACACATGATGATTGGTTAGTTTATTTTGGCGGGCATTTGGGGTTCATCGTAAGAGAAAAACGTTTGTGTCTTCTCCTGTAAACGTTTTCCCGATCTAAGTTACATTGAAACTTAACATTTGTAAGTTTGAAAATTAGTTTTCATTACTGCATCTATTTTGGTTCGGACAAAAGTCTCGGCATTGTGCCCAAAAAGTCCCAAAAGTCGCTGTGCCTTGCAACTAGGACCGTTTGAAGCGAGGCAAGAAGCTGAAGTGAAAATGTGCAGGACAAAGGTTTCAGAGGTTTGTCAGTATAATTTTTAAAACTGCCGATAAAGATAAGCTTGTGTGTTTTAAGTTGTATTTAAGGTTAGTGTTTTTTCTTCATAGATCGTGCATCATGTTAAACGTTCGTAGCCCTTTCTTTTGGCGGCCAGTAAACAGGTCATGACTGTTTGAAAACGCAGAAGTCTTCTTGGAAACATGTTTATCTCTATGATATAGGGCTTAAAACCTGCCTAACAAACCAGTTAAATATTGTTCTGGAACAATTTCCTAAAGCACACGGCTGTATTTGCTGGTTGTGGGCAACACGGGAAGAACTAAATAACAGAAATCCTGAGAGGAAATAGCTCCGTATAAAATAGTATCACTTTGTTTTTGGTATTAGTACGGGTCGCGTGTCAAAGACGTTATCGAGCTTGTGAGAGTAAAAGGTATGATGCGTGGAATTTGTGATCGTCGCAGTGCTGGTGCTCATCTATGTGAAGGAATAATATTCAGAAAATCTCTTTGTAATTTTTGAAGAAATGCACGAACAGTCTGTAGCAAGTGGACTTTGTACGTGATGTGAATTCGTGATTTATACATTCAAAACGACGCGTGACCCGGTTTCGTTCTTTGATGTAATATTTTTTGTAGAAACATTCTGGTAGCAATGTATTTAAATTTGCTATACTGCATTAAAAATCCAGTTGATGTTTCATTTGTAGCGATTTTCATACAAACGTTTGTCAATTATTTAATACTAACTTTAGCTTGCTTATCTATTTATCTACCTTGAAAATGTACATTTGGCACGCAATCTCGAGTTTGCCGGTGTCGAGTTACTGTTGAGTGAAATCTTGACCAAAAAATGGTTGGATCTCAACCTCAATTACAGCGTAATTTTGGCCCAAATGTGGCCTAATTTAGCTCGAACCGGATTACAGAAATATGCAGCGTGCAGACAGCGGTCATTATCGTGTTACCGTTCAGCCAAAATGACAGCATAATTTGGGCCCAATTTTGGCCCAGTTTTTGCATCACTGTAGTGTAGTTAGGATTTGGGTTCTATTTTGGTTTATTTTGTGGCCCAAATATTTACGTTTCAGTGAGGCTCGTTTTGGTTCATCTTTGGTTGAACTTTTTAAGGCCCTATTTTGGTTTATTTCCGTCCGGGTTTGGCTGAAAATTATGGCCCAATTTACCTTCTGGCTAGAGCGTTAATTTTGGTACGGGAAGTGGTCACTACCGAAATGACCTTGTACTTTGACAAATACGATACGTACTGCACTGTACAAGATCTTTATCACCGAAACATTAGTGCAGTGTGCAAATCATTCAAGTGTTTATATAGATATAAATAAGGCTCTAATTCGTGGCTTATGAGAGCTTAAAACAAAGGAAAAGTCCAGTTGGGTAATCCCAAAAGTAGTCGCAGTCGCTAATGGAAGTGGTCGTTTACAAGAGCTTTCATTACCAAGATTAAGTCACAGCTCAAACAGGGTTTCATGAAGGTTGGAGCCGGTCGCTTACAAGACGGGTCCCAAGGAGGGCTTCAACTGTACTGTAGAAGAAGTATAACATGATGATAATTTATGATCATTGTTTTTAGAATTGAAGAATCCCATTGGTGGGTGAAAACTTTACGTCCTCAAGGTGGATGTAATGTGCTGTCTGCACTCAAGCAAGTCATCAAAAGAAAAGAGATTGACTCCATTGTTCTTGTGTTAGGAAGCTGGTACGAATATTACCATCATTTGTTCCTTAATGCAGCTGTTCGCATTTGCAAGAGGCTTCAGTCAATCAGCCAAACAAAATTAATAAATTAATTAAATTAATTAAATTAATTAATTAAAAATAATACTTGAGAGACTAATGACAGGTAAATAGCTCACGTTCAATATATTAAAATTCCAGCATGACTCTGAGGCTTTCTGGTCATTTTTCTATATTTATTTTTGTTTTCTTTGTGCTCAAGTCTCTTCTGGAAATTGCATAACAAAGGAAGCGTCAGAGTCATGTTAGAATTTTAGTAAATCAAAGATTGGCTATTAAAGCTGGAACAAGCATTTTGGTTCTCTGTTTCCCAGCTTGATTTCCTTTCCAAGCTAAGTTATAAATTACTGCGCAGGAATGTGCTTTACTTTCTCTTCTGCTGAAGGTGGAGTTGGCTTCTAATTTTGTGAAGCAGTACTTATTATGTGCCCATGGTTTTGCTATGATGTCTGCAAGTACATTTCGTTTTCATTCACATCAATTCAATTGCTGAAAGTACTTTTTGCTGCCTTTTGAACCCATTTCATTCTGGAGAATATCAAAGCCAAAAAATTTGACCCATTATTAAATGTTTTTGCAAAAATAGCCAGCAGCACAGAAATATGAATAATTGTCAGTGATAACACTAAAGGTTTTTAAGACCCCAGACTTTGGGCTTGGGGTGTCTGCATTAATTATTTTTATCCAGGAACTTAAATTAGAGTGGTGTATTTTTCCCCCTCATGGTGACATGATAATTAGTTTCTACACTTTGATAACATAATGCATAACTCCCAGCTGTCTTCTAAACTTTGTGTTGCAGAAAGTGAAACTTTCCTGTTTGCAGTATATGAACTTTAGTCATGTAGTAGTATTGATATTTTTATTGTAAAATGGTGTGCAGTGATTATAAGTTTTTTTTACCATGTCTTTTCCATTATTTGCAGTCCTGATCAGAATCCAAAAGTGATTTGTGATTATGTGCGTGAGTCACTGGCTGGAAGACATGCTCCCCTACATACTGTAGCGTATGACTGCAGCATCTCAGCTACTAATGTAAGGATCAAGTCCAAACAACCAATATTAATTTTTCCTCATTTAAGATTCAAGGTCAAGATTCAAATTAATAACAACAGCAAAAAAAAAGATTGAAACTTTTTGCTCTTAGCATTTTAGCATCAAAAATCAGTAAGTGCTGAGAGGATATTTTGTTCTCATGTGTTATGCTTATTTTGGAGTGGGGCCAATTCAAAGTTGGCACTTTTTTGAGTAAAAATTGTAGCTGTTTGCTTTCTCATTGTATAAGTTTTTTTAAGATTTGAAGGCATGATAATGACACTTTGAAAAATGAGGGGCGGATCTAGGGGGAGGGTGCAGGGGGTGCGCACCCCCCCACCGAGATGACCTGCGGTTTTCTAATCCAACTGGTATTCTGCGAAGAAAAAGAAACTATGTGGTTTATTGGTGTTGAAGTAGAGCAAGAGACGAGTGCCCTCCCCTCCTAAAAAAAATCCTGGATCCGCCCCTGAAAATTTGGTAGAAGATGGCTCATGTTAGTTTTGTTTTGTGTATTCTAATGAACCCTTGAAAGAAACGGTCACTTGGAATGACAATGCCCCTTGATGGATGGCAAGCAGTGCTGTTGGGCAAGAAAAACAAATAGATTACATGAGTCAAAATATCCTTTCTTTTCAAGGTCCCACTGTATTGTTTGCCCTCTTGCAAGGTGTTTTTATACCATGTGACCATTCTGTACAAAGGGCCCATATAGTTACATGTATATTTAGGGTGCTTAGGGAAATCTGGATTTAGATTTTGAAAAGAGATTTTAATGCTGCGAAATTAGTCCTCAGGGTTAACGTTGGATTTCAATTAAAAAATCCATTTCATGATTCCATGGCTTTCCTTTAGTGTTTTTTGTAGTGATGGTTTTGTTTTGTGCACTAAAAAAACTATAAAGAACAAGTTCTTTTTCGGTTTTCAGCACCTGAAACTCAAATAGTGCTCCTAATAAGAGTATAAAGTGGTATGATCCAATTTCTTGAGTGAATAATGCTTTTTGTTTCAGATGTTCCTGAAGGAACTTGCCGAGCAGACTGGGGGGAGATATCACTGTTATGTTTCTACCAGTGACGTGAGTAACTAGCTACTAAGAATGTTAACTTTAATACATTGCTCAATATCATAACATACATTGTAATTTTAAAAAAATGATGTATAAAAGAATATTTTCCCATCATCACAGTCATGATATACCGTTATGCTGTAATGTTCGTGTATTTGTGTTCTGTTTGATGTTACAACTAAATAAAGAAGCCATTTAAATACTAACAAATGACTTAGAAGTCAGCATATCTACAGAGTGGTTTTCTATTTCCACATATCCCTGATCAAATGTTAGTTTAAAGTGCCCATCACCTAAAATTTTTTATTTTCTTTACTGAAACTATACCTTATTAAAATAACTTCTGTGAAAAAATTTGGCGATTTGAACAAAACGCGATTTTTTTACCAATTTTTGAAGTCTGCATTTTTGTGGTACACCCGCGCCGCTGATCACGCAAACTAGCAGGCTCAGGCTCACATATGACGTCATGTGACGTAAATTAAGGAACTCACATTACCTTGCCTTCATCAGCTGTACACAATTACAATGTCTTCGCAAGAAGAAAGTTTTTCTGAAACAGAAAATCCTACCAGAAAATCTTATTGTTTTCCTGTCGATAAAGTCACGTTTCCTTAAAGTACGTCATATGACGTCATACTCGGAGAGAAGACTAAGACGAATGGTGGACGAATGATGGGCACTTAGAGGGAAGAGGGAAAACTGAAAAGTTTTTTCAGGCCTTAAGTTGGTCATTTCTTGAACAAAAACTAAAGCCTTTAGTTGTTATTTTGATTACATATGTAGACCTCTTGTAAATGCCTGTTTAATATGAGAAATAGAGGAGTGTCAACAGCTACAGAAAAAAAATAGAAGTTACTTATGTGGCACATTCACCATTTGGTCCATGTTATGGGCTCTTTTGCAGGAACAAATCATGACTGGAACTGATCTTAGTTTATTAGCGGAGGAAATGAGGAAGGCTCAGGAAATATTGAAGAAGATAATGGAGATGAAGAGTGGGGTGATGGGTGACACAAGAATTGCTGTTCAAGCAAGCGTTGACAGTACTTTAACCACTGTAAGTACATAACATGAGGTTTTTCCTAATAAAGCTTTATGATTGTGCCTTGGGAGAGTACCAAGTCATGAGGGACACAAGTTTATCAGTTTCTAATTTACTCATTTTCACCTGCTATCCTCTTTAAGTAAAATTATCTTAAATCATTAAGGTCATTATCATGCCATGTGGTTCGTCTTCTGCGTTCATCCAGACTATGTCTGGATTGTGTTGTTGAACTGGCAGTTTATCAAATTGAAACACTGGCCGAGTCATTTTTTGAAAGCTCACACGTGAACTTTGATACAGAACAGAAGACCTTTCCTGTAGCAATTCTGAGGACACGGGATTAACATTTTATGTACTGTGGAACCTCCACTAGTGGTCACCTCTCCACAACCGCCATTTTTTGGCAGACAGTCCATACGTTTACTCTTGTTTGAACCTCTCTACAACGGCCACGTCTCTACAACACCGACCACTTTCATCTGTCCCCAAGATGACCGTTGTGGAGAGAATTAACTGTATTTTTGAAAACTTAGATCTCATTCTTTAGTTTTGAGTTAATTATGAATTCTGTCTGTTATGTGATAGATACCTTTTAGTATGGATCTAATGAGGCTTCCTTCAGAGGAGAATGAAATACTTGCTGTTGATAGCTCTCCACTGGTAGTGGAACATCCATCATTCCCTGCAAGAACATCAACTGAATGGCTCAAACAACATGGTTTGAAAGGTAAAGTAAAACTGTGATGAGTTTGAAGATGCAGATATAATGTACATTGTAGGTGACTTTGAATTAAACATAAGTCAAAGACTACTTAGTTAATTGTGTGCGCTTGTGTTGTTTAAATATTGCTAGATCTTTCTTCTTTGTCTTTTATCTTACTTTGAGTTTACATCTCCCAAACTTCCTTCTCTTTACAGTACTGTAGACTAGTACAATGGAGTTAAACAAAATTTAGTCAACTTTATAATAAAAATATATTTCTAATTTGTGCGTTTATTACACGTTTGTGAGAGAAGTTGGCGTTCACGGTTTAATATTGTCTGTGATTCCTTTCTTTCACAGCCAAGGGACTGAATCTTTACCAAGTCCTGGCGCCTAACTCATTCTCTTATGTTGATGGTTACATTTCCGCCATAAACAGAAATGTGCATTCCCTGGTTCATGAGAGGGTAAGGCCTCTTTTTATATCATTATATTTCCATTAGTAGATAAATGGGTCAAGGATAGTTCATAAAGAGACTGTGTGCAGGACACACTGAATTGTTTATTCTGGAAATGAAAGCCAGGTTCAACTAAGTTAATCAGATAATTTGGGCACCGTGAAGACGTTAAGATGGTTTTCATCACATTTTAAATGATGCACATGGGCAAGCCTGTGCATACAACCGTTTCTCCGCTCCCCCTCGCTGGGAACGTTTCGCAGGAAACGTCCCTATTGACGAGGGCCGTATTCGTAGACTACACATGGGTGGCAGCCCAGTTGAAAACAGTCCTTCACGTGAACAAAGGTTGTACAAACTATTGCCAAATGTCAGATCACCACGTAACTAAGGACAATGAAATGTGGTGGTTTGAATCGCTATGAGAGTTAAACGAGATAACAGAAGTTTTAGAACTAGATTTACCACTGTTATGATAAGCTCATTTTCTCGTTCACCGTGTTTCTCTCTTCAGAGTATGGCTCAGTTCAAGTGGTTTGATGGAACGGTGAAAAATGTGCACGTTGATCCTACATTACTTTTCGATTACCAGGTTTGTAGTATTACTTTGTTCAGGACAATGCCCGCTCTTTAGATGTTTGTCCTTGCCAATTGCCAATTACATGTAGTTGACGCTTTTTCAATTCTGTGGTCTTCTTCCTATTTACGATTATGAAACAAACTTCACCTTCACCTCCTGATGTATACTCAATCACGTATAAACTGGCAAACAAACCCAACAAAGAAAAAACCGTGTTTACCTTGTTTTCGCGGTAGCTACTAATTTGTGTAAACGAAGTTTGTTTTTATAAAAATGCCTTTAACCGTAAACCCTGCAAACAAACTCCTAACATTATTTTGACGGAAATAATTAGTGCTAAATGCAACTTCAGAGTAGAAAATATATCTTGCCTGCCTGTATACGATTGATTGTTTCTGACAGCGCCATTTAGAGTCTGCTGTGCACTTGTACAAGAGACGTGTTGATTGGCTGTCAGTTGGCTGTCGCAGAATCTTTGGCACAGTTGTGGAAAAGAGGTCAGTTGGCTTCCGCGTTTCTTAAGCGTTCCGGTAATATATCTTACATTTATTTTTCTGAAATATGAAGCAACCCTCGATCCGATTCTCTTACCCAATCATCAGCCACTTTGCAAACCCAGTCATTCCTGAACTAAACAATACGGTTGTTCAGAGTCCCTTTAATTACGTGTCTAATGAGATGCATTGGCCGTTTTTATGCTAGAGACGTCAAAGATAGTAAATAAGACAGACGCGTTTAACGTCTGACGACAATAACGTCTTCTGTTAACTGCATCGTTCAAATGCACGTAACAGGCGACTTTTATGCGTCTAGTATTAAAAACGGGACGGCATAAACTAGGATGCATTTTATTTTTGCCCAACTCCTCCAAGGGCGACTGGGAAGAGGCAGTGTTGTGTGTTTTTTTCGTTAATTTTTTTTTCAGTGTTTTCGTCAGCTTTTATGCATCCCGTTTTTGCACCAGCCGACATTAACGTTAAATACGTCTCGACCAAGATAAGATCAATTTTATTTAATAAGTTTTATTTTTCTAACTTTAATGTCTCTAGCATAAAGACCTAAACGGCCATTTTTATTCTTGTGACAACTCATTTTTGGAGCATCCTCCATTTGTTGAAAAAATACTTGCTGAAGCGTTCGCCAAAATCGCTCGAATATGATATTAAAGAATACTGACTACAGTAAAAACCCGCGTATAAGAACCTGGTACATTTTCCAAGCTAGGCTAAGAAGGTTCTTATAAAAATGGTCTTAAGTGGAAAATTAGGCTACTCAGGTTCTTAAATAAGTTCTTATTTTTAATAATAAATGACGCGGTTGTGGCCTATTTTGGGCCTATTTTTGGTACTGCATGCAAAATATGTTATAAAAATCCCTTTAATTCAAGCCTGTTAAAGCCATTTATGAAGTTTATACAAAGCTATGCAATTTAAACAGAACAAAAACAACATTAAAACATGGTACTGTGTTGCTGCTGGGCCAAACATGGTACTTGTGTATTCAGTGGTTGACTGAATTTCTCAAAATAAGAACCTGTTTCAAAATTGTAGGCTAAAACAAGTTCTTATATAAAAGGGGTCTTAATGGACAATCTTAGCCTAAGAGGTTCCTAAAATCTAGGTTCTTATACGCGGGTTTCTACTGTATGATAGGTAAATGGCATTATTTTGCATGTTTATTGCAGAGTGATTGTGTTGTTAGACATGTCAATATGCATGTCACCAGCTGTACTTAGACTACAAGAGCATCTCAAGCTTCTTCTAGAACAGCAAATGGCTAACAAGACCTCCTACAACTTCATCTGGTAAATTTTCAGTATAATCAAAGTAACGAGCTGTAGGCCACGGCTGTGTTAGCTATAATTTTCTAACTCCCATCCATTGATCAAAGACACTGAAATTTAGTTTTAAGTGCGGAGGTGTGGAATTTATAAATGCGTTTTTTGGGGCTCAAACGTTTTTTTTATCCGTCCGCTGTACCAAAGCTGTACTGTGATTGCGCCTTCGTAATTCTCTCTTGTGAGTTTACAGTCTAAAAATACCTTTCAATATGTCCATACCGTATCAGGTAGATATCATCTCAGTGCCACTAGCATGGCGGTGAATGTTCAACACGACCTTCGAGTTTCAACTAATATATTTTTTCTTTGCGCTGTTTTCCCGTCTTCAACTAATGTTTATTTATATACTTCAAAAGATCCTTACTGAATTCTAATTTGTATTTGTTTAGTTTTGGTGACAAGACAGAGATGTTTCGGCCAGTCATGGTAGAACCCTCTCCCGAGTATCTTGAAGCAACCTGGAAGTAAGTTTTCTTGAACTGTCCACCTCTAATGAGAGCTGACAGCCAAAAAAGTCACCATTTCTTTTGGGTGACTAAAGAAAACAGGTAGTACTATGCAAGAACGTGTTTTCAAGAGGTTGCATTTAAATGGTCACACTAAAGGAATTTTTTTTACAAAACGTACAACTACACTTTGCGGTAATCGACACAGAAACACGAATAAGTTAGTTTGATTCCGTGCCGATTTAGAGTGCCGAACTGAACCAAACGGAGCGAAAACGGACCATGCAAAACCAACAATATTTACCTTGAAACAGAGAAGATATCAAACCAATTTTAGGGCGGCTTCACTCCCCCACTGAAGCAGCATCAGTGTTTTATGTATACTAATGTGATGTAAGCTTTATCAGTCAATACAGTGGACTTGGACTAGGACTAACCCGTTCATTAATTGAAAAGATATGTAACACCACTGAAAACGGGCTCAGTGAACTGTATTTCGCCACTTCGAGTCTGTGCTTGATACTTACGGCTGGGGATAAACGAGCCCCAGTTCTTGTAAAGGATGACGTACTTGATGTTATGAAGGAAATTAAGCAACTAAGGCCAGTGTTGGTTCTTATGATTTTGCTTTTTGTTTCTGATAGATGGCTTCTTCAACGAGGTTGCACAGGCAGTAGAAATGTTTTGGATGCATTTAGAAAAGCTGTGGAAAACGAAGAGGAAAGGGCTCATGGCATCGGTGAGTTACCGCTATACATATAAAACCGAACCTCACAAGTGAAATGTATGTGTAATCAAATGGTGACGAGTGAAAAAGGCTCGGTAAATTATAAGGATTTGGACAAAACGCGTGTGAAATTATTCCCTAACTTCACGAGTGTACCATTTTATTACCTATTAATATCATGGGTGACGAATTACGTTAGCAATCTTGGATTTTTGACATGTTTATCCTGGATCGCATCGATCGAGAACTCCCCTTACTTGAACGTTTAGAGCTCAAGTTTTTTTGTTAAGTTCAGAATTTTTCGACAAAATACCTGTTAGAATCCCTCTTGATGTGCTCTTTCGTATGTTCAAGTTTTCTAAAGCGTCTTTTTATACCCTGGCATCTTCAGTCATTCATGACATTTTTTTTGACACTGAGACGTACGGAAGGTTGCCATGGCAATTTTGTACTTTCAAATGTGAAATTACAAATTATCGCTGAAATTTCGCGCCAGAATTAAGGAGTAATTCGTCACCTATGATATTAAAGGTGAAATTTTTGTTCAATCAAGTGTCTCATCTCTGACGGAAGTAAACTAGTAAACCCGCAAACAGCTCAAATTATGTCAGTTGCTATCATCGAGCCTCTTTTCCCGATCGTATTTGTGGTTTTCTGATCACATTCCCTTTGGATTTCTTTTTTCGATCCTTGATACATCCCTTCTTAGCGTAAGGGTTTTACTTAGTGCTTTTACTACTTCTAGTTTCTTAAGAGTTGCTGCGCTGAGCTTGCAGTCCTATGATCGGTGCTCTTTTTTTCGTCAAGGCTTTTATCCTGTTTGTCTTAAACTTGCTACTCTCAGAAGCACTCTTGCCTGCTTTTAACAGTCCCTCCTGCCAGTTTTCATTTTTATTATATCTTAAAAAATTGTTTTTGGTTTTACAGAGGTTGAAGGGATTTATGTGGTAACAAGTGGGATACCCGATGAACCAAAGGTAACGCAAATTGGCCTGTTATCATAAAAGGAAACATACAGCAGCTAATGGCTGGGATAATTGTTCATCGTAACGAGCCATACCAAATAAAACTACTTCAGGAAAGCTTTCGCCAGTCTCATTACATCCTAAGTGTTGTTTTGTAACTTTATTTTTTTTGTTCAGCAATGATTCTTAGGATTTAACTCAACTGAGTTTCCTTTGTACATCCAGGTCCAGCACCTTAGGGAAATTTCTCCTTTTAAATGCAGTTGAATGATCGCACCGTGAAATCTACCCATCTGCTCTCGCAAAGGTTGAAGCGTGGTTGAATGTTCAACACTATTCTTTTTTCTTTAAAGGATGTTGCCTGTGGATTTGTAAGCGAAGCTCTAGCTGGTAGACACACTACAGTTCATACTATTTACTACGAAGTCGAGGACGAGGATGGGTTGGTATCAATACCAGGAAAATATGCTGATAGAGGAGAAACGGCTAATTACCTTAGACAAATGGCGCATACTGTCAATGGAAGATTCCACTGGTATAGGAATGGAGGTGAATACTTCTTCCTTCTTGCTACAGTGCCATTTCTCTGCCAGATCATGAAGAACCAATAGGGAATTACTGGAAATTGGTTCTTGTAGTTCATCTGCAGTCTACGATAGTATTGTTTCTACTAGTGCTGTGTTTTTATTTGCCCTTGTAGTTGGCGGGATTTTAATGCTTGGGATATTTTCTTTATGTGTTGTGTACTTTTTTGGCGGCGCCTACCGCAAGGGAAAACCTCCCCCAGACGTCTGGCGGCTCTGCTGCCAAAAATGAAAAAACAGCACTCCCGCCAATCCCGCCAGCTGTACAGGCTAGCTTTTTATTTCTGGTCGTTGTTTTGTTTTGTTTTGTTTGTTTGTTTATTTTTCATATATTTTGTTTTTCCTATTGGAACTTTTCCTTTCCATACTTCTGAGCGTTAGCCCCTGCCTCGTGAGGTTCTTTGATTTATGTATTTCTAGTATATATTTTGTTCTGCAAATGTGGAATAGCTCTCGTTAAAGCCCTTGTGCCTTGTTTGCCTAAGTAACTTTGACTGTCAAATCCTGGTGTTTAAACGTTGTTTACTATAATAAGCGTCAAAAAGACATATAGCGGGACTGGAAAATTGTTTATTTGATAAAAGAATCCATCTTAAAAACATTTGGAGGTTCATTTATCGATCGTCGTAAGCCACAGTCGCATAACTTACCGACCCTTTAAGTCGACATATGTTTTCTTAACTTATTATAACACATATAAGGCTATTTTAGTGACATTGATTTTTGTCCGTATTTGTCCAAAAATGTTTCAATTAGTTTTTGTTGTTTGCAGTAATAGTAGAAAGTGATGACCTGAGGGCCGTAATAAACGAAATGGATAAGGCATTCAATTACTCACAGAAAGTAAGTTTGTCTCAAGTCTCACTGTTCCCAAAGCTATCTATATCAGTATATTTAGTGTTCATCAAGATGTCAATCTGCGAAATACATTTTATTATTACAGACTGCGATGTTGTTGGAAACTGTGAGAAAGAAAAAGCCAGTAGCTGAATTGGTAGGTTCATTACTATCCTGTGGTACTGTTGTTTTGTCTATAATCTGTAAAGGGAAATTTTTTAGGCCTTAAATGGTATGCTTGAAGTCCCTAACGATGGTGAGCTGCGGAAATGTACCAGAATTTTGCTTGCACTTTTTCACCCGAGTTCATCATAAATAAAAAATAGTCACACAAATCTATGCCCATGTTCAGGACTGTGCACTTTTACCCTTTGGTTGCACAAATGCTCCCAGCGGTTTTCAGAGTTTATCAGGGAACAAAATTACATTTTCCTGCTATTTATAGAGTAAAGGTTTTAATAAGAGTTTAATGACATTATTTTATCACCGCCTGCTATTTTGCTAGATAAATGGCTCAGTTGATGGTGACAGCCAGCTTGTACCCAGGCCTCCATCTGCGAATAAGTCACGGTTACCTCTGACCCCACCAAGGCACACTGCACTAACAAAGGCTAGAATGGTAAGTGATGTTATATACTGCGTATGATACTCGAATTTATGTCGTGTTTTACCAATTGGCAGTTTATTCTGTGCTTATCTAAACGCCGCCTAAATAGCAATAGCATAACACATTTTTTGTACTAAATCAAAATAAAGGAGCATTCGCCTTGCTCGGCCTATGTAACAAAATTTTATCAGCATCGAAATTAATTCTTTCCATCGCCACACAGGTTTTTTGGGAGTCTTGTTGAAACTCCCCCTCACACGTATCGTTAGTGTTAGGTTTTCTTGAAAGTTCTTCCTTCTAACGTTAATTTGGACTTTTAAATAGGCAATTTTTGATTAATGCCGAAATCGTTTTGCTTTTGGTAAAGGATATAATTAGTTAAATTTTAAACCTTAGTTGCTCGTTTTAACACTAAACGCCAGTAAGAAAACATTTCACTCTCTACATAAACCAGTAGCGTTAACTGCTTTTATGTTAAACGGCGTGGTTTGTGTTTTGTTTGTTTTAGAAACAGGCCTGTTCTTTGCCTCCCATTAAAGTCACGTCAGAAGATCCTGTAAGAATAAATTACCTTTTGTGAAATCTACATCTCTCTTTTACTGAAATTGTTCGTCTCCTTTAAAACGTACTATAACGCTATGTGCTCAATAAGGTCAAGTCTGGCTATAAGAATGTTAACTGTAGTTGAGTAGTGAGTCTCTCTTTTAAACTCTTTACCATCAAAGTTAGAAAAGATAAGCGATAAAAAGTAAAAATATAAAATGTCTTTCTTTGTTCGATCTTTCAACTTACATAAAGCAGAGCATTTTTGTGATACAGTTAATTGTACCCAAGACAGAACGACACCGTTCGTGCCGACACTAAGAAGGTCAAATGAAATAACTGAGCAATGGCAAGCTCAAACTCCGGGTGTCCGTCTTATTAAGACATAGCTCTCTGTAGTCTCGTTTGGTTTAAAATTTCATATCAGCAGTTTAGTACAAAGATTTGAAATTCAGACACAGCTTCTACGCCATGATAACAAAGTGAACTCGAACGTATTACTTATGTCTGCTAGGGTTTAAATGTCACTGTTCATCCGTAAACGCAAAAATAATAGCCGCCTTACGTGACGTTACTTTTTGGAGGTTGCGGTGAAGCTGCTCATTGATCCTAGTGAAACTGACTCCAGGGCCCAGTTGTTCGTAGGCCGATGAGCGCTTAACCCGGGGTTAAATTTAACCGGGGTTTCCTTTTGTCTTGTTCAAAAGCACTTTCTCGGATAATTTTCTTTGTTATTTTTAGAGCTTGCAATCGTCAACTTGTAGACTAAAACAATTAAAACTGAAATGCTTTTTAAGCTTTCAAATCTGAATTCAAATCTTGCACTAACCCTGGGTTATCTTAACCCAGCTTTGAACAACACGGCCCTACAGTTGTATAAGCAAAGAGGTCGGAGAGTGTTTTAAGAAATTGTACAGCGCCAAATGTTAAAAGCAGGATTTCCAAGAGGATGGTAGTAACTTACAATTCATCTTATTTGATTTTTTCAAAGGTGGTAAAGAGAAGAACATTACGCTTTTCTTTTGAAGTTTTTGTTTCGGCGGTAATTTTCTATCTACTTTAGTTTATATTTCTGTGCCCTCATCGCTGTAAGCATTTATTGTTTTCCATCAATATAATCTAACTATTTCCTAGCTGCCCTTACGGGAGAAAGGACTTTCTTATATATTGTAAAAAAATTGTCATGCTTTCTAATTGAACACGACCCCCTTTTGTACAGAATGTAAGACCTCAGACGGCCGGGATGAGTCGTCCCAGTTCCTCCACCGGCGGGAAAAAGGCCAGGCCGCACAGTGCATCGTCTCAGACCAAAGAATCAACAATGAAGGCGTTGCAGTGGAAACCTACCACATCAAACAGTTCTACCTCACTAATTCCAGCACGTGAGTTGACCTGATACTCCCACGTCTGTGAATTCATAAAGTCTCTTTAAGGCAGGAATGCTTAAAGAAACAAGATACAACCTCGTCACCAGGGATATTCCCTTGGAATTTGGGAGGGGAGGGAAAAGGCCCTGTTCTCGGTCATCTCTCCCCATAGACACCCGAAAGGCTCGAGCAACTCTCGCCGTTGCCATTTGAAAAGCTCAGGGGACGTGGTTAAATAAGATCAATTTCCTTAAGGGGAAAATTCGAAAACGGCGGTTATACTTGAAAATGTTTTGTAATATCGTTCCCAAGAAAAGCTTACATTTTAGGATCAACTTAGAACTTGTTTTTTTAAACGTGGTGAATGAGGAAGCAACCGTAAAAACTACTACTGACTAGCTTTTTCTTAACGGCAGTGGTGAAAAAAGATTTCTTGGTGACCTTTTTTCGCTCTATATGGAGTCGTACATCTTGTTTTGTAAATATATTTAATAACCTGTCAAGTAGCGATGCTGAAAGCCTAAAGTAAACCGACATAAAAACTGCGCCATAATTTCTGACAGGAACTTCCTACGGCCAAGTTAATGTTGGAATAGTCCGCTACTTCAGCCTTTTAGAGAAGATTATGGTGCAGAGTGTTTGAATCTCGATTATTGTATTTATCTACAGCTCCTCCAGCTAAAACCGTTGTTAAGGAGAGAAGACCATCATCAGGCGGAGTAAAATCGTCCCAGCAGGTCTTCTATACGGAGTGGAAAAATGATACAGGTTTTCTAAAGCTTCTGTTCTTCAGTAGGCTGACAAAGTTTAGTTGACCCGAACAAAATAATCTCATTGGTTGCTTTGTTAATATATTTGTTATTCATTTTTGCTTGATGTCTTGGTCGTTTCTCGACATCTTTAACAAGCAAGTATAGTATAAGATGCTGCTTTCCTAAACTAAAATTGTCAACGATGACATTTGTGAGTCAGGCCTTTAGGCTAAGGCGGGAGGAGGACGTCAGAAAGGGCGAACTAGGGTCCCAATCGTCATACATAAAAAATGAGAGCGACCAGAAGTCACATCGTCATATAATGGTCACGAGGTGGAAGATGACGCGACCATGAACACATTACAGTTGAAGTCGTTCTTGTGCATGGGCAAATAAAGAGACTGTAAAGGGCGACAATATGATTGTAAACATAACATCTCTGTTGAAATTAACCTTTTTAGTTTACTTAGCTTTTCTCAGAGGGCTCCAGAAGGCTACTCTATGTTGTTGTTGTTGGTTTTTTTACACAGGTGCAGTTTTCACTCAGTATACCCAGAAAAAGAAACTTAGAAGACCGATTAAACATCCTTTTATTCCTGATAAGGAGGACAGTGTTAGTACCAGAGAGGTGCGGAGTATTCTTTTCCTGTTTAGTTTTTCCGAATAAAAATTATTTTCCTCAAGTAATTCAAATAGTTGCTTGGCGTTTATGAGTTTATTGGTGATTCTGCACGTCAACGTGCGTTTATGTTTCTTTCACAATTCTCTTGAGATAATCTTATTTTTTTCGAGGTAGTTGTTGTTATTCATGCATTTATGGAAACTTGCATTGATTGTTTTTGTCCAATGTTGTTGTTTTTTTTTGCAGTTTATGCGTCACTATAGTTTGTCTAAGTTAAAGCTAGACTTGAATAGCATTGTGGGGTCTGCGGAGTGTTCTCATGCCAAAGGAAAAGTATCATCTCTTGGCCAATCAGTACCCGCAAGGTAAGAGAACACTGCAGACCAGCACACGAACAGAGGACAAAAATACACACAGTATTAGACAAAAATGCTGTATACTCTCCGACAGACAACCAAAGTTACCAACACACGGACAAAAGAAAAAAATACATGCAGTACTTGACAAAAACACTGCATGCTCTCCGACAGACAACCAAAGTTATCAACACGCGGACAGAAGACAAAAATACACGCAGTACTGGACAAAAACACTGTATACTCTCCGACAGACAACCAAAGTTACCAACGCGCGGACAGAAGACAAAAATACATGCAGTACAAGACGAAAACACTGTATATCCTCCGACAGACGACCACAGTTACTAACACGCGGACAGAAGACAAAAATACATGCAGTACTAGACGAAAATTCTTTATACTCTCCGACAGACCACACGGACCGAAGGCAGTATTAGACGAAAATACTTTATATTCTCCGACAGACAACCAAAGTTTCCTTTAAAGGAGCTGTGTCAAGAACTTAATCAAAATTCTAACAGTGAAAGCTGCAATCCAGTTTAGTAAAACATTAAATTAACAGTTCAAAGCCGGGAACATTTATTGAGAGGAAGGTATAAATAACACAGCGTTTTCAAGAGAAGCCACAGATGGACAACATTGAAGAAGATTACGGTGTTTGAAAACTTGTTAGCCTAAGTGTTTTTCAAAGTTCATTTTTGTTGTTTCCTTTGATGTAATGCAATGCGTTGGGCGAGATATTTGTAGCTGTGTAATTAGCAATATTAATCTAATGAACTAGACAGCCCTGACGCAGCTCCTTTAAGCCAACTCGTGACTTGCTCGTATAAAGACACGTTATGACTTATGAATCATGAAATCAAAACAATACAAACTCTTCAACTCCTTCTCCTGAAAATTAGTTCTAATGTGGCTACTTGGATTATATATCCGTCCAAGGCCTTCCTAACTACCGTGCAGAAATTCAAGAGTTTAAATAAGACTGACTTATGGATGGACTCAGAGACAGATAGACGGACTATAGGATAGACAGAAAAATAGTCCATGACAGTCAGACTTACAATCAGGTAGTCAGGGCAGTACAGATTCATCATTCACTTAGACCGCTTTCTGCCGTGGCAAAGTTTCTTAAATGACATTTTTGTCAAGCGCCTTTACGGCTGAGCTACTGAGCAAGTTGTTTTCATTTTTTCTGTTTTTAGATACTGCAACATTTTCCCAAGTGTGGAAGTTAAGGTAATTGAACACTGTTTTATATTCTTCCTTTCTGATTTCGTTGTTTCAACCGTCAAGTTTCTCTCAAAATGAAGTTCGTTAGAGTTTCGTTGTTTATTTTACGGATGAGTGATGAATAGATGAAGATGAATCTTTCACCTGGATCACTTTAGGGAGTTGTGAAGCATCTTCATCTGCTGCCTCATGAGTTGGAAGATTATGAAGAGCAAGTGGAAAAAGTGTTACGAAGATACGTTAAGCGATTGCAGTGGCTCCTTAGTGGTAGTAGACGGATTTTTGGAACGGTAGTCGAGAAAAAAGTACGTATACATGGGCAATCTTTAAATTGGGAAAAACGCATATAGCATTGAGCTAAAACGAATGCTCTTACCAAAGGCTGGACCCATCAACTGCAAATCCTCTGCATTGACCATCTTTACTTGAAGGCAAATTTTACACAGTCTTTTACCTCATTATCATGGAATACATATAAAATACGGTGTTTTTTGGGGGGGGGGGGGGGGGGTTGTTGGGGCGAAAAGCAAGTAAAACAACTCGATTTAGTTAATACAGGGAAATGAGGGTAAAGCTGCACCGTCGTTTTGAGTCCAGCAACGATTTCTTCTTTTAACCGTACTAAGCAGTTGAGATTTTTCCTCAGAACCTTTTTTTTAGAATCACGCCGAGCAAACTCAGGATCTTTAACTAATCTCGCAGTACACTGGTTTTTCAGGTAGCGATATTAATAGACACGTCAGGCTCAATGGTCAGCAGTATGGATGAACTAAAACGGGAACTGGCCGCGTTAGTCTGGGATCAAATCAGGCACCATGCTACAAAGTGAGCACACTGCATTTACTGCAAAGGTTATTTGAGTAATAAATAGCTATAAGACTGACTCCTCCTGGAAACATTATTTAACAAAATTGTTTTAACCATCTTTAGGTTCAATCTTATCCGGTTTTCGTCTGAAGTGGTGCCATGGAAACCAAATATGACCTTGGCGTCAGATGACAGCTGTCAAGATTCAGTTGAATGGGTTTCTGATTTTGATGCCAACGGAAGCACGTGCACATTAAATGCTCTTCAGGTATATCATTATTCATTTTAGGAATCCCCTTCAACACCTGTAACCACAGATTACTTCAGGATCTTGCTCATAACTATTGATGCATTCCTCTCGTGAATTTTGTAGGCACGTATACTTTTTCTTGGTGATCCTTACTGCCAACTGTCTAAGGCTCGCTTTTTTCTTGAATTGTAAAGAGTTGTACAGATATTACAAGGGCGCTGACATTTATCTGGTGGTTGCTAGTGTAAGCCATATGCTGACTTTAAGATCGGGTGTGATGCTTTCTGAAAAAGTGTCATTCCTGTCTGTTCTTTCGCAAGTGATAGTAAATTTAAAGAGCCTGAATTCAGGTTTCCTTTTCTACTGCAAGGATGACTCATTTTTTGTGTTTGTTTTGTCTCTTTTTCAGGTGGCATTTGAAGATCCAGAGGTACAAGGGATATATCTCCTCACTGACGGCAAACCGGTTAGTTTGCATTTTATGCCCTGTCCTCAGCTAAAATGTTTCGCTGAGAAAAGTAACTGGGAAATTAACTGTTGATTGTTTATGTAGCTGTGTAGTTGTCAATGTCTGTTAAGCTACAGTAAAACGGTCAACAAAAAAAGTGCAACTTGTTTTGCAACATTGTTGCAAAACCAGTTGAATAGCGATGTGGCGCGTTTTACCACCGACGCTCGAACCAGTCATAAGGTTGCAAGGTGGTGAAACGTGCAACATCACTATTCAACTCGTTTTGCTTCAATGTTGCAAAACCAGTTGCACGTTTTTTGTTGCCCGTTTACTGTAACTTAATCCTCCTCTGCAACCTTTCTATACTGGCATTTGGCATTTCTGAGCAACGTCCGTAAATTTTTCACTTGTTAGCTTGTAGGTTTTGTTTTCCCATTGCAGACCATGTGATTTTTGTGTGGGGAATTGTCCCCTATGCAAGTGCATTCACTTGCGTATGCGTGCATAGTTAATGAAGAGACAAAAGACAAATTCCCTTGAGAGCAAGGTCTTTTTGACATTTTGTTATTCGTACGATAAAGCGCCTAATTTATACCGAATTGCAACACTTATTGATCATTGTTATTTTTTCTGGTAAAGGATAACAGTACAACGATGGTGTTACGAGAGGTGGCCAAGTTAAACTCGGGAAGAAATGTTCGTGTACACTGTATTTCCTTCAACTGCGATGACAGGTAGGAGCTCATTTATGAGACACAGTAAAAACCCACCCTACCCCTCTTAAGTTAGCCTAAACAGGTTCTTACATAATTAGTGTTTAGCACAAATGTAGGCTATTTAGGTTCTTAAATAGGTTCTTATTTTCTGTAGAAAAAGTACATTGTAGCTAAGAGTATTTAGTGGTATTCAGCTCATTCCCTAGGTAAAACCTGTACACCATTACAAGACTTTACAAGTGCAGTTGAAGTAATAAGGATCTTTGAATGTTGACTGACCTTATTTGGCCAAGTGTACGGTAGATTTTAGAAAATAGTAAATTTTAACCTAGGTGAATACGTGAGAAAGATGTTTTAGTTCAGTGCCTTTTTACTGTTTCGTAAAATCTGTCGTTTGGTTGTTGCAGCATTAGACATCGACCACGCCGTTTCTCATTGTCTTGTCCTTCTTTTTTACTCTTAGTGTAGCAAACAAGTTTCTTCAACTTCTGGCTTCTCAGACTGGCGGGAGGTAGGATTCGGTTATTCTTTTCTCTTTCTGTCTCCATGTTCAAAAGAGAAACCCCGGTTCTTCTATGTGATCGTGGGCGCGATCCTTTCAACCAAAATTTCCGGAAATTTCGGTCCAAACCTCAATGGATCGGTTCGGTCCAACCGGAAAAGTTTCGAAAAACGGGTCCACCTTTTGAGGTGGACCACTTTTCCCGGTCGGACCGGTTGGAATTTTGGTTGAATGGATCGCGCCCCGTGTTCTCTAGGAGAGAGCCAGTCTGACAAGTTTTTTTCTGTTTCACAGGTATCATCGTTGCCAAGGCGATCCGGATGGCCACATGTTTACTCACAGACTTCTTACGGAAGGCTTCCGTGAAGACGAAGTAAGCCCAGAAGAAACATAAATATACCAAAAAAAGCATTAAGTAACACCAGGAAAGGACACTATCTTCTACCCGTTAATACGAAAACAAAAATGGTATCCTGCCAATAGCCCATACTTAATTTATTAAATTTTTCACTCGATTGTTAAAGGATGCGTTCGTTTTTTTATTATTTTTTTAGCCGCTTAGTATGCCCGTATTCGAGGGAGATGACCTGCGTAGATTAGCCAGTGAAATTGCCTTGTGCAGGAAGTTCCTTCTTCAGTCGAGATCCTACAGGTAATCATCGCCTTTCTTCATTGATGTGTGAAGTTAATGTACTGATTAATACAAGTTATAAAACACGAGACTAAGTCTTTCAAACAAGTTAAAACACTGGTAAAAAAGTTGAAAATATCACGTGCCGCGGAATATTGTAGGAACTTCAAGGTTATGTTGATATCGTGACTGAATGCTATGTCGAATGTTTCTATATTAGCTCTTAAACAAGACAATGGTAGAACGAGAGATAAAGGATGCAAAATGAGGAGTTCTTCATCTGTTTTCTCAACACCAATTAAAGATCAATTTCCTTTGTATTTTCTTTATGAATTATTGAGAATTTCGTTTTTGTTCAGTCAGAAAGTATACAGTCAACTCTTTCTAAGACGGAAACCATTATGTTCGTCTTTAAGATGTTTCTGCCTTAAATACAGTCCATGAAAAGGCTGAAGAGCGGTAGAAAACAGCTCTAGGCGCAGAGAGTTGACTAGATTTTAAATTCCAGGAAAATGCTAATTTAGTACCGAAAGCTAGTCCGTAAATTACATTTAACCAAAAGAGGGCCTCTTCTTCAGGGAAACTAGTGGTGCTTCGTCGATGGTGGAGGGAGACTCGAAATTTGCTTTCTAATTACAACCACTAAATTTTGAACCAAAAAGTTGCGTGATGCATAATTTCTTGATTCGTTGTGACTTACCGTACCCAGTTAAGACATAAGTAGTATAGAGGGTGTGTTTTCCATAGCATGAGATAACCGCCTACATTTCGCGAAGCAACCACTGGTCTCCACTTGGAAACAACGTCTACCCAGATCTGGGTAGTGCTTCTGATTGGTTGAACCAAATTTTCCTCGCGGCAGGACCAATCAGAAGCCTATCCGGATCTGGGTAGTGACGTGTCATCAGTATGGAATTCCTGCAGTCGTTCCGCTGACGCCATTTCACGGAGAAGCCAGTGGTGGCGTCGCAAAATGTGGGCTATTTTTTCAGGCTATGTTCTCCACTCCCTTTTTGAAAAGAACTCTCATTAACAGTTTGGCACTGCGCGATGTTGTCGTGTTCCATTTTTAAGAAACGAGATCTGAAAGATACGCCCTATACCACTACCGCCAGATTCAAAACTTTTAAAGGACCAATTTTAAAATACTGTTGTCGGAAAACAGCGGATTTCAAACTTATTTATCAGTTCCCATTTTAGTTAATACCTTTGTTGTTGAAACGCAATAGAACATTCTTGAGTTCGATTCTTCTTGTGTAGATATGAATGTTTTTCATACTTCTTCCTTTTAATCGCCTTGAGTTACCGTAATAATTGTGTGACAATTTGTCAGACTGCAATTGAGTTTTCTTATCTTATTGTGTCTTTCTCACAGGGCGTTGTTTCCTGATAACACTAAGAAAGAAAAAGCTGCAAAGTTAAATGGTCAGTAAAAATTGCTCCAGCAATGCTCAGTTTTAAGTACGTTCTCGCTTGGGTGTAGTTCAGGTTCTTGGTAGTATTCTATTTTGATTCCTTGTTATCTTTGCAGGTCTTACCCCACCTCAAGCAAAGCATTCCCGATCACCAGTAGAAGTCGTCGCAAGATAGTCGCACTGTTTTGTTTATAGTGAAATATGTAATTATTATAGGTAGAAAAATTATTTAAAAATACATGGCGAAACAAAAGACCCTTTCTTTGGGCGATATTTGTGAAAGATACATAGTAGAAAAGCGGCGTTTTCTCCCCGTCACAGTAACCCCTTCGCCTTCCCTACCCGTTATATCCTGTACCTCTTAACAGTCAGGTGAAGACTTCAAGTCTTGCTTTTAAGAGTTACAGGGTGTAGTCGTTTTCATAGTCGCCTACAGTAAAATGCAGGAAACGTTTTTTAGCGGAAGTTCTTTCGATGAATAGTGTATTAGCAAATTGCTTTAAATTGTGATTGTACATAAACGCAGCCATTCCATCTTAACTTGCAACGCTATAAATAATGCCTTCAATAAGCAGCCATAATTACGAACACGACAGCTTAGGAACGCTACGAAAGAATGGCCTGTACGTGTAACCTGGTTTAGTCGCTTCGAGCGCAAAAGAGGCGTCTATGTAACCAACTATTTATGTACATTTTGTGAAAAGTGTTAAAATTACGGTATTTTTTTTCATTTTTTGAGAGTTCAACGTGGACAGCGGGTATTCTTTTTTACCTGTAAACGACCTTTTAGATGCTATTCGAACGAGAGTCACTATTTTTAGCAGAATTTCTGTGATAGGCTTCACTCAGTGTCCACGAACGGTGCCCCAGTACGAAACTTGCTGGGCCGCGCGCACAAATGTGAGCACACCCGTTTTCAAGCGTTCTGGCGTGGTGACCGTGTAAAAGTACAATGTCGGACGTGTCGCGACATTCTGGGCGATGGTCTGGGCTTTGTACTCAGGCGTTGAAGTAAGCGTCATTTTCCTATCTGCATTCTTTTCCCATTTGTTACGACGTCCTTTGAGAGAATTCCACTGCTTTGCATACCCATAACCCACTGCTGCACTTACGTTTCAAAGTGAGTGAATTGGAGCAAATGTGTACACAGCGACATATGAAGACCCATTTGCAGGGATCCCCTAACAGCGGACAACTGTGAGCACGAGAAAATCCTTGGAAACACAAGGAACGGTTGCAGAAAACTTTTGATTAATCTTGGTCGCATTTCGCAACCGGACCAAAGTACCCAAGGGCTGACATAGTTGTTTAGACGCTTTAGACAATGCTAGTGAGCCATGTTGATTTGATTCAGTGTAATTTACATATACTGTGCGTACAATCTAGACTCAGTACGAGTAGCATCCACATGCGGGCATAATCTAATACCCACAGCAAATTATATGAACGGTAGTACGAGGAATAAAAATATAAAAGATGATGATATAGCTGGTCAAGAGTGATTTTTTAACCTGTACAATATTTTGTGGCATTTTTTGTGGGGCTGGTGTTTTGTTTAGCAATAACTACTTTTCGTTTCAAAAAAGAATACAAAATCTTGGGTTGTCTTTCATTTACCGGGAACTGAAATGTTTAGTAAACAACGAAGCATATGTATGACAAAGGATAAAGAAAGGAATATGAATAGAAATGCAAATAAAACCAATGGATCCCTGTATATGAAAGTCTACTCGGAGTCGTTCTTTTACAATTAGGATAGTTCAGACCTCTATGAGGGTCTTTCTAATTACCTCACCATCCTCCGGTAAGTTCAGGTGGGTCTGCTAAGTGGACGTTTGCGGAATACCCGCTGGAACACCAACTAGGATTTAAAAACGGCAATATCACGCTGCCTATGATCTAAGATCTTGCCTCATTTTAGATGATCGCGTTTGTCTCCTCCCCAGAGACTGCCACCTATTATTCCCAACACTTTTCGCCGTTCTTCAATAAGCTCAGTTGGGTCTGCTAAGAGGGAGTTTGCGTAATACCGGCTGGAAAACTAGCTAGGACTTTTTAAAAAAACGGTTATATAATTTATGCTGCCTATGATTTAAGATCGTGCCTCATTTTAGATGATCGCAGAGACTCCCACAGATTATTCCAAGCAGTTTTCACCGTTCTCCAGTAAGCTTAGTTTGGCCTACTAAGTAGGCGTTTGTGGAATACCCGCTGGAACACCAACTAGGATTTTAAAAAAGGTAATATCATGCTGCCTATGATTTAAGCTCTTGCCTTATTTTGGATGATCGCGTTTGTCTCCTCCCTAGAGACTCCATCGATTATTCCAAACAGTTTTTATTCTTGTCCTGTGAGCTTAGTTGGGTCTTCTAAGCGGGAGTTTGCGGAATACCGGCTGGAGGGGGAGGGGTACTTGGGTTAATTTTTGCTGGGTATGTGCCGCTGGCCTCTGAGAGCCCCTACCCCATTAAAGTCTATTCTGGGGCCACTTATGGACCCCATCTTAGTCACTTTTGGGCAAATATGCAATTTTCGCGAACCAACTTAGTCACTTTCTATTTTTATGAATTGACTCATTTTTTAGATTGAATGAAGAACACTTTACTTTTCATCTGCAGTACAAACATCCAGGTACGTTTGCTAACCGTAAATATGAAGAACTGTCTTACCCAAAAAATCCAAAAATGTGCGACCCCATTCTAGTAACTCTATTGAAAATGCGACCCCATTGTAGTCATTTCAATCGTGAAAATGCGACCCCATCAAGCGGCACATCCCCTTTAGCCTCTTATAAGGAAGTACCTCCCCAGGTTTAAAAAACAGTAATATCATGCTCCTCCGTAGAGACTCCCATCGAGTACTCCAAAAATAAAGCAGAAATGATTAGGTCCATGATATGGTCCACAGTAACTGTTGTGGTGTCCTCCCCATATCACAGTCAATCGATATGTATGTCATGACCTCTCAGTGTGAAACGAAAATAACATTTGCTCAGTATAATTGCAGAACCTTGACAAATTGGCCCTTTCCTTAGACAACCTCTCCTGCAACTGGTTTCAATAAGAACGAAGGGTAATTTCCTCGAACGTTCCGTAATGTTTGGAGAGAAATCCTTTCTCAAGGAGAAGGAACTTTATTATTTTTTTTCTAAAGAGGAGGATGCAAGCCAAATATACACACAAACCTACTGGTTACGCAATGTAACCAGTCAAGCAGTTATATATACGCAATGTCTACAATAAGGAGACTTTATAGAGAAAGTTTTCCCTTCAACTGAGAAGGGAAAAAATTTCCGCGTGTTGGTGAAATTAACATAAATCCCAACTTACAAAGCAACCTTGTCGCACGAGAAGTTTTATAAAAGTGTCATCCTTACTGGCTTCTGGCAAGTCCCAAGGAAAGGTTGTGTGACGGAAAAAAATTGGTGTTAATACCCAAGGGTTCTAAACTCGTCTAAACCGTTTACTAGTTCCGCGTTCGCTCGAATTCCCAGGTATGTGCCGTAGAACAGGGTATGGTTTTTCGGGTCCTGAGTGTTAAACAGGGTATACAATCTTACTATTTCGCGTCTTGAAAAGGATGTCTCTTTTGAAGGAAAGCCCTAAAAATGGTAAGAAAGTTGGCGCTGCGCGATTGACACATGAGTGGTACCGACAATGTTTTTTCAAAAACGACCAATTCCTTGATGTTAGTTTTGGACCGAAAAAAACCGAATCAGCGTCGTGAAAGTAGGCCTCTTGTCTTAAACAGGGTAGCGAAATGAACAATTTTTGTCTCAAACAGGGTGAAGGTTTGAAGGCCTCGGCGGCACACCTCTACCTAAACTTCCCTTCGAGTACTCTCCCGGGGGTCGAATTGCACTTTGAGATCGCTTATTGGGGACGCTATCGCTTCTTTTATTGGTTATTATTAGCTACCTTTAGCATCAGGTTTTTCATGGTTAACGAAGAACTTGAAGATGTTACTTGATCACTGTCCTGCGGTCGCCTTTGCAGTCTGCAGTTCACAAAACCGACCGGAAGGGCTTCCGGCGGTAAGTGACTTTACAGCAAGGTGTTTTGCCACAACAAAAATTGTACAGCCTCCAGAAATAGTTTTCTGTACCTGCCTTCGAATCAAAGAATTCGTTATGTTTATAAATAGCCAGTATAAGTGAAGCACATCGACTTGAGGAAAAACAACATGACAGCAAGAAACATTAAGACCGTCTCGCTTAAATCGAAACCTTAGCAACTTGAAACTGGAAACACCTAACTCCAAACAACAGTTTTCCATGAAAAAAAACTGGTGGTAAAGGTCTCCAAGTGACTATGGACACTCCTGTGGTTGACTAAGCTTTACTAATAACAAGAACTCAAGATAATCATAAATAAGCGGATTGAACAAATTTGTGGTTGTTTTGTACATAAATACAATAGTCGTAATGCATTACATACAGTGACGTATTAGACTAACTAATAACTTGTCAATATTGAACCCACTGCGTGGTAAAATTCTGTAGGCAAATGGAAATTATATTTATATAAATACTTCCCCAAAATATGAAATTCTTCTCCTGTTTCTTCTACTTTTGAAGATTTTCAGGATACTAATACTGTATAAAACCCAGATTTACATCTACCTAAAATAGACCACTCAATACGGCATTCGTTCTCTCAGCTACACTGGTCCAAAACTTTGGAATTCTTTATCTATTGATGTTAAGAAAATCAAGCCGTTTTCCAGTTTTCGTCAATATATTAAGAATTCTATGATTGATGGTTATAATACTATTATTGATTCCTAATGTTTTACGATTACATTACCTTCACTACTATTTAATTTATGAAGTAATACTTTTTATCTAAAACAACTATATTCCTTCTACTCATATTCTTGTTTGAGTCACCTAATCGGTTAGTTCCTGGAACTATTTAGGTGTCCCAAACTCTGCACAATGAGCCTACAATTGAAAATTTATTTTCCTTCATAATCTCTCGATTTTATCTTTTAAAGCACATATTTGTATTAATTACTATTCTGTGTGAGTTTAAATAAAAATGGACTTGACTTGACTTGTTATGACAAATGAACGTCTCCTTGCCATCAATGAATGCTTAAGTTCAATTCATTTTCCAAAAGAGGTGGAAAGGAAATGTAATTGTATTAAATTCGGCCATTTTTGCTATAAATTTTATTGAAAAAAAAAAAAGAATTTGGACTTTATTTTGAATAATTTAGGTGAAGTCGATAAAGTAGTGCAATTGCAACTTCAAAATGGGGAGGAACCTTCAAATTCATACTATCCTTTGGTACCTAAAAGAAATTTACAAAAAAACTCCAAATTGATAATCTTGGTTTCATTATTCTGTAGCCTGCCTGACAGGCACTAAAAGAAGAAGAGAAGCACGTATTAAGTCTCTCTTAACCGGCATCTCCCTCAAACGGACTCGTACGGTACGTTTCGTAGCCTGCGTGGAAGACGTCATCTAACCCCCAGCTAGTAACGTCTGTGAAGCAGCACCAAGATCCTCAGTTGTTCTGACCCCCAACGGACTCAACGAGTGCGTTTCGAACTTTCCTTCACCCACATTGGCCAATCGAAGAATGGCATTTTTAAAACGCCACCCATGGCACAAACTCAAATCCTGGTGTACAGGTGGGGATTTCGGTGTTGCTTCACAGACCGACTTAACCCTAGGTTTTTCGTCTGTGGCGCAGACTATAGGTCTCGTTGTTCATTCATTTTCTTTGACTCTCTATAAGTCCACAAGTAATAAAATGCCGGAACACGTTACACATCAAAATAGGGATAAGGCTGGTTTTTACTAACGACGGAGTCGGACTCGTAAGCGGAATCGTGAGAGCACTTATGACCAAGAGAAAATCAAAAATCTGATTTGTATGAGAACCATCGCCTTAAGTAAAATTAATTTCTTCAAAAATTGCTGATCATTTTAAGAAAACTATATTTTTACGTCTGCGTGTTTGAAACCTAGGTGAGACATTTCTTCTCGTGCTTGGCACATTAGATTGGTAATCTATGAGATTATTAACACCTCTCTAGTATTCAGGTGTTGCTATACACATTAACTTTGCAAGAGATCTATGTATTTGGCCTTGAATTGGAACATAATCTATTCTTTCGCCATCAACAGCTATAATTCCTGACTGACTCGTGTCTGGCTCTAAGCGGAAAGCCAAAGCCTTCGCGTACTCCACATGACGGCTTAAGACATGTGACCCATCCTTCATTTTACCAAACAGATCCATTAGAGTCATTCTTCCCACACCTGATTTCACATAAAACATCCCCATAACTCCATCTCCAAACTTTCCATCAGGGTTTGCCATGATATCAGTTCCAAGGTGGCTCAAAAACATGGGACCACCTAGAATAAACTCTCCATCCTCCACCACCCAGTTACATGGCACTTGCGATCCCAGTGGAGGAAGAAGATTATCTCGGGGACCTACGTTATGGCTTGGCGAGGCTGTGATACCGTCGCTGTAGATTCCATCTAACTCTTCACTGCGAAAATTGTGCTGAGAAGATACCGAGCGAGTCACATGATTCTCTGTGAGAGTGATTTGGCGAACTTCCGCCGGGCTAGAGTCGTAGGCCAAATTTTTCTCTCCTTCACCTGTGTGATTGGCAGGTAGATACGACAGTCGCCCTCGATAGGTACGCAGTCCCAAAATTTTGATAATTGCACCTACAAGAAATCTTGTCTCCCCCAGATACCTGTATTTTTCTGACTCAATGTCAACATCCGACACCATACCCCAGGTAACTGACAGGAAAGAAAACAGTTTTTCTGTTGGTGTTACTACAGAGCAGATGTCCAAATCAAGAAGATTTCCACGTATAACACCTAGAATTGCACTGATTAAATCAAATGGCTCACTGTGGAATAAAAAAACGGATGGTAAATCTACAGTACTAATTTGGCAATGAGAGTTTTAAGACTTCTTATTGTTACAGCTATTTTGAGAAAGGTGGTCAGAGAAAATGTGCAGGCGACAATCCCACAAACACACTGTTCCTGACACTGTAGCTGTGAAACCTACTTTGGTTGTTTTCCTTCAGCACTCGCAAACATATCACGTTCCTTGGCCTTTTGTGCCATTCTTTTAAATTTCTTTGAAGAACAGTGAACTGAAAACCACCCACAACACCTTTCGGAATTGTCGCATGCACTTTTTCCGACAACTGTTCTCCAAATAGCTGTATGCTGTGGTTCAATTTTGCTCTCGGTTCCAAACTCTCATCAGGGTCTTGATTTCCCCTTTCTTCTCTTCATGAATTATTAATGACTATAAGAAGTGTTATATGACAACTACTTGCATTACCGTCGGTTGCATCTAAGCGTGGACACGAGACAAAAAAAACATGTTCTAAAACATGTAGGGTGCTAGACATGACGTGTTTTGCCGCCAAACATTTGAAGTTTGACAGCCATTAAAGCAAACTGTCTTGCCAAAGGTGAATTGTTTATTTGTTTTTGATTAGCGAGTTCCGCTCATATACCTGCCAACTCTCACGCCTGCGGGTTGAAAACTTCGATCTCACGCCCGCTCACGCCTGCGGACCAATTTCTCACGCCTGCTTGAAAAATGTGAGTTGTTGCCGTCTTGCTGGACACAATTTCCAAAAATATGTTAACTCAGACACATGTAAGGAACGAAAACCATGTGTAAAATGAATAAATGACAATACCTTCCTCGCGATCTCTGATTTTGTGGATAAGCGTCTTCTCGATAACTTCGCCTTCGGCAGACTTCGGACGTCTTCGGAAGACTTCGGACTTCTTCGGGAATCTTCGGAAATGATAGTGTCGTTTTCAAAAATCCCAGCACTCCCAGGATAAAAATCTCACGCCTACATCTCAGAAAAAGTTGGCAGGTATACGCTCATATTTCATTTTTCTCAACTTTCAGGCATATCTCTCTCAGAAACAGCACTTGCCTCCATAAATTATTCTTAACATCTAAAAATTCTTGCAAGGAATATTTTGTTGAGCGAAAACAAATCAAGTCGACAACAGCCGCCTACTCCAAACTTCACATGTTTGGCGGCAAAACATATCCTGTTTGCACCCAATTAGAACATGTTTTTTCTTCACGTGTACATGCTTAGATGCACCCGATGGTATTGCAGAATGAGGCTGAGAAGAATTAGGCAGATTGAAGAGGATGTTATTCATCGATAACAGCCTCAGAGATCTGCATTATCATTCACATACGGAATGAAATTCAAAAATTGTTTTATTATTACTTCAGAATACATCAGGCAATCTGTTCTTAGCAACCTAACACCTCCTCGTTACCTTTCCTTTCTGGGCATAGTTTAAGGATATAAACTGAGATGCTCAGTTTTCTTGCAGATACTTTTTAAAAAGTAGATGTCATCCATCAAGCAATATTTTTTGGTGTATTATTGCATTCCTTCCATTCAGTTTCAGTCATAAATTCTGCCATTTCATCTTCAGATAGCCATGAACACCATATTGTTTAGTTCACTCAGGCATAAACAGCTAGGCTGCCTGGAAATGAGGCAGCTGCAACAACATATGATCTAATTGATTGTATACTTGCTCGTGTCTTTCAAATTTGTTTGAGCTGGGGGACTGGAGTAGATCAGAAAAGGTGAAATATTTGAATGAATAATAATAAAAAATAATATCTTACCCAATGGCGTGAAGAGCTGACAAGCAGAGTGCATTACCAGAACCTGTTGGAATAACACCTAAGGGGATTTTGATGGCAACTTCCCAATCAGATCGCTTCATCAGCCCATTTATAACCTGTCCACAAAAGAATAAATGAAAACAAAAAAGAATTACACTGCAATTTAAGTATCCACATGGGTTTGCTGCCACTGTTATGGCATTTACATCTAGCAACCCTCGAAAATCATCAGGAATCTTCAGAAGTCATTGGGACGTCTTTGGCACGCACAGTTTGGATGTTGTCGGATTTTAATTGGAAAGTAGGACAATATGGATAAAAAACACATGCATGTAAAAAAGATGGGAAATAATATCAATGCTGACCTAGCCTGCGTAGCATGGCGGTTTTGGTCGGGCATGCAAAGTAATAAAGGCGGGCTAGGGCTGTAGTGCTCCTGACAAAACTACCATGCTATGCAAGCTAATGCTACCCCTGAAGGGTAACTTCACTAGCCCCAGGCAATCGCATACCACTTATCTCAGGTCCTGCAGAATATCCATGCCACCCAGACTGTACGCCACCCAAAAGTGCATTTTAATGCATTTCAGCCTTACAGTCACTTTAATATTTATCGCATGGATACAATGTATTTGACATGACGCGTACTCCGACATACCAGGGACTATATGGATAGCGTATACAGGCTCCGAAATTGCGCCTTCCTGGGCGCCAATGCGACTAAAAATTTAGTCCTGGCGACCAGAATTTCATAGCTGGTCGCCAGTTAGCGACTTGTAAAGCAGGTTGTTACTGTGGACTCTAACGTTCGGAGAAACTGATTAAGAATTGAAACCTCGAAGCTATTTGCCAACAGGAGTCTTACTTTTTGTCCTGCTGATATCTTTTAATTAAAAATAAAACGAATCTTCCTGTAATAATACCTCCACAACACTGCTACCATCAATACGAGTTGTACGTTTCCAAGCCGTCATGTTTTCAGCTGAAATACGGTAAGTACGTTATGTACTTTGCGGACTGGTACGAGTGATGTGGCACAGTTGTAGCCTGGTATGAGCAACATGGCGGCTTGACTCGTGTTTACGTTTCGTGGTAGATATCGGAAAAAAATAGAGTTTTGATATGATCATTGCAGTCATGGGCAGACAGCTTTCTGTTCCTACTTTCTAAGTCAGACAGCTTTATATCTCCAAAAAGTAATTTGTGGAAAAAAAAGACTTCACTCGTACACGTACGGTTGTTTTCTGGTATCGGAAGTAGTGCAATTTTCGAGCATAAAAACGTCCATACCATGCATTTTTTATTCGTGTTTAAACTATTATTGAAAAAAAAGGGAAGGAGAATTTTTGGCGACCACAATTTGCCCTCTGGCGACCAAAAATTTATAATTTGATCGCCAGTTGGCGCCCGTATTAAAAAAGTTAATTTCGGACCCTGGTATAGCTACCTGTAATGGCTTTTTTGTCTTTCAGACATTTTAGCGAGTGACCAATGGTAATTGTTAATGCAACAGTCAGTGTTAATCCTGCCCCTAACCTCCGCAATACAAGGACTTTGCCAGGGACAAAGCCAATGTTTGATGATCAATAATAAAGCCCTGGTACATGGGGTGAGGCGGTGAGGGGGTTGGAGTCTCTTATAAAGGTTTTATGCTAGAGAGGTGGTGTGATTGACCTGTCACCCCTTGCAGTTCTCTATTTCCCTAGTAGGCGGGGACAAGTGAGGACAAATTATTGCCCCGGGGGCAGAACATTTTCTTAGTTTCTCTAGCCCATTCAATGCTCAAGTCTTCAACTTTGCTTGGGTTTGGGAGGGGGGATTTGAATTAATGGGTGCATAAATACATGTTCATTAGATACTCACTCTACTCACAGTAATAACACAGTTGTAAACTGACTGTAACAAGGTAACCCAGACTTTGAAAGCTAGTGGATACACCCTTCATGACCCTCTTCCCAGTTATTTCTTTTTATAAATACCTAATTCTTATTAACAACTCAAAAAATGGGACAAAAGCCATGTCTATTTAACAGAACTCATGGTACTTTAATCAGGCCTAATAATGCTCCTCAGCTCATTGCTTTATGAAAAAAAAAAATTGGAGGCATGAGAAATTTTATTTTAAAGGAGCTGTGTCATGAAATTCAGGCAAATTAGGTAATTATACAAAATGCCTGTTAGATTAAGGGAAACATAAAAATAACCACCTCAGACATTAAAGGAAGGTTAAAATAACACAAGAGATACAACAGATTTCACGGATTGGCAAAACTGAAGAAGATTGAAACGAATTGAAATTAGGGTTTTTGAAAACTGTTCAGCCTAACAGTTTTTCAAAGTTGATCTCTGCTGCTTGCAACTTCAAAAATAATGATCAAGAGACATATTTATTTGTCTCGAGCGAATCTCTGATTTTGTCATTCACATGTAATTTCTTTGCTTACATTAAGTTCCACAGCGATTGCGGGCAAGCAATTGGCAAAATTAAACAAAATGAACTGGAATTCTGTGACACAGCCCCTTTAATCAACCATCCATTCAATCTGAACATGTAGGGTAACACACTTGGTATAACTGTGAACAAAAATTTACGAGGTACCTCATAAACGAGCCCATCTCCTGAGCAAATGACAATCCCATCAACATGAAGTAAGTTAATTGACATCATAATCTCCATAGCATGCCCAGCATACTCTGTGGAGGAGAATAATCTTCATTACAGTCAAACCCAGTTAATACGGACACTGAAGGGACCGTAGAAAGTGTAAGTATTAACAGGGTGTCTGTATTAAACGGGTCATTTATAAAAGTAAAAAAAATCTCCTTTTATGAGAACAAAATACCACAGAAATAAACCATAAGCATAGTCAAATTAAACATCTCTAACCTTTACAAAGCCATCATTATGAGGCTTAAGTCCACAGAAACACTTAAAAATGGCTCATTTGAGGAACTTAGCTCCTACTTATTTATATTTTACTTAATCAAAACCCTTCTTTGCATAACTCATTGATGCCAAAAATTGAGGTCTACAGATCATCTTATCTGGTGTACTGTAGCGCTGGGAACATCAACAAGCTTTCAACCTGACTGAAGGTTACTTTTACCTTCAAACTGGCCAGAAAGGTCTATTACTAACAGCACAAGTTTGTTAATGAAGTGTCCGCATTAGCAAGGTTGGCTTTCTATGAGAATTTGTTGATTGGGCTAGAAATAAGTGTCTGTTGTCTGCAGGTCATTACAGGCTGCTAGTTAACAAGAAAGTTTATTAATTTACCTTTTTCAAAAGAAATAAGAGATATCAAAATATTAAATTTGGGAATTAAACTCCTCAGAACTTTGGGCTGGTCAGATTCTTTGACCAACTGGAGTTTTTTATCTTTGTCCCACCTTGAGGACATCAATATTCAAAACAACTTCCTTTGGGGAGCAAAAAATACAACTTCTGCATTGATAAGAGCACTTCCTCTCCACCAAAAAGACTCAATATTTACTGTTCATGAGTTCTGAAGGCATTACACCATACGTCAGCCAGTTCAGTTGCTGTGCAGGTTCTTAAGTCTTTAATTGCTCCAAGAGGTTACTTTCTTATGGTGCAGAATTATTCTAGTTTTCCCCTCTTCTAAAACTCAAGGGACTTCAAGTAACAAAATCAGTGAAAATTTTACCTACCTGTAGTTCGTTGATTAAATTCAATGTTAGCTTCATTTAACATTGACTCCACTTGCTCATGAAAGATTTTTAAACTTTTCCCAGATCCACTAAATGGATTTATAAGTATTAGTAGCTTACGGCCAGGTGGTAAAGTTCTCTCTTCTGCAAAAATATGGAGTAAACAGGTAACAAGTATACATTTGAACAAATAAAAAACCTAAACAACACTATAACTTCCAAGTACTTAATATTAACTATCTATTTTAAAAGGTTGCCTTGTTACTGCATCAAGAAGCATTGATACTCAGGTGTTTACATTTACTCTCTCTGCCCCTCAGAATTATTTTTAAAATATTGCTATTGACTTATAAGGCTCAAAATGGTTAGGCACCTAGATACATCAGAGACTTCCTGAGATACAAGAACCTGGGCCATGTCTACAGGCGGATTTAATGGCTGTGAAAAAGACCAGAAAACCTTCTGGTTTAGTGATTTTCTCATACTTAAAAGACATGGTCCTTTTACAGCAGTTAAAACGGATGCAGCGTTTTAAACTGGTACATGAAAGGGGTAAATAAAAGGTAAAAGAGAGGCATACTTTTTCTCTCAAAAATGGTATATAAAAGGATAAGGGGCTGTAACTGTGGACGGAGCCTCCCTGTAATAAAATTTGGTTGAGTACCCCCCAACCCTCCCACCCTTAGGGGCATACTCAGTAGCAGGACTGAAACAATGGAACAAATTTCCAGTGGAAATTAGGCAACTTTTATCAGTTCTCCGTTTTTAAAACTAAGCTCAAAGACTTATCTTTTTTAGGACACCTTTGACTTTTAATTTTCAATTTTTATCATAAGTGTGAACAGTATTGAGGGGGGCGTAAGGGGGGTACGAATACCGCAATACCGCACATGGTAGCGCGAGAATACCGCAATAGCGCATCAAAATTTAGCCAAATACCGAAACCGCAGTTACAACTGGGAAAAGGTTGACGTTGTCAATACTAAAAATCCTCCTTTCAAATAGAATTAATGCTTTTATGTCAGTCTTTCCAAATTAAGGTGCGTCGATGTCAAGCGTACGATAAACATAAGATCATCGCACTCGTTTAACTTTGTTCATTACATGTATACGTTTACATAAATGATACAACAGGAGTTTTCTAGTATTATTTTATATATTACTGACCTAGATCATAAACGGACGGTAAACAGTTGACTCTTATGAGGTTGTTTCAGATTCACAATAGTTAACTCGTTTCTTTGTTGAGCATTTCAAAACGTCGACCCGGGCTGCCTTTGGGATTCGAAGTGCACACAGCACACACTAGCCTGCGTAGCATGGCGGTTTTGGTTGGGCGCGCTATAAAAGGCGGGCGCGGGCGAGGAGATTGGGGCGCGAGCTGCTTCGCCGCTCAAAGTCGTGCTGCCGCCAAAACTCTGTAAAACTGCCATGCCCTGAGGAGTACTTGGGTTAATTTTTGCTTGGAATGTGCCGCTGGCCTCTCAGAGCCCCTACCCCATTATAGTCTATTCAGTGGCCAATTATAGACCCCATCTTGGTCACTTTTGGACAAATATTTACAGTCAAACCAGGTCAAGCGTTCCCGTCGCTAACAAACTAATGAATTCATTAATGGTAAAACGATTTCGTTTGTTGATTCTATAATCCATTCATAAAATGAATAATCCAACAGTCAAATCGTACCTCGATTCAATAATCAAATGTTGATATGGTTTATGAACAAAATCTACCTGTTCTTTATTCTTGTCTGTTGTGTTCAATCGTATTTTCCCTTTTCCTGCCGCTTTTACGATTGCGTTTTTCATTGCCTTTAATCAAAATAACAGCTAGAATCTCTGAGCTAGAATAGACACACCGCAAACGCAAAGAAACTGACAAAGGCCGAGGATCGAAATCCACCAATCACCGCACATACACTGACCTCAGTTTGACTGTCGTGTTTTTTCTAAGAGGTCAGACCTAGGTCTGTTGCACTGATTACTGGCAGAAAACTGGCGTACATGTAACAGTTTGTTTGGGTTTGAACTTCAGAACTTCGCCCTTTTCGACTCTCAGAAAAAAAAAAGAGGAAAAAACAAAATTCTGAAGTCAACTTGTGGAAAGTGTAGTTTTTCAAAAAACAGTAATCGAATCAACGTTCGATTATGGAATCGAGGCTAAATTTGAATATTGGATCGTTCATTTTATAAATGGATTATTGAATCAACAAAAGAAATCATTTTTCCGTGAATGAATTCATTAGTTCGTTAGCGACGGGAACGCTTGACCTGGTTTGACTGTAATTTTCGCGATCCCAACTTAGTCACTTTCTATTTTAATGAATTGACCATTTTTTAGATTGAATGAAGAACACTTTACTTTTCATCTACAATGCAAACATTCTGGTACGTTTGCTAACCGTAAATATGAAGAACCGTCTTACCCCAAAAGAGCAGAAAATGTGCGACCCCATTATAGTCAATCCAGTCGTGAAAATGCGACCCCATCCAGCGGCACATCCCCATTAGCCTCTTACAAGGAAGTGCCCCTGCCCCCCGGGCGCCCATGCTACGTAGGCTAAGCGCACACGAATACTAGTACATTCTATATTCCTGCATGCACAACGAGAAGGACGAGTAATATTTTTTAGACCACACCATCTTCATAGATTATCTTTCGACACCACACAATTTATAACGACCTCACTGACCTCACTATTTGCTGGAATATCTGACTGATAACTTAGTTGACCCTGTGGATCGCTCGCCATTGTTTTACGACCAGCACGAAAATGGCGGTAAGATTGGTAAGGAGGTTAACCAAGCTGACTATTCCCACAAGGTCCATGAGGTTATAAATAATGCGATATGTTTACTTATCATTGGATAAAAAAGTTAATGTCGTTAATCATATCAAGTATTAAATGAAATTACAAACCATACGATTTGTCGGCACTGTTTGCGCAATATACGATCCCCGACTGTGCAACTATAGGAAGACACGCAGGTCACGCAGGCTAGCTAGGGAGAACTGTCAGAATTTGTATCCTCTTGTCATGAAAAAGAAGCAGATCACCGCGACACAACGATTTTTTCACCGCCTACCGCGACATAAAATTTAAACTTACCGCACACCGCTTGGACTCTGAAAACCGCAATACCGTGCTTTGAAACAAAAATTACCGCAACACCGCAGTAAAAACAATCCAATACCGCAATACCGCAAACCCTTACGCCCCCCTCAGTATTGGTAAATGATGATAAACTTATAGTTTTTTAACCTTGGGAGGTAAATTGCAATGAATTATGACACGATAAAGAACATCAGTCACATGATCAGTGCATGTTTAAAAAACAGCTGTAGCAGTCTGACCCAAATTAACAACTAATTTGTACATGCTCATGTGAGTGTCTCGAGCTGTGACGTCACTTATTGATACGACTAATGTAGCACGATCGATATAATAAATTACGTCGATCGTACTGCATCATAAGTTTCACCCCTCCGAAATATATCAATGATTTTAGAAACTTTACCGATCACAAACATTAACAAAGTGTGATGTCTCGCAGGTTACGTATGAAAAAGACAAATTTTACCTTCAATGTTTTCTAAAGTCTTCCCCGGTTCCTTGACCAACCATAGAATGGTCCGAACCCATTTTTCAGCCAAAGCGGCATTCGATTCCTTGCTGTCAAACGATGCGACTTTAAAGCAAGTTTTACGTCTGACTCTTTTCTTTTCAAACAAAGGACAAGAATATACTTGAAAATAGCCGGCTATATCTCCATCAGGACCCCTGTAGGCTCGCGCTCCGTATACATCCACCAATTTCATTGTTACGGAGATCGCCGAGCGATTTCTTCCAACACAGGGACACGATCCAGCGGCACCTTTGCTGTAAGTCAACGATTTTCTTGTTAGAGTTACGAGGAATGACTTCTTTGTCGGCAGAATTTCAAACTGTCCACTAAGGACCCCTGATTCTGTATCCATGATTCCCAGAAGAGGAGCAATGTCGTGACCTGTGTCTGCGAGCCTGATATTTCAATGGCAAGGTCAGCGGTAAAGTAATTCAATCAGACAGTACGTTGTATACAGCGCAGCTATTTTGAGAGAAAGGTTGTCGGAAAATAAGTTCGCGCGACAATCCCGAAAGATAATATCCCGGGGCGGGGGGGCACTCCCATACATCACCTATACGGGTATGTGCCGCCCAACGGGGTCGTGATTTTGAAGCTCCTGATTCAGAACGGGGTATCCATTTCAGAGGCGTTTTCTAGAAAGGGGTATAAAAATTGTGGATCACGGGGGGGGGGGGATGGTAACAGGTCAAATTGGACCATGCATTATATATCCTGTTATTGGTGTTGTTACTACATGTCAATCACTTTTTTTCTCGTGATTCTGAGTTTTCCATTTGGATTAAATGTCGATTTTTATTCGCAGGTCTTTGATTTCTCGATTTCTCATGGATGCAGCGACTTCAGGGCTACACTCAAAAATTACTGAGGGGTAGAAATCAAATGGCGAAGTTCTGTAGGTTAAATAAGGAAAGAACCATAGGGTCTAAGGGATCGCACCGCAACTTTTTGGGTGGCAAAGAAACACTGAAGTCCTATAAGGGTATCCCGTCACTTCGTTCCATGGTCAGATCGTTCCAGAAGTTAGTCAGAACTTTTCACGAGTCTTTAAGCCACGAGCAGAAACAATGGCGTTACTCGTGTGTGTACCAAGATGCCCAAAAAGGGTGCTTCACATCGAGTTTTACACTGACACTGTGGAACAATCTGATAAAACGGAACGATCTGATTATGGAACTAAGCGACCGTCCGTCGTATGGCCTTCTCATACTTCAGCCAACATACAGTCAAAATCAGATCAGTATATAAAGAATGCACATATGTAAAAGCCTGGTAAATCACCTTACAGGTACTATGTAAGGGCAGATTTAGCGGACCACGCTCCACCCCTCCCCGAAAATATTTTTGCTTTTTGACGAATTTGGGTCACGTACCCCTCCCCCACCCCTCCCTACCAAATGTCTGCAATTTCTCGACTTTCTGTGGATCTATATCTTCGTTCGTTTTCAAAAATCACTTTCAAACATGGCAACTTCGCTGATGTTAGGGCGTTTTTTTCCAGCCGTTTGGATGGATTTTCGCTGACTGATCCCAGTCAAAAGTTGAAAAACAAAAAAAACCGTGGAAGGGTTCATTGGACACAAAAATATTCAGTCATTTTCTTAGTATCATAATATTTAATTTTATAAAATATTCATGAAATTGTTCTCCATATATACAGTGTATAAAAATTTTATAACGTCTAGTTTATTACAAATATAGAGAAAGGAACTAAGTTTATGAGCTACCATGAGCAAAGCAAACACATGCTTTCCTGACTTGGAGCCTCACAACTTCAGTGTTTTCATTTCTTTCATACATCCTTTCTGATAAAGACTTGTAAGTTATATATCTTTAGTCATTAAAAAGTCTTGAAATTTCAAGGAGGGAAAGCAACTATAATTTTTTGTCCTCCTTATTGGGTATTAAAAATACGGCAGCCACAGAGAGAGTGATAAACTGCCAAATTTTCACTTCAAATTATTGCCTTTATTTTTCCTGTGAAACAGAGGGAGACTTGGACATTGCATCAAGTTATTCCATCTGTCACTTTATTTGGTCCAATGCTACATGTAGGTCAAAAAAATGTTGCCACTGATGTATCTGTTGTGGTTTGAATTTATCCTTGATACAAATTTTATTTTCCCTTGTTTTGGGCCATGGGAATGTACATATGTAAATGACTTTGAAACAAAGAAAAATAAAAATTTAAACCAAGGATAAAATTTAACCACAACAAATCTAACACAATGCTGACATGAAATAAAAGGAAAAGTGTAATAAAGATGTGGGAGTGCAATTTATTGTCACAGTATTACATGATGGATTAAAGCTGTCTTTGCACTTATAACCTTGGCCAGTCTGACTCCATGACAGGTATTCCAAAGGAAAGAAGGGAAAGGGTGGAAATGTAGCACACAAGAATGAAATGGGTGTAAAGAAACATGTCCACACACCCGTAACCTCTGGATTCTCCACTTCCCCTTCACATTTGAACTGGTTATTGTAACCTGGTCAGATCAATAATTATTATAGGTCATTTTCTGAACTCTTATAACATAAATCATTATGAATCTCACACTATTTTTGTCTGCTCAACAGCACATCCTTTCCTTAACTATTTATTAAAGATCACATGACATTAAAAATGAAAATGTCTCCCATCAAAAGCATTTGAGTGGCTGACAACACAACAAAGTGTATGATGTCAGAAATTAATCCTGGCATATAATTATGCTCATAGATTGGACTTTGACCATTTTGGGAAACAAAACTAACTAGTTTCCCAAGAAGTAATTCAAAACAGGTACATACATAGAGTCATCAGTGACAAACTTGTCATCAGGGTCTGCAGAGTTCCAGTTAATTCTTTCAAGCCCGAGGTCATGTAGACCATCTAAGGGGTCACCAAGACCACATGCTAATTTTTTTCATTATATTACACTTAACGCTTATATCTGCTGAATATGGGCTGTACCGCCCTTTGCAGATCAGACATTTAGATTTAGACTTGGATTTAGTACACTTATATGTCATCTGTCGGGTCAGGGAGCCTTTTTTGTAGGGTCATGGACCCGAGACCCGTTTCTTATCTGGAACACTGGTCTGCATTTTTCCTTAACTACATTGTATGGTCTATAGTTATCCAAAAAAGTTCAAAATTTTTATCCTGACTTACAAAAAGCTGCTTAGGGGGCTAAGTTGTGAATCCAGCCCCAGTACAGAATTGATTTTTTCCCAGGCTGGTAAGAGGTATCAAACCTTATTTTAGTTAATTAATTTAAAATCCATATTTTTCTTAAAAATCTTCTTTGGCACACTGTGGATTATCCCCACGCTTGTGTCTTGCAGTAATGAAGAACTAACTTTCCATCAGCTCCAAAGCACTGAGAAACAAAAATACATGCAAGTAAAGTTTACCTATATTTTTAGTTCTTACATACTTCAAAAAAAAAGTAAAATATAACAAAAAATTAAGGCTATTTGGTTAATCACCTTTTATCATACACTAACATGAAACCTGTACCAAGAAAAAAACAAATTAATGAAATGCCTGTTTAATCGATGTATCCAAACCTAAAGCTTTGTTTCACAAAAAATGAGGGAAGAAAAGTACTTGACTTTCTGTAGCTCATGCCTGCTTTAATAAGGAAGAGTGTCTGCTCTTTGAGCTGTGCTTATGTGACACATTGATAACAAAATAATGACTTCTTCATGTGCAAAAAACAAAAAAGTTTTTTTCCTTCCTTTCGATAAATTGCTTTTCTAGAGGTCCTTTTGAATGGTTTCCTCTCTGATTTTGTTGAGATCACTTCATGAGTATACAGTACAGTATACTAAAACAGTATTTACATCATACAGTACTTACATCATACAAGTTCTGTAATGTTTGGTCAGGAGTTGGTGCAAAGCACTGGCCTACATAAACAAACTGAAGATAAAACAGACTGTTACACATATAGTAAGGCAGGAGAGACTACAGTCATACTAGTTAAATGCACACTAATGTACAAGGTATCAGGGAGCTTATTCTTCTTAATTTCAGAAATGAGAAGACGTTTTCTTTCAGTTCCTTGTTGTCATCACAAGTTATAAAATAATGTATAATACTTGAAATTAATTGCCAACACACACAAACTAACAACTCCAAAATCAGAGCCAAGAAGGCAATAACTTGTAACCATATTGATTCTGTGGCTGTGTAATACATGTCTACATGGAGTACAGAGCAGTGGATAAATAAATGAGAAATTTTCTAGAACCTGAAACATAAAAAACCTGCCATTTTCATTTTGGTCATTTTGAGCTTATCAAGAGTTTTACTCATTTATAATTTGCTTGATTTTTGGCTACTTTTTACAGTTATTGGAGAAGATTAAAAAGAGTATTATTGCATAATTTGTAGACCAAATCTCATTTTCCTAGTTAGCAGGGGACTCTGCAAAAGACAGACAATTAATTTGCTAATACCTTATTTTTAGTTATCTCATCATTATTTTGTTACCATTATCATTATGAACAATTAAACTCAGTTTGCAGGTCAACCGGAAAATTTCCCTTGGAGCAGTTTATACAAAATGTTGCTACAACCAAGGGTCACAAGGGTCTGGCCATCTTTCAAACCTCAAGAACTCTCTGCAGTATTCTTGAAGTTCATAGTAATGCGGTATTCTGCACGTGTTCTTTTCAATTACCCTTATACCATGAATATTCTCAAGTGATTTTTTCAGACCTCTAGGTATCGCTCACAAACCTCCTACAACAACCACTATCACCTCCACTTTTTGCATAGCCCACATCCTTGATATTACTATAAGTATATTATTATTATCATTATTATTATTACTTAAAACTCTTTCACCCTCCCAAAGTAACTTCTACATTCATGATTTAACTACACATCAATTTTTCTATCCCAGGAGGAATGTGTAAAATCACAACAAAAGTGTGTGCAATCACCTATTCTTGAAACAATATAGTACTGTACATACAATTACTCTGTAGCCCTCTATGCCTTTCTCTTTACTATGACTATGGTATACACAGGTATGGTACCCAGAAATGGCTTACTAGTTATGTTACTCACCAGTGAGTCATGAGGCTCACACTTAATATATTTTCTAATAAACTCAATAATGTATGCAACTTGTTTTGTTCCATCCACTTGCCATTTCTTCTTCACCATGATTGGAGCATCACCAGCTGCTTTAAGCAGGACTTCCACTACCAACAAAAAAAGTATTACATTTAGCTATCTTCAGTTTTTGAAAAGTTTAGTTGCTCTTGGCCTTCCTGAAGAGTTGAATCTTGAAAACCTGATTATTATTCGAAAATAAAGAACAGCACTAACTGAACATTTCTTTCATTTATAGTCATCTTCAGCAAAAACTCAGCTTGTTTGGAACAAGTTACAGTACAGGCCATGGGAATGGCAGCATTTACACGCGAGTAAATTGCGTGCAATATGGTGTATTTACATGCAAAAAACACCTATGTAAAATTTTACACAAGCAGTTACATGTACAAGCAGCTTAAATTACGCACAGCCGCATGTATTTATAGTATGGAAATTTCCTCTCTTAATTATACACAAAATCTGCATGTATTTTTTTAATGGCAGATCTAATCTGATCCTCTCTTACTTTTACACGCGGCTTGCGTGTAAAAGTAAGAAAGGAAATTTCTCTACGATAAATACACCCATCTTGCATTTTATTATTTAAGCTACGTGTAAAAAAATTTTACATACATTTTTTGCGTGTATTTTGTGTGTAAATCTGCCATATTGCACACAATTTACACGCGTGTAAATGATGCAATGCCTGTGGCCTTACTGTACTGTAAATGAAATACTGATGTACATGTGCCGTACATCACGTCCTTGAAAACATTTCAAACAGTGCAGTGAATCTTTTAGTTTCAATCATGTAACAAAGAGCCTAGTGAAATAGTAATAGAGGCTTAAATGGATTTTGTAGCTGGCCTGGTGAGAGAAAAAATCATTCTGATTATTCCCCAAAACACGACTGAGGGTTGAGGGCAAGAGATTGTCGTTTATCGCTTCACAGGTTTCAGCCAAAGATGAATGTTGAAAAGATGACGTTAAAATTTTACACTCAGTTTTCAAAAATTTGCATGTATTTTCTCCTGAACAAAAGGAATAACAAAATAGACTTCCAGTTTCACCACGTGTAGGACAAATAGTTTCCACAACCGAAGAATTTCTAGGCAACATTCACCTACTCTAATGCCATGGACTTCATCAAAACATTACTGCCAACCTTGGATATGACAAGGATAGTTTTCAGAGCATCTACACGTAACAACAGCACCCACCAGTCATGTCTGCATTTGTCAAAGTTGCAGTTTTTGCAATTACACTTTAAGATACTGATGGACCTAGAATACAGGTCACATTCCATAGGTAAAGTCCCATATTTCATTATCAGTTCATTTGACCATGGCAGGATTAGCTCAGTCGGTAGAGCGTTTGACTGCAGAGCGGGAGGTCGTGGGTTTGATTCCCAGGGCCGGACCATTACTCAGGGTCTTAAAATGACTGAGAAATGAAGGTACTTCCATTGCACTGCAAGCGGTGAGACTTTCGCGTGGCTTAGATGATCACGTAAAATGGCGGTCCCGTCTCCATTAGGAGACGTAAAAATAGTGTCCCCAATTAGCACTTTCGTGCTAAATACATTGACACGCAAATAAAAAAGTGCAAGTGCAAGTGCATCAGTAGCATGGTGACCTGTGCTCTGAACTGTGGAATGGGTGACTTGTATGTTACACCTGCCATCTGCGACATAAGTGTCTTGTTCTGCTGAAAACTAATTTATACATTCTTTTTCATGTAATTTTTGAAAAGATTTTTTATTGTTTTGTCCATCAACACAAACGCCTTGTCATGTAGTAAAGTAGCAGTTGGGGCCATATCCTATAACAAAGTCACATTACTCAGAGATTACTCCAGTTGTTTAAGATTGTCTATGAAAGCCAATCAGAAGAGTACCTGATTCCAGTCTAGCCTGGGACCAGGCTCCACAGTGGGGGAAAGAGGGACAAAACGGGGTCAATAGGAAAAATATCGGCGAGTGAAGAGAGCCCAGCGGTGGCCTGGTCCCAGGCTAGTCCAGCTGAGTCCAGTCTTATCTAGCCTGGAAATTAAAATAAAGGCATTTGAAAGATATCACCACCTAAATGTGTAAGGTAAAACATCGAACAACACTCAGAAGTGTGCTGCCTCATCTTATTATCGCTTCTGTTCCCTCAGTGTCCCAATTAGTTTGTAGTATCAAATAAACAGTTTGACACTAAGAATATGATTTGGCCACAGTTTAACGTTGAGTTAAACTTTGGCCAAATTTTTTACTAAAACGGCTGACTTCATACCTTTCTTTTTCAGTGATTTCTTAGAATTTTCACTCTTTTGAACGTGGTTGTTTTGATTATTTGCCGGTTGTCCTGATTCAGACATTTTGCGATTTGTCATTTCATGTTCCTCGTTCCCTCCTTTCCCCGAGTCCGCCATGTTGTTTTCAGACTCGAAGGACCTTTTGGGCGCATGACTATATCCGTACAAACTATTGCGAGCTACTATTGCGGGCGCAGGAAAAATCAAAATGGCGGCCGACGCTGGCCTTTATAGACTAAATTGACTAAACTGTGTTGTGTTGACGGATTTTGAACATACATAGTGAAAGAAATGCCTCGTGGTGTAAAAGCTGAACGTCCTCCTCCTGCTGAGTCAGTTGAGGTAAGAGAGTAAAATAATGTCAAGACTATAAAAATACATAAATAGAGTTAACATTGTAGAATGAACCTAGTTTAATAACCCTTGCCTCCAACGAGTCTTCTCACTCTTCTGTGGTCGAGCAGTAGATTATCTTAACTAGTATGAACAACCAGAAGGTCATATGTTTGACTCCCATTGAGATAATTCTATCTTTTTGATAAGCTCGTATGGATGAGTGCAGGTCTGCCTATCGAGAGATCACAGGTTCAAACCCTGGCTGGACCACCAACCAGGGTCTTTAAACTGGTAATATCATTCTGGCTGTGATCAAAGATCTTGTCTCAGATGGTGGCAAATCTTGGACAGTGATATTAAACAGTTGGTCTTATCTCCTTTATGCTTCCCAATTGGTATTAAAGGGTGGATGAGGAATGCAAGACCAGTGGAAGGGGAAATTAAGGAGCCCATGCTGCTGTTCAAGTGCATGGTTGTAGACCCTGTGGTGTTGCCAATAGGGAGCTTAAGCAATGAAGTTTTTGCGCGACACATGTCAACAGGAAGTGGCCTTTTTCCAATCTTGGAGCGTGATTTTGACCAAATTTTCCAGCGAATTGTCTCTGTGAGAGAAAAGACACTTAAGAATACAAATTTGGTCAAGTCAAGGCATATTATAAGGGAAAATCCTTCACTTCCGGTTGACTTGTGTTGCTCAAAAACATCTTTGCTTAAGCTCTGGGGGGCGTCTGGAAAAGCGGGAAACCGGAATCCGGAATAGGAACGGGAATAGGAACAGGAACAGGAACCGGAACCGGAATAGGAACCGGAATGGGAAGAGAAACCTACATAAAAGTAGGGACAACGTTTACCTTAATTTAAGTTAATCTGGATTTAATTCCTATTCAGATTAAACAGTGTATAGAAATATGAAAAGAAAAAGATATAATCGTGATATAAATATAACGCCAGAGAAATGATTACAGAAACAAGAAAACACCTTTGAAATGTTAATCTAATTAACTTTTCTTTATCTTTAGCCTATGACACATTGTGTTTTCGTGTCAAACATAATAGCGAACTTAAGCAACGAGAACGCTGACCGTTGCTTGATGGAACGCTTCTGTCTCACACAGCGAATCTGAATTCTTCCTCTTACCTTCCACTGTGCGAATTTGTTGAGTCAGAGCACCGAAAGACAGAAAACATCCACTTCCAGTTTCCATTTTTAATGTCCTGGACGTCAACGTTCTGGTTGCTTATTAAGGTCCCTATTGCACTCGGTTGAGGTAGATGAAGGTGGAGGAGGTACGTGTTAATACCCTTTTTAAGCTGTGGACTATCTATCTCTGGTTAACGTCCGAATTTAGCACATTACAATATGTCTATGCAGCAAACCTGAGGTGTATGGCAGCCCAATAAACGTCTCCGGTGGGTGTCTCGTTTACACATGGTCTGACAAATAATGTTAACATTTTATAACCTCCTTTCTGTGAGAGACAAAAGGAACCTTAAGATCTGACAACGGCAACGCCAGCGAAAACGCCACTGAGAAATTGAATTCGGGTCTTAATTCAAACTATTTCTCATTAATTCCAAATTGTCCAGTCTTTTAAAGGTTAGGAAATGAAGCTGGAGACCACGTCCGAGCTCAGAAAGACACAATAAAATTTATCGCCTGCCGTTCAAGAGAACTTAAGATTTAACTTAAGATTTGATCATTTACGTCGTAGTTGTGCATAGGCGGTGAAGAAATTGACAGAAAGCGCGATGCACTCGCAAAGCTGTTGCTTGCGGCTTTTTCTACCTTCTCGTTGCCGTAATATAAAGAGATTCGGGGGGGGAAGGGGGGAGCATGATACAAGACTAGTTTTCTTAGTTTTTGTATAAATTGAATTAGAATTAAAATAATTTAAAGTAAATGATGTCCCTGTTATTGTATCGGTTCCCCTTCACATTACTGTTCCTGTTCCGTTGCCGTTTCCGGTTCCGGTTCCGGTTCCTGTTCCCATTCCGGTTCCTATTCCGGATTCCGGTTTCCGGCTTTTCCAGACGCCCAGCTCTGGGACCTTTCTTGTCGTCCAGACTAACAAAACAGGAAAGTGACAAGAACAGCTTTCGTGCTTTTAAACGTTGTGTGAAGAAAAGAGATTTAACAAATTTGATTTTAGATGGGGATGTAAAGACTGTCATTTATGCAATAATGATAATAATAATAATAATAATAATAATAATAATAATCAACTTTATTTAATGAGGGTAACACAGAACAGTACTTCAACTGAAGAACTAGTGGCCCTGAATTAATCACTTGTGCTATCTTTTAATTATTATTAACATTTTATTATTTGTAATGTTAATTGTTATACAGTACTGCTCAAAAGTACAGAATTGTGTCCATCGCTACAGTAATCGCGTAGCGTGTGATGCGATTCACATCTCGCGAGAGGGTGGTAACTTATTTTTGAGCAGTACTAGGGAACTATGTTTCTAGAGAACCATAATCTTTTTAAGTTCCTTTTTATAACCTTTTCATCTTACTGTACAGACTTATTTAACAGTAACACAGTGTCGCCAATTATAAGTGTGTTTATATGACAGAACATTTGACCTTTAAATAAAGTTACTACTACACATGTAGTACTCCCTAATCTCTCATGGAGGGAGGAAGCTGTCACTTGCCTGCTGTAACTAGCATAATGCTGTTGCAATAACTCAACCAAGAAATGGCAAATCTAGAAAACCTAAAGCTCTTTTTTTTTCCCAAGTCACATGTGTAACTGACTCGAAAAAAAAACCTGTAAATGCAAAAGTTTACAAAAAAGAAACACAAATGAAATAAAGTAAAATAAAACCGCTGATAAAATACCTACAAGTATAATATTATGTACCAGTCAATTACAAAGCCGCCCATCCCTGGATGAAATTGCCTTGTACATTATTTTGTGAAACACCTTTTAGGCCATTTCCATGGGATGGTCTATTTCAAGGAAGCTACAGTTTAATGGTTTATATTGTATGTTGTAGATGGTCAAATAGTTTTGAACCAGTTCAAAATTTTAAAAAGGTTTGATTATTTTATACCAGTTTAATTTTTTTTAAAGAAATTAATAAGTTTAAAAGCAAACTAGTGAAAACATTGTAAAATATTTTTTATAGCCACTGCAGGCTTCTACTGTGGTGATTCTTCATCCTGGTTCAATGTCCCTGTGGCTAGGCCGTGCCACAGACCACCTACCCCAAAGTATTCCTCATGTTATTGCCTGGAGGAAGCCTCCTGGTTGTCCTGTGGATCTCCCTGATCAAAGTTTGTTGGTCCGAGAAGGAATTGATCATCCTGATAGTGAAACACAAAAAGAATTGGCACTCAGTGTGATTGAACAAGCTATATGGTCCAGAAAATCTTCATCAGGATCAAGAAAGCATCAAACTACAGTATCACAGGTAACTAATCTCATTAAATAGTGACTTTCTTCTCCAAAGGCCTCTTTTTGGCAACTCTGGCCCCAGTAGTTCAAAAGTTGGATTGTAGTATTCATCAGATAAATCACTATGTAGTTGATAAGTATCAGGGAAACCAACATGCTATCCACTGGATAGAGGTTTATGCAATGTGTCGCAGTTGGGTTTCCTGAACTTTTGCAGACAGAGGTAATGACCAAAAATCTAAAGTGAACAAAAGTTCTGCATTTTTGGGGACAATTGTATTGTTGAAACAGTGAAAAATTATTGGCACAAATCAAATCTTGTAACTCGCTATCATAGTGAGAATACAGGTCGGTGTTCAGAATGAATAATTCATCACTACGTAATGCATAGCATTATCCACAATTTGAACAACTTGGACGTGGCTTGGAAGTGTGAAAGAGGTTAAGTGAATAATGGGAAAGATAATGGGAACTCTCTTCTCCGTAGAGGCCTCTTTGTGTTGTGGGGAGGCTGGAAAGAAAGAAAAAGAGAGCGCGCCCATCGTCCCGCGCGCTTTCAATTTTTTCGATTATTGATATTTTGATGGGGATACCCAGCGGGAACCTCTGCGGAGGAGAGAGTAATGGGAAGGAAAATTAAGCATCCATGTTGTTGTTCTTCCCGGCTCAGTCAGTTCCCTTCATGATTTCTGCTCTGTTTGGAGCTTCTGTGAAGGACAGTCTGAAAACACCATAATTCAAGCCAGGTACAATTGATGTGAAAGTTGCAAAAGGAACTCTGTTAATTTTCCTTGAAAATGGGCATTCCTTAACTGCCTTCTACAGTTTTTGCAGAGGTGGAATTTTGTGTAGATATCTAGAAGAGTGTGAGTGAATTTGGACCATTACATGGTTCTGTTTGAATGTAATGTCACCAATGGATATTCTTTTTGGCTGTGAGCTTATTATTCTTTAAGACTAATTTATTAATTTTGTAGGTTTCAGCTTTTAATGCTAAAGTTGAACCTGAACTCCATGTTGATGATGAGTCATCAATTAAGTGGACAGACACGAGTACAGCTCCACCTATCATTGTTGGGGAACAAGTAAGTTTATCATGGGCAGAGTGGTTTAATTACACCAAAGGCAAAAGTTATCCATTTTGCTTGAAAAAATAACACTGATATCCAGTATATTCAACATAACTTCCAAAAATTGATAGATGAATTGATAGTTATTCTGGGTAAAGAAAAATGAAAAATACATAATTCATTATACAAACTGTATTAATTTATTGGTTTTTCACATACCATAAGGCAATCTGTTATAATTGGAACATGTAGAAGATAATGGCCAAGCAGCAATGCAATGCCACTTGCCTTCTTCTACAGCAATACATGTACATGTGGTTGCATTAATGTTATTATTATTATTATTATTATTATTATTATTTTTATTATATCAAAAAACCCATGTAGTTACTCAGAATTTCCCTATTATTTTACACAAATTATGTAGTTGCTTTGGTTACAATTCATGTACAATTTTTTTTTATCTACACAGGCTTTGTACATTCACCCTGATGAACCATATTCTCTTCACTGGCCAATGAGAGGAGGGCATCTAAACCTTCATGATGGACCAGGGGGGTCTCTCACAGCAGTCTGTGCTGATCTGGAAACTTTATGGGCTTATGCTATCCAGACACATCTTGCCATCCCACTTCGAGATCTTGGGGTTTGTTTTCCATTCTGACCTTTAACAATTTAATTACTAAATTAGATACTATAGGCTCTATGGAAACCAGTTGTTTTTTGATATGAACTCAAGCAGTGAAACTGCACAAAAATTTTATTCACTTCAAGTATAGTTTGCACATGAATAAGAAATATATTTTTGGTCAAAATTCTTCGTTCTTTAAGCCAAGTGCGTGGAACTGGCTCTACTAGCATCACTTGTCCAATAATTTTTATAACACCATTTGCCCCATAGCAGAAAATACAGCTGTATAAGTCAAAACTATTTCTCTTGTTTTCCTTTTCTATTACAATTTAAAGGAAAAAGCATGTCCTCTATTAGTAAAATAGTTATAAACGTTCCAGTTAATCAAAGACGTGTTGGCTCAGAATTTTCAGTTAGTAGAAATAATTTTTATTTGCAGATGTTATAAAATTGATTTTCTTTTCATAGTATTACAGAGTAGTCCTTGTGGTGCCAGATTCATTTGACAAGAATCATATCAAAGAAATGATGAATATCTTACTTTGCAAACTTGGCTTTTCTTCTGCTATCATCCATCAGGTTAGAAAGCTGCTTACAAATGAAAAGAATAGAATATAATAATCTTTATTATGTTTTTGTCGATGTACATGGTTGATATTACAGTCTAGTAGATTTACTTACAATAGAAGATTAATTAAATTTAATGAAAATAATGTGCGAGCTAGGAAGCTAAATGAACCAGTTGGTTTTCTTGTTAGCTCACTGGACAATTTAGTTTCTACATTTAGGTAGCATGTAAAATCAAAAGAAATACAACAAGAAAAAAAGAAGGTTGAACTTTAACATGAAATTTGTTGGTTCATCAGCAAGATGAAAAGTTATTTCATTTGTTGTTCTTACTGTAGATAACGTACATGTATAACTTTCTTTGGAAGTGCAGACACACTTGGGTTTTTAAATGAGTTGGAAGGTCTTTCGAAACATCTGTAGCCATAAAAGAGATTGATTGTTCGCCTATGTTAGTTCGTACGCTTGACTTGTAAAGATTTTCCTTAGCTTTATATCTCGTATTGTAGCAATGTATAATACTAGCACATTGAAATGCAACTACTGTAATTCAGACATTTATTTACCTCTGAATTGAAAAATAAACTTATTTATCCACCCTGTTTTCATGTGACAGGAGTCAGTATCTTCTGTGTTTGGTTGTGGTTTAAGTGCTGCTTGTGTTGTTGATGTTGGAGATGAAAAGACAAGTATCTGTTGTGTTGAAGATGGTTTAGTTGTTCCAAGTTCAAGGTAATGCAAAAACACACTACTTTAATGTCACAATCGTCACGGTATAAACTTTCACTAGGTTCATTTCTATTATTAGGTTAGTATCTACTAAACTTAATTTTTTTCAGTTTAGATACAGTGTAAAATATTAATAGAAGAGGAATTATGTTGGGCAACTATTTAGACTGATTTTAACAAACCCAAACCCTTTCTGGAAAACTTTTTTTGGGGGGGGGGGGGTGGTGGGGGGGGCGTGGGGGGGCAGGTTGGGGGTAACCAGTTCTATTTCACCTTTATTTTTTTCACATATGACTAAATTGTTTTCCTTCAAGAAACTAAAAAAATCGGTAATTAAATATTTAGGTTGTGGCTTCAGTATGGAGGAAGAGACATCACAAGGGCATTCTTCTGGCTGTTAAGAAGGGTAAGAAGTGTACACATGAGACAAGTATAAACCACAGAAATAAAACATCAATTTGTCAGTGCTCCACTTTGGTTGCCATGGTGAGAAGGAAAAAATTTGAAATTGCAATTCAAGATGCCACTATCAATTTGGCAAACTTTGTATGCTTTGTTGTAGACAATCTTGTGCTAACCCAAACAGATCTTTGTTAGTGTTTATGGTCTCTTTAATGAGATAAATATTTACGCATGCATGAAATTTCATAATTTTTACGGTTTGTATTTTTTATAATTTACTTCTTTCACCCTTCCTGCCTTCATGTATTAAGCCTTGAGATGTTGCTTGATAGCAACAGTTGGGCAACCATTTTGAATATTTTATGCCTTTTGTTTAATATTGCACTCACTAAGTGTCCCTTTTTCTGGCAACCATTAGAAGGTTTAGGTGACCAAAAGGCAACTTAAACAGTTGAGCTTGTAACACTGTCATCAGTTTTCATAACACATACACACGCATGGGTGGCTGTATGGCTGTAAAATGAGGAGGGGTGGGGGTGAAGCTGTGTACTCCCTTATATACGTGTAAGCTATAGACACCTTTTAGTCTGAAACTGGGTAGAGATTTTTACGATTTCATTTGTGTTTGTGTTCTCGGGAGGCAAGGTCTTGGAGTGGAAATGTTTCAATGTTTATCATTTTGTTTCTTGCATGAGAACAGTTCGGTGCTGAAATATGGTAGGAAAAATCACATTGATCTGAAAAAGGGTTAGGGTTTCACTCACGGAGCATCCTCCATATTCCCATGCCAATTTCCAGATTAATTCTGACCTGGGTCATTATAGGTGAACATAAAAGAACTTCCAGTCATAAAGGGAGGTGGGATAATGACACTCTACTAAGCATCATGTACCCAGAAGCCAATAAGTTACCATCTTGGGTCATGTGAAAGTTCAGAGCAAACATTTAGCATAGATGAGTCATGGTGTCCCCCCTTAAAATAAATGTAACTTTTTCAACACTGCTGAATTACTTTTCTATTTTGGTCTTGCTAGGTTAGTTTTCCTTACAAGGAGTGTGATGCCAACAACAGACTTGATGTCCTTCTTCTCCATGAACTAAAGGAAACCTTTTGTCATCTTAGCCAGGTACAATATCAGTTAAGTAGTATAGGGCCCACTGGTTAGACTCTTTTTTGGGCAGGAATCCCATTAATTGTTTCTTGCAGGAAGCACGATTTTTTACTCTCCCTTCTACCTTTTTACTTTTCTTCATTTCTTTTGTTTTCCCTCAATCACCGCCACATTTTTATTGTTTTCCCACCACCACCACCACCACTACCACATTTCTATTGTTTTCTTTTCACCACCACCACCACCACCACTCTTCTACTGTTTTCTCTCCTCCTCCACCACCATCACCACCACTTTTATATTGTTTTTTCTTTCCCACTATTACATTTCTTTTGTTTTCCCTCCACTACCCCACCACTTCTTTTCTACTGTTTTCTCTCCTTCACCACAGACAACCCTTTTTTCTATTGTTTTCCCTTCAACCACCTCCACCATTTTACTGTTAGTAGTTACTTTCAGCTATAAATTCTGTATGCATTAATCCCCTGGGCCTAGTTGTTCGAAAGGTGGATGACGCTTTCCACCGGGTCAATCACTATATAGTGGATGACGCAATTGGTTTCCCTAATAATATATATCCGCTGGATAGTGACTTATCCGGTGGATAGTGCTATCGAACATTTGAATGCCGGAGCCCGGTGTGCTATGAAGTGCTTATAATCCAGTGTAATCTTGTGATGATTTTCCTCTACCCCAGGATATTGTTGGTGGACAAGTTCACGAGTTTCAAGTTCATCGACCTTTTGATACTCCACGCTCGTATCAGTTAAAGATTGGTGATGAAGCTATTGAGGCACCTATGGTAAAACAATCTGGTTCATGTTTTTCCGGAAAGATCTCATTTAATTTTGATTTGGAAGGAGATTAGTTCCTAAAGGAACTTTTGGTCACTGTGCAACGTGGTTTCAACTTTTGGGGATAGCCTGTGACCATTCAATAAAATTTGATAAAGAAAAACGTGCTTGCAGTGATGTTTATTATGCTGTGCATTAGAGATTTTTGCTTTTGTATACATAGATGAAACCCCCAGTGTGATCATTTCACCGACAACTACAAGAAGTTCTCCCTGTGAATTTGTCTAAAATATGCTGATCAGGATGGTCCCTTCCTGTGCGCAGTGAAAGAAAATTTCCAACGCAAGCTGGAAACAAACAATCTTGCTTAATAAATGACCACTGTTTATGTTAATTATTATCCATTGACTTCCCTAAGGTTTACCTTTCGTTTACTTTTGTTTTTGTTTTTTATCAACAGGGAATGTTTTTTCCTCAATTGTTTGGAATTGTTGGTGAAAAGCTCGTTTACACAAAAGATCATCAATATGATGACCCAGAAGATCTGTACGATGACAGATACTTGCTTGAGGTTAGAACGTGTAGTGCCCACGAAGGGGTGATACACTTTCCTTTTTTTGCGAATTTGTAGACATGGTATGTGTTTTTGATTATTGTTCACGCTAAGAGTCCTGTGCTAACTCTGTAGGCCATTTTCGAGTTACCTCAAGTCTCTGTTTCAAAGTGAGGCTGAGTGCGAAGCCATCGATATAAATTTATAAAAATATTATATAATTTTTTTTATTTTCATGCAAATAAAACTCTTTTTCACAAAATTAGGTTTTGAATGTGAAACTTTTTGGAACTCGGAAATGGCCTTTTGAATACCAATTTGCCACGCCTGTCTTCAGAAAAACATTTGTAAATGCTGATAATATCGTTAGAATGTACTAAGTAATTTCCCGTGCTTCGCGGTTCCTAGTCGCAGAGAACCCAGGATCAATCCAGCAAATCTGGGGGCTCCAAAGCTGGGCCAAATATCGAGCTAGTCCCAGAACATGATCAGGACATTGCAGCCGTCATAAAGACTGGTAACAAAGACATGAAGCTTGTTTCTGAGAAAAGCTTGGGTCTAGACCAAGCAATCCTACATAGCATCAATTGCTGTGGTAAGTAACACTTCTGTAATCAATACTTCGCCAGTTTTTTCGTTTAACATAAATTCTATCCGTTCATCGGCGCCGTGTGCGAAAGTTAAACTTTTTATTTTTCACAGCAACTGAAGAAACTAAACGAAAGATGTACAGCTCTGTTCTACTGATAGGAGGTGGTTTCATGTTTAATGGCGCGGCGAACATGTTGCAGTCTAGACTACAGGCTAAGCTGCCCGCACCCCATCGCAAGCTTGTAGATCAGGTTGAAGTGATTGCTAGACCCAAGGTACGTTTTGTTTTTTTTTTTTTTGTTCTTGTTTAAAACAATTTGCCATCGTGAAAGCAGTAGAAGTGAATCACAACGCGAATGTGTATTGTAGATCTCGAGACGAATTGAAATGGGTTGAAATGAGACAAGGTAGGGCGTGTTTACTATACAAACCTTCTGAGAAGAGGACAAAACATCGGCTGGAGAGACCGTGCCACGCTTGAAAGGATCTACGGGAGACTAACACCTCTATCTTTGAGGCTCAAGGGAAAGCGTCTCCAGTTTGCTGGTCATTGCTATTGGGCAGATAAAGAAATAATCTCCTCCTCTGGAGTGCATTCACGTAAGCTATCATACCCCGAAGTGATTGTGAGGGATACAGGGCTTGATACCAGGGACCTGATTACAGCGATTGCGAATCGTGGTGTTCGGGAAGAAATCTCCATGAGTGTGCCGACCACTACCGGTGGTCGAAGGATGATGATAAGGGCGTTTTCTACGACAGTCTCGAGAGAGGCAGTCTGCTTATCTAACAACTGACGGACGAGGAAACCTCGTAACGCGTAACTTCCCATTGGTTAATTATACTTTGTCATTTCTCTTTAACAGGAGATGGATCCTCGAACGATTTGTTGGAAAGGTGGTGCGGTTCTCAGTATTCTCGACTCTGCTCAAGAATTGTGGATCAGCCAACGGGAGTGGATCACTATTGGAGTTAGGGTGCTAAGAGAAAGGTCACCCTTTATTTGGACAATCTGCAGTTAGTGCTAGTGCGTCAGAGTCCAAATGACGGCCACCGAAAACAATAGTGATACATTGTATAAAGTAACCTGCGAGAGAACAAAGGAGTACTGACCGCAAGTTTTTGGGACCATCAGAGGCTTAAAAAATTATCGAAAGTTAATTTGTTCACTTGATCGTGGAACAGAAGTACCTCTACATACATAGTGGAATAGACCTTTTTAGCTTGTAGGTTTTATTTTGTCAATTCAGAGCACGCTTCTTTTCATTAGGTATGCACGCAAATGGACGTGGATAGCGCGGTATTTACAGTTCTCTGGGTTAACATCACATGGTCTGCAATGGGAAGGAAATTAAAACATACTAGCATAAAGGTCTATACTTAAATGAATTAGAGCAAGCAATGAAGATATCTTAATTACAAAAAACGTTATTTATTGTTGTTGATGTTTTCTTCTTCACCTGCACTTTGATTGCATACATACTCAAATGAATTTCCAACTGACTGATAAAAATAAATAATTGACAGCAAAAAAAAAAAAACAGCCTTCGCCAAGCGTCAAAATTAACTCCCGCAAACATTTATTTTAACTCGTTCAAGAAATTAGTGCTACACGGTGCACTTCCTCAAGAGATTTCCCATAAATTAAGTGGACGAGTTGAAATAATAACCCAACGGCCTCGCCGTGATTGAGTTGTTTTAGACCCTGTTTACATGGAGTGGGGGACCCCGGTCTAGTGGGGTAAGTTTCTTTTGTTTTGTGTCCCCCAGAGCGTGAAAACAAAAGAAACCAACCCCACTAGACCGGGGTCCCCACTCCATGTAAACAGGCCCTTAGGAACATCTCGGAGTAACTCTGAAACGTAAAGTCCTCCTCCATCTTTTCTCTTAAAGGAATGTTTTTTCAAAACAACGCTGTTCCCCTTCATGAGGTTGAACAAAATTGTGTAATTGGCACTGCAGTCTACTTCACACTTCTAAATATTTTTCTCATTAAGGGAATGCTATTGCTCACAACACAGATGCAGCTGTATCTTGTAAGGTAAATCGTTAGTTAACCGGTAAGCCCATCAGGCTGTGGTATCTCGACTATGGTTCTTCTGACTCTAGGGTTTCATTAAAAAGCTTTTAAATTGGAAGGCTCACACAGCATGCATAAAAAAACTAGCTGGTTATCCAAGACCTTTCAGGATCAGTATTCGGATGAGAAAAAAACACAGCACTTTCCTTCACCGGTTTAAGCCAGATAGTTACCAAAAACGTTCTTAGCACATTTCTCGTCTGCTTGTTTTTTTCAATGGTTTTCTGTATTTACGCCCATTATACTGAACATTTTTACCATACAAGCCCTGAAGAAGACTCCTTCGATTTTAAAACCTTTAAAAAGACATTCATTCTGACTGTGAGTTTTGCCTTTTCATATCGGTGTGGGTTTATTTGTTCGGCCTTGTCGTGCGAATGAAACCGAAGGTCAATGGGCAAAATGATTCCATTTCTGGTTACGTTCTTTGGTGTCGTGGCTCTAAATGTAAACAGATTCTTGACTATCCATCATCAGCTTAGATATCAGGAACCTGTCAGTGACTAATAAGTGTGTTGTTGCTGTGATAACCTCGTTTTGTGCGTTCGAACGCCTTCGTCAGGTCAACAAAGGTGGTATAGGAGTCCAGGTGTTTTGCCCCAGCGGGGCGAGTCGCAAATATCATACCTGCTATACCCCTGTTAACTTGAAAGCCTCAATGGTTTTCGGACAGGAGCCCTTGTTTCAGATGTTTGATCAGTCCATTCAGCATGACTCTGGAAAGGATTTTCCGTGCAAAAGATAGTAGTGATATTCCTTTGTGGTTGTTACAGGACAGTCTATTTCGTTTTTGTTTGTACAAGTGAGCAATAGGAGCGTCCTTGAAGTCTTAAAGGGAGAACACCTTTGGTTCGAAAGTACGTAAAAAAAATTGTAAATTACTTTTTTACCCACGAAGCACTTAGGAGTTCATATGAACTCGTTTAAACGTGTCCGTACGTTCCAGATCGAATTGGAATTTAGAAGTGTCGGTTTTTGAGGAGAGGGGAAATCCGGAGTACCCGGAGAAAAACCTCTCGGAGCAAGAGAGAGAACCAACAACAAACGTGAACATTTCAGACAGTGTTTGGGGGAGTACCATCTGCCTCGCATATCTCTGCAGGAAGACATGAGGCTTTACCAATAGAGTTGGTTGACAGCTTTTGAAACCTCTGAAATGCATGGAGGATTGTCAAGATCTCCGTTTATTAGAACTTCTGATAGATGTACTCTCCTCCTCAACTCTAAAATGTTGCAATGTAAACGTTACATCATCCTCTTTCAAGTTTTAGGTTTTCAGTCCTTTAGGAAGTTTCTTCCCTTGCTGTCGTCGTCTGAGTTTAGTGTGGAGCGTGAGTTTTAGATAACTGAACGACGATCAGTCTAGCATTCTGTACCACACATAGCTTTAGTCTCATAGACATCCACTCAGTCAGTTTTGCTACTGATCACAAAATCTAACGTGTGCCAGTGTTTGGACCTAAGATGCATCCAGGTTGTCTTATGGAAGTTGGCTAGACGGTACATCAGTTGTGTTGGTGATAGTTGAATCGTATGTGCTGCAACTTTGAAGAAGTAAAAGACCCGTTACCCATTGCATTTCCCGGTGCCGTGTGTGCCGGTGATACCCTCCCATGCGACATAGTCACATCCAACTCTGGCATTGACGTCAGCAAGGATGAAATGGGACGTTTGTCACTTTTGGATACACTTAAATAAGGGAATCACGTTCCTCGTAGAATTTGTCTTGAACATCACCAGGATTAGTCATGGTTGGACCATGGGCACTGATGATTATTGCTCTTCAGTTTGCGGTTTGCAAGAGACAGCTGTATTACTAGTAGTCTAACATAAGGCCTTTGGGTAGATTCGATAGGTTTTTCACCAGGTTTACCTTGATTGCAAAGCTAACTGCCGTTTCGTTACCTCGAAGAAGATCTACAGAGAGTGCAGAATAGATGTCTAATTTTCATTGGTCTCCCTAGGGATACTGTTGAGTCACTTGTAACTAGGCGTCAGAATTTGACAAGGAAAGAATTTAAACGTATCCTAGAATCAGAAGCACATCCTTGTAAACGTTTTTTAGAAAAGCCAGTGGATCATGGCCATAATCTAGATCTTGTAAGACTAACCCAGCGCACCTCAGATTACCTGTATCACGCACTGTTAGGCACAAACAATCGTTTATTCCTAGAGGTGAGCACTCTAGTCCTTTGTTTAAATCTCTTGAAATTATAAAATTCCTGGACCTAGTAACTTTTCATTTAGCAATTTTTATGTATAAATATCATAATCAATTATTGCCATCGGTCTTTAATTCTTTTTTCACTAAAATTTCGCAAATTCATACCTATAATACAAGGCTTGGTGCAAAACAGTCTTATTATCTTCCAAAAGCAAGAACAAATTATGGTATATTCAATATCAGATTTCAAGGTCCATCAGTATGGAATTCCATTGATGAAGATATCAAATTATCTTCATTGTCTATGTTTAAAAAGAAAATGAAACAGCACTTTATCAAAGATTACTAGACATCTGTACATTGTCTGGGTAACTTTAAAATGGAAATAATACTGTTTTGCAATGTATGAATTTTAGTCTCTTTATATACTGGTAGTTTACTTAACTATTTGTGTGTGTTTCTCTGTTTTCTTTGTTTTTGTGTCCCTGACCTAAACATTTAAACATCTTTTCTTTTAACTGGCTGCCTGGCATTTTTAACTCTTAGGTTATTTCGGGCAGCCAGCGCCCCTATCATTGTCTGTACTATTGTTATAAATTTTTATTTCTCGCATATTATGGGGTGAAATAAAGTGTTGTTGTTGTTGTTGTTGTGCTAAACTTAACTTAATTTGATATGTATATATAATATGTAGTGTTTTGAATTTTTATTGTAATATTACCGTAATTCTTATCGCCAAAGGTAATAAATAAAGGTTATTATTAATGTCTGTCGGCAGGGCCAGCCTTTCCCTTGTCTAAAAGTGTACGAACACTCCATGTACCAATGGTGAGCTCAGTAAAATAATAAAATTGTATAGTTTTTGTGTTTCCACCGCTTGGCGGAATCCCTACCAGCTGTGGTACACTGGTCCGGGTGGAATGAGGCACGCAATACTTAGGTCACCTTTTCGAGACCCTTCCTCATGCTAGGAGGTAAGCAGTTCGTTTCTAAATAGGTCTGCTCAGTCACTCAGGGTGCTGAGGGCTTCCACTGCTGCTTTGGCCAATGAGGGACACCATGCGAATTCCTAAGCAACCTGTGCGCAGGTTGACGGCTGCAGTTGCCAAAGAATCCACTGCTGCTACGTCGTCGCTTGCCCAAGACCACAGGTCTTTGTTTGAAGTGACAACAGTTCTGGTTCGAGTCATGAATTGCGCGTGAATTAGTTTATATTGGGGAAAATTGAGCAGCATCGTCAACAATCTCTCGTCCAGAAGCATCTTCACCCGGCAGAAGGCAAGAACGGCTGGAGATGAAACTTGATGCAGGAATTGCCGATCATGTGATCAATAACAAATAGATATCGTGAACACAAATTGAACTAGCCTTATCGATGGCTAGCTGTTTTTCCGATTGTAATGCGTTTCAGAAAATTTTCGAGGGCGAACAGCTGGCAACTGGACCACGTAACCGGAAAAACGATACCCTGGGTGAGAGGTCCACTCTCGACATATCTATCATCTGATAAACTGCGCTCACGTTTTGATAAAGCTTCCGGTGTTTTCTAGGCTCGTTGTTCCTCGCTGTTGCGGCTTCTCGTCAGCCATCAGGAATTAGTAAAGAAGCCAGGAAAAAACCTAAAGCACCCAGGGTAGATAATAGAATGGGACTGTAAACTACCATAGAATGGAAATGATTGGGCAAATAGGGACTGTTGAACGTTCTTAACATGTGTTCTTCTTTGTATTTCACTTGAACTACTTTGAATTAACTACTTTCGTCGACCGTCAGACGCCTTCACTTGATATTTTACTTGTAATACTAAATAAATCATTTGCTGTGCAGTTCTTTCTTTGCAAATTAGCAAGTGTCGGCCAGCTTTCACAAACTCTTTCTTCGCTAAGTACCATTCAAGGCTTAGAACTAATTGCAGAGGTGCGAAGATCTCCCAGTAATGAACTAATTTTTAGCGATTCCAGAAATCAGCTTTTTAGATCGCATTTTAAACGAATCTCGGTTATCAGCTCATACACTTCAGTCCTTTTTAATGTTTTTGCCTGTGTAATTATCTGAAAGGAAAGAAAATATTGGCGGATAAGTTATGTCTTCCAAGAGGTCAATGTTTGTTTAATTATAATGTCATAAATTTCAATATGCAATATATTAAACCATTCGCAAAATTAAGTCTTCCTCTGCTTTTTGTTTTTTATTCGTTTTCCATTAGGATATCTTTTCCATCTCTATTTTTGTCAAAGAAGCATCAGAGCGCCTTTAATAGTAATTTATCGCCCCCAATCCGAATGCAAATACGGCGATTTATTTTTGTCGTTGATTTTTTTCCTGCGTTAATACTGTGGCTTACGTTGAGTTTTAGTTTTGCGGATTAAATTTTACACTCTAAACTTATTGGCCAAAAAAGAAATGAATACCAGAAGTAAACAGATAAGTTTTATTGTGGCGAAAATTTGCGTCGGATACTCTGCTTTTGTAATGTCGGGGCGAAGAGCGGATGGTTTGATCGATCGACTGTCATGAATCTATAGTACTAATTGCGTGGAGTTTTCTCCCGTGTCCGTGACTGAAGCTTAAATTTGAGTAGATGCATAATGCATAATGCATTAATACTGGCGTCAAATCATCTCACTAAGTTGATATGTATTTCAGTCCTGCCGGGGGGACAATGTGCTCTGATGAAAGCTATATGGGTATGTCCCACAGTAAAGAGAGTATAGCCTATTAATTCTGAACAGAACAAACGAGAAAACATAGGTTGCTCTTCCAATCAGAGAAAACGGACGCTTATACAGTAAAGCGGATGGCGATAAAAAACTACTTTTGGTAGTTTAATCTTTTACAGGATATGGAAATATAGCGCTTTGGTTATAGAAATTAGTATCAACCTCGTAGGGCAGTTTTTATCATTAGAAAATAAATTGAAATGAGGTAAAAAAAAACCATGAAATTAGAGTTTCAGGCGTTTAGCATAGAGCGTCGTTTCAAAAATATGTATGAGACAAGCGGTGCATACTCACGAAAAAAGGGTTGGAATTGCTCCCTCCGGATTTCATTTTATGAAAGTAAAATATTGTTTAACTTTTCACTCTGAATGTAGAGTAACAACTGCAGGGTGAATTAAGAGACACCTGTTTGCAGCTAATTTCGGCTTTTTATTTGTTTTTCTTGATGTCTGCTCTTATACCTTCTGGGTAAGAAAACACGCCCACATATAGGCAACATTCTGTTCTATGAATAAGGAGGGCGCATTTGTAACTGAGTTTGGTTTACCGCCTGGAACCAAAGGTTCTCCCTCAAGCTTTGATGGCTTAATTATAAGGGGAGGTTCGGCCCGAAAGGGTGGCATTTTCAGTCCTCAGCTATATAAAAGCGTAGGAATTTCACAAGTTGAAAGTATGTGCAAGGTTAGGGAAATAAGTCATTTAGTTATTCAAAGGGAAGTTTAATTAAAGTATTTTGAACAGACGCTTCTTATAGTTGGTTCATTTTGAATTGATTTATCAATTACCACATGCAAATGACGGGAAGACTTCCTGTCTTCGCGTTGTTTTATTGGTAAGAAGCAATTTGAGAGAGATTCCTGACTTCAATGGGACAGATATGAAAGGGATAGCTTTTCTGACAAAAATGGTATAAAAAAGGTAAGGGTCCCCGGAACTCCGGGTGGAGTCTTCCCGTATAAAACTTTGTTAAGTACCCCCCGTGGTTTGTCAGTTTCCTAGTCGCCATCAAAGAGGTAAAATGCCCAATTAATTGTTTTAATGTGAAACTAAGACTTTTAAAAACATACAAAGTAATGGCACTCTAAGTGTCAACAAAAGACAGTTTATTCACATTGACCTACTTACTTGGTTGGAGGATCAAACGATTCCGTGTCAGTTTGTGTTCAAGCGGCCGATGGGTCAAATCGCTTTTTACAAGTTCACCGAGGAGAAGTGCGGTGTGTAGACCTTTGTATCAAACAAAGACTAGGCGTTTCCTGAGCCTTGTCTGTGCGCGGGTAAAAAAAAAAAAAAAGGCTTAACAACACTGAGCTTCCCACAAGAGCTGCACATATCATTTGAGTGTTAGCAGAAAACCTTTCTGGGCTTTATGAGCATAGGTTTCATCTTTGCCAACGAGAGATGACAAATATCTTCTATTTTTCGTACGTTGCTAATTGCTTCGCAAATGGCTTCTTGTGTTATACCGCCGTCACGTTAAACATTCTTGTTATTCAGGTAATAAGAAAAACTACATCGTTATCAAATAAGACCATAAAGACATTGCTCCTTAGTCTGGCTGCCTCTGATCTTGGTGTTGGCTTAGTCGTGCAACCGTTGTACATTGCACTTCTCGCTATGGAGATGAAACACATCACGGAAAACAGTCTAATCTATAACAACATATACAAGGCTTTTCTCCTTACGGCAAATATGTTTGGTTTTGCTTCGTTCTTTTGTGTCACAGCTCTGAGTGCAGACAGATTTTTGTCTGTTCATTTCAATCTCAGATATCGAGAACTTGTGACTCACAGGCGTGTTGTTGGTGTGGTGATCTCTATTTGGGTCATAAGTGCATTTCTTTCGTTGATTAGAATATTCATCTCTAAGAAGATCATGTACCTTATTTTTGCCACCATCGAGTTTACTTGTATAATATCTGCCGCATACTTTAGTTTCAAGATATATGTGGCCACGCGTAGCCACACAGGCCAAATCCGAGCCCAGCAAGTGCAGCGATCATCTCAGAATGGCGAAATCAGGATATCACATGTTACAAGCCTACAGACTTCAGTGGTGATAACAATTGCCTTATATCTCTTATTTTTGGTTTGTTACTTACCGCAAATGTCTGTTTTATTTGTCACTGCTGTCTTTGGACAAAGCGAATTTTTAAAGATGTTATTACACCACACGACCACATTGGTTTTTCTTAATTCATCGCTAAATCCGATGATTTATTGCTGGAAGATGAGGCATGTTCGAAAAGCTGTCTTGCACTCTTTGCGAAGGACATTTTCAAGACAATGACAGCCGAGGAAAGTTTTACTATTTTAACAGACATGAGCGGTCTGTAATGAGACCTTGAGAAAAAACACAACAAAGTGATTTGCAGACAATGTAGAAGGAGTTGAACATGAGGGAGCGTATTAATTTATAAGCAACGACGACTTAGACGTCAACGAGAACGTCAAAAAAGCAATAGGTTTAGATAAAACAACAACTTTACACTTGCATCACGCTTTTTTGTAAATTGCATGACTACGACGTAAAAATGCCTAATTTCACGTTTTTGTGAAGGACGTGAACACAAGACAACTTTCTTTTTCTTTAAATTTCCTGAACTTCGATACAGTGTTTTAGAATTCAACTCTAGAAAAAATTTCCAACATTTAACGAATTAACTGAGATGGAATAAGCGCGATAAAGTTTGAAGCAGCGCGACTTCTCTTTTTAAGTGACGTTTTTGTACCCCGTCGCCGTCGTTGTTGCTTCCCTAATTTTTAAGTCAGTAAATTTAACTCGTAATTACAGTGCCTTACCTGACAAACCTGAGGCCGACGGTGTGCTCAATATTTTACTCACCTCTATCCAATCAGTACTGATCCGTTTTTCGAGTTTTTAAAGATACTTAAATCTGATTAAAGCTAGAGGAAAAGAAAAAAGTCGAAATAATGATTTGAGGTGGGAGTCGAACTCGGGTCACAAAAATTAACATGCTTTCTTAGAAAAATAGGTAAATAGATAAATAAATAAATTCGGCTTTGGACATTTGGTTCCATAAATGTCATAAATGAACGCAAACAAAAGCGTTTTGAGTTTTTGTCTGGAAACATTGATATTCTTGGGAAAAAGAACAGAAAGGTGCGAAGTAAATTTATCAAACTAAGGCCTAGGCCAGACCTCGAACTTTACTTGAGACGAACCAAACTCTGTGTTCGACATCTGGCTCAGTTAAGTTCATTTGGATGAGTTTGGATCTTCAAACACGGCTAAAGATCCGGGAAAAATGTCGATCCGCAAATGTGACGAACTAAATTAATGAATTAAAAATTTGTATGATAATGTTTATTTAGTTTTGTACGGGCGAAAATTTATTAAAATTGCTTTTTGGTCTGATTCAGTTGACCCAACAGACTATCTTAGCTTAATTGAGGTCGACCCAAATTAGATTTTGCTTCGTCTCATGAAAAATTTGACGTTTGGCCTAGTCCTCTCTTCCAACGTGATCTAAATTTTGATGCTAGCCTAGTATTGTAATTGTGTTTTGTTGATGACATTGACGAGAAATTCTCGAAGGACTTAGAACGTCGGTTGTCATGGCGATCAGATTTAATATTTCAGTGATCTGCCCTTTTACGTTCTTTCCTTTGCTTTTACTACTACCTATGTGAGCGTTTCCGTGAAAGTCGACTTGGCGCTAGACCGGCGCAGTTCAAAGTTTCCCCCCTTGTCTACTTGCTTGTCTGGCTCAGGTAAACACTCAACGAAAACCCTTAAAATCATTTGAATACCCGCCCTTTTTCAGCTAAGCGTGCGATAATACACAAGATGAAACTGCGTGTTTTGTGGGTATTTAAGTAAATACCCTTCACTGGATAGTTCGGTGATGTGAACGATTTTGATGTTCCTACACTCAGAATTTTCTCTATGAATTCAAAAATACGAACGGTCCACACAGTTTGGTTTAACCGCCTTATGTTTTGTGTTGTTGTGACGGACCTGTTCTCTTGTTCCACTTCAGATTCTTCACATTACCATAGGAGTTTAGAGGAGGGCAGACATTTCAGTTTTATGGCGTGGTTCACATTAATAGGTTACTTTAAGCCTCCCTTTGTTATTTCAAATTTTGTGCTGTAAAAAAACTTTGTAGTACACCTCTTTATGAACTGGCAACTAGGAATTCCACCGCAGTCAGACAAAGCTGTCTGCTCTCACCAACTCTTTTCAACATCTTTCTGGAGGGATATATGACTGACGCACTGGAAGATTATAAAGGAACAGTAAGCATCCATGAGCATCGGAGACAGAACAATCACCAACTTACGTTGGCAGGAAAAGAGGAGGTACTAGCCTCTCCGGTGGATCGCCTGGGTAAGACCTCTTCAGCCTTTGACATGGAAATTAGGGCCGAGAAGACAAAACTGACGACCAACAACACCGGTTGTATCGAGGAAAATTGGACGAGGTTGACAGTTTTAAGTATCTGGGCGCAATCGTCACAGACCAAGGTTCCAAACCTGAAGTACTGTCCAGAATTGTACAGACGACAGCAGTACTAGAAAGACTGCATACTGAAGATCATCTGGAACAATAAGCATACCTCTCTTTGCTCAAAGATGAGACTTGTGCGCTCCCTGATTATCTAAGTACTGTTGTACGCCAGCGAAACCTGGACATTGACTGCGGACATCCTGAAGAAACTGGAGGCCACTGAAATGAGATGCTTTAGGACACTGCTTGGCATTTCATTCAAAAACCACATCACCAACGATGCAGTCAGAGACAAAACCAGGCAAGCCATAGGGCCCTATGATAACATGTTAACCACTGTAAAGAAACGCAAGTTAAGGTGGCTTGGGCATGTATCACGTATGATCAAGCTTGCCAAGACAATCTTACAAAGAATAGCAGTGCAAGGAGGGAGAGAAGAGGAGGACAAAGGAAGTGTTTGGAGAATAGCATATTTGGGTGGACAGGGTTGAAGTTTTGCGACGCCCTAATCTGAAAACAAAATCAAGTGGAGGGAAAGGGTTGCAAGGTCAATGGCGTTCCAACGGTCACCATGACTACGGGGTAGATTCCACCGCCACTCTTCTAATTCACTGAACATTTTTTTGGGAAACCAGATTGTTCGCCAAGCTCCACTTACTAAAACGTTCTTTGTGGCAGCAAAAGCGTTGAAAGGTTTGCCTCATATCCTCAAGCTGAAAATTAATTGATTGTGTGCTGTCACTTAGAGAGTGCTTGGTCACCATTAGCTTACTGAGTCCAATCGGTTAATAGTCACTTGCATCCAACTTTCGCCAGGCCTTCAAGCACCAATTCTTATGATGTCGAGGTTCCTAGTTGATATTTTCATTGTCTGCGTAGACAATCAAGTCTAAGACATCTCGGAACTCTGTACATCTTGTGAGTTGAACCTCAAGCTAGTTGCTTAGCTACAAAGTGATCGTTGTTATGCAAAGACCAGGCCAAAATGTAATAAGGCTGTTAGTCATAATCCCAGCTAAACCTGACCATGTCATATTCACCTATTAGTATATAACTTAATTAACAATTAATGAATTAGGCTGAGTATCTTATGAAGAATTATAGAGATCTCGGAGGGTGTTCTCCCTCCTCGATCTCCATAATTCTTCATAAGATACTCAGCCTAATTCATTAATTGTTAAATATTATATTTCCATAAAAAATTGCTAAATAGAGCAATTGATAAACGAGCTTTTTCTAATATACAATAACCTTTTAATATGACTAATAACTTTGTTTTAATAAGGCTAAAGCCAGATAACTTCACCTGTTTCTATTCTCGAAACTTTTAATTAATATTTGAACTAGAAATATAAAATGTCTATTATCAGAAACGTTTCATCTGTCACTTATTTTATTTTACTGTCTTCAATTAATTTCCATTGCTACTGACCATACTACGTTTTAAAGACAGTGAATTATGTTTTTCTTTCAAGTAAGTTCATTTAAAACCGGTTTGCCGAGTTCAGTTGCAGTTTGTTTATACTTCCTTGGCTAATGCTGGAGGCTATTCTCTTCGTTAACATCTTACCACCTGCTGATATAAATTAAATGTCGTTCTGCTCACAAAATAAACATAGCAATTAAATGCGTTTTGCGATTTTATACCGCCTCTCAGAAATTCAATTTTTAATGTGCAATTCAGTTTTTGATTGAAATAAGATGATTTATTCTGCATTTAGGGAAATTAAAAAGTGTTTCTATTGTCTGCGACTATGAATAGGAAAAGATATATTATCGAAGCCAATGCTATTAACAAACTGATAAGTTGATAAACAATAAGAGGAAGGATCAAATTATATTTTGCTCATCTGCCCAGGTTCAGTGTCTTCCGCTTAGTCGACCGGTTGGAGATTGTGATGGTGATGATAGTGCGAAGATATATTTTGGATCTGATTCTTAGTGGGAGTTTATGAGCAACGTCTTTGAATCTTTTCTTGTGTGGTTAAGAAAAGCGCTCAATAACCAAGAGCAAGAAATGATGCCATTCTCAGTATAGAAGTCCTGTCGAGTGCGTGTTCAGAAACGCAACTTCGAATTCAAAGTGACTTAGTCCACGAAAAATGACGAATACATATTATCTGTCGTACGTCTCTAATTGCGTAATCAACGGCTTCTCGAGTTATCCGGCCATCATGTTGAACATTTTCACTATCTATGCCATTGAGAAAACTACAACGTTGTCAAATAAGACCTTAAAAACACTGCTCCTTAGTCTGGCTGCCTCTGATCTTGGTGTTGGCTTGGTCGTTCAACCGTTGTACATTGCATGTCTTGCTATGGAGATGGAACACATCACGGAAAACAATCTAAACTATAACAACATATACAAGGCTTTTCTGCTTTCGGCAAATACGTTTGGTTTTGCTTCGTTCTTTTGTGTCACAGCTCTTAGTGCAGACCGATTTTTGTCTGTTCATTTCAATCTCAGATATCGAGAACTTGTGACTCACAGGCGTGTTGTTGGTGTGGTGATCTCTATTTGGGTCATAAGTGCATTTCTTTCGTTGATTAGAATATTCATCTCTAAGAAGATCATGTACCTTATTTTTGTTATAATCGAGTTTACTTGTATAATATCTGCCACGTACTTTACTTTCAAAATATATGTGGCCACGCGTAGCCACACAGGCCAAATCCGATCCCAGCAAGTGCAGCGATCATCTCAGAATGGCGAAATCGGGACAGCACAAGTTACAAGCCTACAGATCTCGGTGGTGATAACAATTGCCTTATATGTCTTATTTTTGGTTTGTTACTTACCGCAAATGTCTGTTTTATTTGTCACTGCTGTCTTTGGACAAAGCGAATTTTTAGACATGTTATTACACCACACGACAACATTGGTTTTTCTTAATTCATCGCTAAATCCGATGATTTATTGCTGGAAGATGAGGCATGTTCGAAAAGCTGTCTTGCACACTTTGCGAAGGTCATTTTCAAGACAATGACAGCTGAGGAAAGTTTTACCATTTAGTCGTCAACGAGAACGACAAAAAAGCAATAGGTTTAGATAAAACAACAACTTACACGTGCATCACGCTTTTTTGTAAATTTCTTTACTTTCGTCGCACGATTACGAGCGTAAACACAAGACAACAACTTTCTTTTTCTTTTCCTGAACTTCTATACAGTGTTTTAGAATCCAATTCCAGAAAAAATTGCCAACACATTTTTTAACGAATTAAATAAGATAGAATAAGCGCGATAAAGCTTGAAGCAGCGCGACTTCTCTTTTTAAGTGACGTTTCCGTACTCCGTCGCCGTCGTTGTTGCGTCCCTAATTTTTACGTCAGTAAATTGAGCTCGTAATTTACAGTGCATTAACGGACAAACCTGAGGCCAGAGTCGACGCATGATACATTTTCAGTGAGTTCGTGCGACGTATTAGCAGTGGTTTAGATCTTCTAAATTGTTCATAAAGTCATTCTGGAAGCTTGATTTTCCTCAGTTTTCATGAAACGCAAGGTATCTGCAATCTCTCTGGGGGAATAGCACCTGATTACGATGTCGCTAAAAATTTTCAAAAATGTTCATCTCATTAGCATAACATAAAAGTGGGACCGCGTAAGTGAAACTATGACTGTATGGGGAGTTAAACAAACAACCGAGTTAGGAACCGAGTTAAGAACCGAGCTGAGACCGAGTTAGCAAGCGAGTTAAACAAACTTTGGGCTATTTGATTATTGATTTGAGACAAGTTTTTGGAACACCTGTGGATGGAGCTTCCAGGCCGCAACAAAAACAGCAAGATCTTGCTTGTCACAATGAACTTCTCTGACTGGATACAGACTTCTGAGGATTTGCTAGGTGCAAACGTAGCTTCGTGGTATGGTATGCTACTCTTGGCTGGGGACATTAACCTGGACATGTTTCGCCCTGAAATGTCGGAGATGAAGCGTTACAATGAATTGTTAGACTCGCTCAATCTTAAGCAGATGGTCACCAAGGCAACACGAATAACGAAGACTAGCAAAACCCTAATTAATCACATAATTACTAACGCGCCGAAACGCATTACTTACAATGAGGTACTTCCACGTCCGCTAGTAAGCGACCGTGACGCCCCGTTTGCTTGCGTGCAGATTACACGTGATGTACCTAGATATAAGCTCATCAGGAACGAAAAACGTTTTTCTGAAACGGCTTCAATTGACGACTTCGGTGCTCTGCCACTTGAAATAGTGTATGTTTTCGACGACCCCAATGACAAGATCGCGACTTTCAACCGTCTCGTTGTTAAAGAATGTCTCGACAGAACAAAGGTGACCCGATCCCCCGCGCCCTCGTTAAACTATCCGAGTATTCACTCGCTGCAAGTGAACTTCGCAAATCAACTCTGGGAGGCGCACACGGCCTTCTAAGGAAGGTGCATGGGGCATGTTAAGATACACTCGAAACAAGCTCAAAAACCTGATTAAGAAGGCCAAGCGGTGTTTTATGATCACTGTGTTTTCCTCGAGGCGACCGAAGAAGGTATGGAGGACGATACACCTTTCTCTCCATCCAAGCCAACAACCACCCCGCGCTGACCCCGACGATCTTAACAGGCCCTTCGCCTCGACGGCTGATAGTGTCACTGCTTCGTCTCCGGCGCTCAGCGAGGACTACCGACTGATCGATCGCCTTACAGATGACTCGCATTCCTCCTTCCTTTTCTGTAACGTCACTCATCAGGAAGTACTTAGAGAGATAAAGGGATTTCGATCGGACTGTTGGACCGGACCGGATAACATACCGCTGAGTTTGTCAAACTGGTGGCCGAGCGTCTGGTCTCTCCGCTCACGCACATCATCAACTCATGCCTTGACAGGAAAGAATATCACCTGTTGTGGAAAACTGTGCGCATTAGTCCGATTCCTAAGGTGGATGAACCACGGACAGATAACGATTACCGACCTATCTCTATTTTACCTGTATTATCTAAGGTTTATGACAAATTGGCTCTTCCCCAAATCGCTGATTTTCTCACGGACAATTCCATCTTGCAATCTAACATCAGTTCATATCGGAAGTGTCACTCTACTACAACCACAATGCTGGCGATAAGGGATGACATTCCGAAGGTCATGAAAAGGGGTGAAATTACTCTGGCAGACTTCTCTAAGGCTTTTGATACCGTTGCCTTCGAGAAAGTCCTGTCTAAGCTGCACCTAATGGGTTTCTCGAGGTCCGCCCTGCAGTGGATAGCAAGCTATTTTATGGACCGGAAAAAGTTTGTGCAAGTCGATGACCGCTCATCAGCACAAATCAATATCACTGACGGGTTCCTCATGGATCAATTCTAGGACCCGTTTTGTTTGACCTTTACATGAATGACCTATCTTCTGCTCTTCCATCTGAAGTTGAATACGCGGACGACACGACGATGTATACTCATTTCAGGCCATCTGATCTTGAAGTCGGCTAGTCGGTAATTCAACACGCGCTAAACAAGCTGTCAGACTGGTTCTTAGAATGCAACCTAGCTTTGAATCCAAAGAAAACAAAGATGATGATGCTGTCATCAGCTCTGATGTCAAGGGCATATGGACTTGAGACATGTTCGCTTAATCTCACTGTTAACGGGGAAAGGCTCGAGCGTGTCTCAGACTTTCGCCTGCTGGGGACCCAAGTCAATCAACACCTCAACCGAAAGGAGGAGATTACCTAGAATATTTGTAGCTGATACGTTACACTAGCTGTAATTAGAAAATTAAAGCACGTAACTCCCTTCCACGTCCGAAAGCAACTGGCGGAATGTCTGATTTTATCGAAAATTGACTACAATGACATTGTTAGTCATCCAATCCCGGAATACCTAATAAAGGGCGTACACCTTGTCCAGTTAGCCACTGAAGGTTTCGTTCTTGGGTGCTATGCGCCTATGGTGGATCTAATAAAACTAAGATAAATGCCAGTTAATTAAAATTGTTTTTAAAGCCTTGCATCATAATGCCTGGCCGTCCTATCTTAAGCTAGACATTCATAATCCAACACGGACACTGAGGTCCTCGAAAGAAGAGACGTTAAAAGTACCCCTTCAGTCGGGTACTTTCCAGGACAGTACCTCTAATGTTTTTAATTCATTACTCTCTACTGCAAGGAACTCGGTGTTTTTAGTGATTTTAACACTCAAGTGAGAACGTATCTGATAAATAGGGAAAATGTACGTTTGATTTCTTGATTTGTATACACCTAATTGCAATAACGTTGTCATAGAAAAAAGCAAAAAGCAAAAAGCCAAATGGGAATTAATTTAATAGCCAGGTGATTTACATTTGCGTATTTTAATAATTTAACAATCATTTAAGAAGTCATTCATAATAACAAGAGATAATTCTGTAAATTCGCGCTGTAAGATTCCGCACATCCAATGTACGTTTGTAATTTGAGCTCGTTTGGAATTCGCTAGATGAATCAGCCTTGAATTGCATTAGAATGACAGCAAGAAACTGATGTAAATGAATTCTCTTATATTACGTGATTAATTTTCAGCTATAAGCGTGTGTGTTGGGAATGTTGCAAGCGCCTATGATAATTCCATTCTAATAAATTCCTATTTAGCTTTTGGCTAATTTGCTTATTTGTCAGTGCATCCCTAATATTGGGTTCTAGCCACGTGAATATTTTTCGTTAACATTTACGTCGAACGTTTTTTAGGCCAATGTGAGAATAATTTTTAGGGCTACTCCGTCTTCATGATATTTTTTCGTAAGAGTACAGTAATTTTTCCTTCCACCATTTTTTTTCTGTAACTACGCTGCCCTCTCAATAAATTTTCTTTTGGTCCGTCCCTAAAAGAAAAATACATGTGCGGGGATATGTCATTGTTATAATTCTTTTATGGAATTGAGTAAAAAGGAAAATATACATCATCTATCACTAGTAGCAGCCACGCCATTTTTAAAAAACAACTTAAACATTTCTTTTTAAGAAAGCTTTTAATTTGTTGCAATAGTTCTAATGTTTAATTTTAATTTCCTTTGGAATTTTCGAATTTCATTTTTTTTAGATTTTACCATAGCATAACATATCACTGTTATTATTATAGCTTTCAGGGATTTTTATTTTTTTTATTTATTACTTATTCATTAATTTTAACTTAATGTAAAGCGCTTTTGAATATTCTTCTATAGTTTTAGCGCTATACAAATTCATTATCATTATCATAATCATTAAAGACAATGCTTAATTTTATGCATAATTCCCAAAGTAAAACATGATTGCGGGGTGTGAGTATTTTATTTTATTTTTTTCAGTTTCTGCATGGGACTATTTTTTATTTACATGATATACAGTTGATTTTCAATAGAAGCATCAGAAAAATCAACAACCCTCGCTTGTGCTATTCTAGTATATTCCCTTAAAACTGGTGTCGAAGGATTAAAACTTAATTCGCACACATAGCGTTGCTTGAGGTTCCATTGTGATCCATGAATTGACGGCAGAGATGTCTCAGTCTTAACAGCGTTTTCCTTTGCTACCACGTCGATGGCTGAAGAATCAAACACGCGTGAAAGACTCGAGACTCTTTTAAGTTTTAGTAAATATTCAATATCTATTTCTTGATAATCTTCATCTTCGACTGTTTGATTTTTAAGGAGACTTCTGCGACTCAAAACGCAGTTTAAAGCATTGATATTTTTTCCGCCTCTAGAACCGTGGTTTTTTCTGTATGTCTCGAATGCTTTTCTTTCTCGATCTTTCCCACTACTTGCTCTACGTAAACTTTCAAGGCTTTCGCCCCGCGATAGCTTTATTGCTCTCTTCTCCGTTTCTGTCTCTTGTTGATTCTCGGGAACTCTTAGTTTTTCACCAGTGGCTTTAACTTGAATATTTTCTTTGGTCGAACAATATTTCTTTATCAGAATCGACGATTTCAATTGTTTGAGAGGATTCGTTACATTTGATTCCTCTTGATTTTGTGCTGTATCTTCGTGTTTATCACAAAAACTGTGAGACATTGGCTCCACTTGATTCCCTAGCAACCATGAGTTTGATCTCTCTATTTGAAGATACTTTCTAGAACAGCATTTTTCTGGCGGTGTTAAGGCCGACATTTCAGAATCTCGACTTATTTGGCTTTTGTCTTTCAAACCTAAAGTTGACTCTTCAATATCGTTGCATTCTTTTTGGCCCTCTGTTTTGTAAACAGTTCGCACCTGCAAACAAGGAGAAAACGATAGCCTGCATGCTGTGGCACTTTCGTTGAAAGACATTTTCCGTGCCGGCCTAGAAATAATTCCTGTTCCTTTCTCTGACGTTTTTCCCGTAGTCAAATGTGGTAGTTCCTGACGATCTTTATCTTTCTTGATACCCGCTCCTTTTAATAAGAAATCTTTTGGCATCGCAGACTGGCCACAAAAACCTCCTCGTGGGTTACAAAGCACGTCATTAGCAACTTGGTTTGTTCTAAAATACATTTTTAAAATGATAAACAGTTAACCGTTGTACTTTTAAATATAAACGTCGAATTTGACCATCTAGAAGAATCGTGTCATTATATTCCAAGTCGAACTGACTAAACGAAATGACCTGTCCATATTTAATTTTTTCGAATTTAAATACGCTTAAGCCTCGAAGAAAACAAAACAAAAGTACTGAGGAGACTAAGTATCTTACAAACGCTAATTGCCGCAAGTGTTTGAGAAGTTAATTGCCATTCGTCGCTTTTAAATCTTGCAACAAGAGTCACTGTAGAATCCACATTTGTAAAACCTCAATTCACTGAAATCGTGTAAACTGATTTGAAAATTTCGGCTCTGTTAGTTGTTTAAAGCTGACATCCATTTTACCGCCTTCAAAATTTTCATTTACATGCCAGGTCAAATAGAAAATTTTCATTTTCACCTTTTAAGTTGCTATGGTGATATATCATATTAGCAGGTGCTTGCGGCCAGCTGCCGTAAATTATTATTACTGTTGAGAAAACGCTTGCGCAGTAGCACCCTCTGGCTAGAAATGGCTTATTTTGGGTTCACGCTCCCCGCTTAGCCTTGAAAGAGCATGTGGAGGAGCTAGGCCTTAGTACCCTGAATGGCTTAAATCAACTCCAGGAGAGTTCACCTACATACTAAGTGAGCGAGTTGAGATAATCGCCCTGATTTTATCATCTTTTTGACTTGTTGCAGCAGTGAACCAAGATTTATTGAAAATCTATGACCGCTTCTTTCTTTCACTTTGGTCAACACTAAGTTTCTACATCATGTTTAAGTTTAAGCTGGCCACGCTCTTTTCTACATTTTATTTAATTCTATTTGAGAACATATATTTTTTTGGCGTCCGTATCTGACACTAAAATGAGACCATCTGGTGTTGTAGTTATTCCTACAGGGTACTCTAAGGTATCAATCGTTTTTCCGGTGAAACGACTCTCCATTGTAAACTGATCAACACGACCATTGCGAGCATTGCATACAAGAAGATTGTGATGATTGCCTTGTTTGTGGACACACAATCCCCATGGACGATGCAATTGATCATCCAACTCGCCTTGTTCTCCAATCTTGTGCAAAAACGTCCCTGAATTGTTATGAACCTTTAAGCAATG